TTATATTGTGTTAAAAATACAACTGTGCATAAAATATGTAACTAAAATTGCATATAAAGGTGCCATAAGCAGAAATTCTCCGCTTTGACACTATCAAAAGTATTTTTTTTCCAAATTATATCTTTTCAAAATTTAACTTTGTGATTATAAAATGTTCACGTTTTTATCTTTTTATGCAAAATTTTATATTATTTTATTCTTTATTTATTATTGTTAATAATTATGAAAAACTCTCCTCCAATTTTAAAGTCGACCAGACTGGCAAAAATTTATTTTAAATAATTAGTTTAATTTACAACGTTTCGGCTGTCATTGCAGCCCTTTTCAAGTAATCAGATTAATACAATAAATCATATTTACAGCAAACCCCCGACAAAATTAACCATTGTTTTGATGAACAATGTATAACTGACAGAAGTAAGCCCGAAATAAATAGATGTTGACTGTTAGCAGGAAACTTAGTCACTGTTAATAATTATGTAATTTTATTTACAAAGCTTGATTAATGTAATTAAATAAGAATCAGAATGTTTTGTTATAGATATAAAGGCTTTATTTTAAAAAATATATTAAATATATTCAAAAATATATTTAAAAAATGTAAGCATTTGAAAATGTTATAATTTAATTTTTATTAGATACAACAAGGATTTATTGCAACTTAACGCGTAATACGGTGCAAACCAATAAAAGAAAACATAATTTTGCGTTTTATGTAATAAACTTTGAAGTATAAAGTTTCTTTTAATGCGTATATTTTGTGTATTAGTTGAATCTCGCGATTTAGCATATAAGATATGCAGATCACGAATAAAATTTCCCTTTTCGATAAAATGATCATGCAAAAATGTTTGAGCATTTGGCATAATGTTGGACACAATGCAATTCAATAGACCATGTGTGTTTTCAGTATAGCATTTGAATTTAAATTTCATCCATAAACACATATCCCGATATGACTTTCTGAATAGAGAATTTCCACATTGCAGTTCAGCAAAAGTTATTTTAAGCATTAATGTAAGTTGTTATTTAGTTTGAGTATAACTGAAAACATAACAACATTAAAATCTGGCAATATTAATGTAACTGTTTAAAAAAAATTTGGTTTTAATAATATAGTAAAAAGATATTATAGTAAAAAAAGACAAGAAATTTAATATTATACTTTTGCATAACTCTAAAGAAAATATATTTATAAAGAAATAATCTATACATTTAATTTTTTATTTTGAGAGAAAAGCATTTCTGGAAACCATCAGAATTTCCAAAATCATATTATTTATTGCCGCTAGAACTTGAAGTGATTGCATTGGAACAAGGAAATCGTGCAAAATCGATGATATACGGTCTCCACCAAGTTTCAGCTAACTATGAGCTATGTGCAAACTGATGGCGAGTTTACAGTCATAATTTTACGAAGCGCTCATGACAGAGAAATCACCAATCACATTTTTTTTCAAACTCGGATTAAAATAATTATTACTTATACTATAATACTATATATACTTGCATAAATCACATTCTGTTAGAAGTATAGGATAAATGCATAATAGTTTATAAAAAGAAATTTTTTGTTATTATTACATGTGTGCGGAAGCCTATCTGATCATCACACATATTCTCACAAATTTATTTGCAAGTGTTCACTTGCAATTCAATAGACCACAAGTTTTATATATCTCATACGTGAACTACAAAATAGCTTCACTACGTTGAGGCGGCGAAAATATTATGTAAGCGAAATCTAACACGCTGAGGAATATAAGACCACGTAGCGACAGTGTTGGGTTGTCAGAGCAAACCACAATCACACACAGTTCAACAATACGATGACCACATCACATCACACTGCTAGAGTCAGTCCCGACCAACAATCAACCTAGCGATACATAGAACACATCGCTGGATCCAGCAGAGCGCATTTCGCTTCTCCTTGTCCTGCGAGTCACAGACTCTCTAGGGCTTACATACAACTAATCACGACGTTATTCTTGCATTACTACTATTTGACTTGCAGAATCAACGGGATGTGGCGTAAGATACAAATTAATATGCAGGTATATACATCACGCATGTATGTACAGGTCCAGATACACAATACACTATCTTCAGCAGGACAAACAATTCCCTGCATGACATTATCATGGCACCAGAGACAAGTCTTCTTTCATATATACAGTCATGATATGTGCGCAGACAAGGTGCAGGTCAAACGCTCGTCAGCATTCAAATTCTGCTTCGAATATCGCGCTGCTTACTTTGATAAAGAATAATCGTCTCAATATCTTTAAGTCATTAATTGCAAAAGTTAATTAATCAACGGACTAATCATTTTTAATTGTTTGTGGAAAATAAACGCATTTGATATCTCTTAGTACATATCGCAATTTTCTTGTAAAATTAATTAGTTGATATTTTTGTACAGTTGCAATAATTATTTTTACTTTACATTATTAACTCTAATGTAATATATGTGCGTATTAAAAAATGTATTTTTTAATTTTTTGAAATATTTATATATATGATAAAAACATTTATAATAATAATATAATATATTTTATAAACAGATTTTGCAGAGTTCTGTGAAAATATTTAACATTATGTTTAAGAGATATATTATTATTTAAAGTATTGATATCTATATTAATAAATCTTTAAAAAATTTTATATATTATATAGAGTGTGAAGTACAGTTTAAAATATTTTCAGCCTTCTTAAAAAAATCTTATATTTTGTAAATTTGCTGAATAACAATTAACTTGACTTTTTTTTAATTTATTATTTTATATATAATAAAATATATTTACGTAAAATATTTATATAGATTATCTTGTTAAAATAAAGAAAAATAAAATTATTTCTACTCTTTTTAATTTTGTTAATTTAACAAGTGTTCAAATATCTAATTATACACAAATAAAAATAACAATTATCAATTACACATTGTATCTAAATTTGCAATATTACCGACTACTACTCATCGATCTACATCTCTCTCTCAGAAATGTTTTCAGAGAGCGCAAATATATTATTCCTTTCCATACAGCCTCGAATGATAACAGATGTTTCTTTGAAATAAAACATTTCAAGATAATACAGTCTTGATTACTATTTATCATTAGATAAAAATATGAAAATATAATTTGTAAATATATCCAATCATGTGGAAAATTATATTTGTTTTAATTTTTAATTTATTTTTATACTAATTAATACACATAAAATTTATATACCTAATTATTACAATATAAATATTTTAATTTAAATTTATTTAAGTTAATTAAGTTTTTTTAGTTGATAAATAAAATATCATGTATGTATATCATTAATCTTAGCACGCACTTGAGGCAAATTTTATTTCTTTAGAGAGTCACCTGTCATATACTTTCTGATTATGTTTCTCTTTGAATATATTTTGTATAATTATTTCATTATACATATAAGCTAATATCGACTCTCGTGTCATTTTGTTACATATATTTAAATTTAGAATTCGTATGTTTTTCGATAATATTATTGGGATCTTCTGATGTTTACTGTGTTCTTTTTATTTATTGCGTGCGTAAAATATAATAGATAAATTGAAATTAAAGTTCATATAGATAAATTGAATTTAAAGTTTATATTTAAATTAGAAGTGTTGACTTTGATGCAACAAAATATGAATCAAATGTTTAAGTGTTTAAAAGTTAATATCGAGATTATATTAAATAATATTTAATTTATAGCAGTAAGATATCACATTAAATAGAAGTGATAAATTGGATAAATAATAAATAATATTAATTATTATTACAAATAATTTTTACGTTCTAACAAAAATTGATTGTGTATTATTTGACGTAATTTTATGTTGGATTTCCGTTATTTTCATTAATAACTTTTTAGATATAACTTGTTTATTTACGTTCATTACGATTTGTCTGCGTTATGCGAAGTGAGATATTTCTATTCGATGACTCACGAGTTCATTCTATGTTGGAATGCGATTGAGTGCTCTCTCTAAAACACGTGTTTTTAGATATTTTTGTCTATTTTTGCGCATCAAATGTGATACGCAAATCTGCTTATCAGTACCACGAAAGTTAATATTAGGTCAAAGACTATCCGACATTTACATTTGTTCTCTAATCTCTGATTTTTTACCGGCTTGCCTTATCATTATCGAACTTGGGTTTCGTTTTCATTACGCGCTTGCAAAATAAACAAAAGTGTATTTCGGTTTTCATCGATTAGTCGGTTTCTATCGTTTACGTGATATAAATTGAAATGAATATGTATTAATCAATTATTTGTGTCATACGTTAAAGTTCAATTTCAACATTCTTATTGAACATTTTATAAACTTTGGCCTTTGTAAATAATTTCTTCCGATAATTAAAGAGAAGAAACATATTTGTTTCTTTTGTAAAAGACATAAATAATATAATTTTATTTGCTGATATTGATACACAGTATTAATTATAGATGAAGTATATTCTTATTGTGACAATTAGTATTTATTTTTAAAATCAAAATATAATTCTTTTTTAATATAATAACAATTTAAATAATAAATCAACATATACGTAGGTATACATATTTGTGTGTATATGCGTTTCTGTTTAAAATAAAAGTCAAAACACAGTCTAAGAAGTATATATATATTGTTATTGTGAGAATTAGCATTTATTTAATTAAAATTAAAATATGTTAATAAAATAAACAATTTTTTTTCAATATAATAATAATTAAAATAATAAATCAACATACACGTGCGTATATGCATTTTCGTTTAAAATACAAAGTTGAAACAGTCCAAGATTGAAGCCGAAAGTTCAAGTCGTTCGAATAGGTTCGATCGCCGGAATATTCCGAGAACTATTTACGACGGTACGATACATTCCGTGCTCGTGATGTAATGGCTTTAGTAGATCTCGTTCTTGCCGATGAGACCGCGAAGTGGAAGCTGAATGACGGTCACGGACGGCACATGCGCGCAAGGGAAAGAGACGATATCGAGCCAGGCGGCCTGGTGTGCCCGTCAACAGAGACGGCAGCGTCAGTTTCTTCCGTCGCGCCTGGAAGACGTCCGGCACCGGACCGTGACATTACATATACACGCATAGACAACAACCGTCCGTGTCCGGGTGTTGCTTCTACTTCCTCGTCGGGATGTTCTACGCACGTGTGTCCCTTTAATTCGTGCACGCCGGAGAATGAGATCGCTGACCGAGGAGCCGTTCTCATCGCACGACGGATAATTACGCAAAAAGGCAGGGAACACCGATCGAACCATTGGTAAGGCCAATTTCGCGTTAAGAGAATTCAGACAAGGGGCGCAAAGGTAGGTGCACATGCTCGCGGATATATGTACAATCGACGTCACCGATGTCTGCTCCGAAAAGCACGGTCACGAGACGGGTCACGCGTGCCGCGTTTTCGGAGCACGCACAATAATCGGAGCATTGTATTCGATTAATCCTCATCTCGATCTTTGCAAAAGGTCATCTTCTTGGCTTTTGCACTAATATTATTATATATATATATTTCTTTTTTATTCCTCTACGCTCGCGTTTCTGAAAGTCCATCTTCCAGAATTGCGTTATTTAAGTTCAAAAATTTACTCGATAGTTATAATAATTCGATATAGACATATTCCAACTATTATTCTTAATCTCTTCAGGGTCTCTTTCGATTATATTTAATATTAAATGCCATTATTTGTTTTTTTTTTTTATTATGTTGTTTACCAGAAAAATAATATAAAAAATATTGGTGTTACAAGCTTATTGAAACCAATATCCATCTGAACGACGAATGCTTTAAATCGAATGGCGCCATACTTAATGTTCTGCGTGTAACTAATTTGTTGCATATAGAACATACCAGAGGATAATAAGCTCTAGGCGCCATGCACCAAAATGCATTATCGTTTCCTACTTGACTAGTATTAACCACGCTCACTAATTACTTAGACCATTATGAAGGTCGATGGAAGATGACCGCGCTTGTAATTCACTTTCTCTGGTCGCCCAGAGTAAATTAAAGCGTTCCGCTACGTAATCTATGATACCAACAATTAAAACGATTTCCGCGAGGAATAGAGAAATGTCATATGAAGCAAAAAAAAAAAAAAAAAAGAATTCCCCAATCGTTCAACGACTATCTACCAAACGCACTGTACACTCGCAATATACGAGCAGTGTGCCACGCGGTTCTCGTTCGTCTCTCCTTCTCCTTCTTTCTGCTTTTCTCTCTCTTTCTAACCCTCTCTCTCTCTCTCTAGCTCTGTATTTTGCACCTTCTCTCACTTCTCTGATGGTCACCGCTCGCTTGTGTATTCACGTACGTGACATACACGAATTATGCGCCATCCTACGCACACATATTTCCGCACACAGACCGAGCGAAGCTACAAGCGATGACGACGATTTGCTAATTAGCAGCGCCGTGTGCTATCGCGACAAAGAGATAAGGCCGCGAATAAGGCGTAAGATTGGTGCGACTGGTGGTGGTAATGGAACAACGGGACACGACCCTGACTGCAAGACTTCCCGAGGGATTTTCGAGGTCAAGGGAACCTCGAAGGCGCCGCTCGCGGCGATGAGATATGGTGGGAGAGCAGGAGACAAGGTGTCGCTTACGACACTCGTTCACGCGGTCAGGTCGAATCTCAATCATCGAGCTGACACCTAATCTCCATTTCCCGGATTTTTCAACGTCGGTAGACTCATTCGTTGAAGAGCAAAACAATGTCGCAAATACTTCTTCTCGTATTCTTCTCATAATCTTGGCGCGATAGTCAAAGTGGAAGTCCAACAGTTCGAGGATATTATTGTAATAATACGTAACAGAGACGGTATTTTTTGTATAAATGCGTTTTATAAGCAAAAACGAAAGAATAGTTTTATCAAAACGCTCAGTTTCTCGATGATGAATACTATTTTTAAACAAATCGCAATATATCATAGGTATTAATCTCAATCAATCCTCATTAACCTTTTAATATACATATATTGCGTTGAAGATGCATAAAGTAGTCAGCGTTTCTTTGTCGAGTTTAATGATTGAATCATTCATTAAGAATTCTTTTTTATCATCTTTACTTTCAAAAATTATCCAGTTTCTTCCAATCTTTGCATGACTGTATAAGAACGTGACGGATCTTTCATAATTTTATAATTTCGTTACAAAATACGTAATAACAGTTTGAAGAACACTGTAGCGCAATTTTTTAATTAAATGATAAATTTGCAAAATATTACATCATGAAGCAAGTTTTAGTTTTGTCAGATAAAATGTGAAGTTATTATTTTACATAACGACGCAAATATTGGTATACTGCGTTTGAAAAATGCATGTATAATATTTATGAATATATGAAACTGTGTCTTGAAATATTCGTAGTTCTTTGGTGAGTTGCATTCAAGAGACACGTGCTCATAAATTTCGACGATAATATGAATTGCGCGAATCATCAGTTTTCTCTTGCCACATGGAATGCAAATACGATGTGCATCGTTAGGTGTGTTAAGGTCGTAAACACATTGCATAATGCATTTTTTTATCAGGAGCTATCTGTTGTATATTCAAAATCGCTGAACAGTCGCGCGATATCAATGGAAGACATAACAATATTGGGGCTAACAATAACAAAGCCATGTGGCTTTTATTGTTTGTTTCAAGAGTATAAATGAATTGATTAGAATATTTTAATAATTCATCAAATATCGTGATATTAAAGGAAAGAATTATATACAGTCTTTCTCTCTCTCTCAATGTAAGATAAAATATTTTTTTCCACAAAATTGCGAAATATTTATGATAAATCATTTGACAGCTATAATTGTGAAGAAAACCTTACAGTTTATTTAGTTTTATCACTATTATTATACACATAACATTTATTTTTAATTGAGACTAAAATAATTTAAGTGTTCATAAAATATGCGTAATCGTTTGTTGGAAGAAACAATGACTCACATCTCGCCAATTCTCGTAATCTCATTGTAGATAAAATATGTGAATTTGAAATTAATTTAATATATATAAAACATACAAATACGTATATTTGTAAACACAAATATATTAAAATAATTAGAGAAATAATAAGCAAAAAAATACAAAATAAAAATTAAAGCACTCATTATTACAAATATGTAAAATGCATAATATTTATGAGACACATTTATAAAAAAAAATATTAGAAAAAGTGTGCATATATAATAAACAACAGTACTTTTGGCATTAAAAATATTATAATGCGGCTTTTAATTGAGCACGTAAATACATTTAATTCTACCACAACATATTTCCTATTAAATTTAATAACACATATTTTATTAAGATTAAAAAATCTGCCGTAATAAAAAACGTAATAAAAAAATAAACATGCAATATGTCTATTAAAAATAACGATTGTCAGGTCATAAGCCTCATTTACTTTCATTCTGGCTAAAGTGGCCATTAGGTGTATTGAGAGATTGAGCGGTCAATGTCACTATGACTATGTAATTTAACTTCCAAAGCTCCGGAAATTATCCATCAATTATAAAATTATCAACTTGCATTAGTTAATTTATCATAATCATAGCTATTTAGTAACAGATTATCTGCAATAGATGTAGTTTAATATGCTTTTTTGCTGATTATGCAAATCTTGACTTGAAGTATTAATTTTACGTCCATGCTTTTTACACTTTATTAATATGTGGCTTCGGGCAGATACATCTGGTTATTAAAACATCTGCGGTTATTAATTTTTAAACTCTATATCATTCTCAAAGTCAATTTTATCTTAATTAACGATGCAATATTATCATTAAAAATACAATTATTTTTGTCAAGAAAATTTTAGATTGCGTAAGCATTGTACATTACATTATTACATTATAAGAATAAATAAAATAAAAATGAGAAATTATCGCAATACATAATAATTGCGTAATATTGTAAGAACAGCTTATATAATTAAATAATATATATGTACAAAATGAAAAAATACTTATTTTAAAATCAAAGTAAAAATATAATAATTATAGTAATTTATTTATTAAAGTCATGGCAATTAAACTTTTTGCAAATTTACAATCATAATTGTATTATATTCCTAAAAGTTAAAGCTTTTATGCTAATATCATATAATTATATAATAGATAATGATACTATAATACATTACATTTTAATGAAAATTTCCAGGAGCTAAGGTCACAAACATGCGCACAATATACAAAGTATATCAGATAATATGAAATACTTACAATATCATATCTGACATGAAAGAGAATAACATCAGAATATAAATAAGAAAATAAGTTAAGTATAAAGATATAAAAGAGAGAGAGATAGAAAGAGAGAGAAATAGAAAGAGAGAGAAAATTAAATATAAAAAATAAAATTAATATCTGTTATTTATGTTTTTTATTATATGCGTTATTTCCGTATTCTCTCTTGTATAAGAATAAACAAATACATTTATATGCTCTCTTTCTCTCTTTTGAATATTTTTATATACATCTAATAGTATACAAAATTAACAGTGAAAAAATGTATAATTAAATAAAAATGATATCCTATAATAAAACCTATATTATTTATTTTTTAGAAATCTTAGAAATATTATTTTTTTAATATCACAACCAAATTAAATGTAAAAAAAATTAATATTACCGATTAGCATATCGCAAATGTCTAATAATAATACGAAATATATCTTGAACAATCCATTTTCTCAGTTTTACTGTCACCTGTTATTTTAACGCTATCCATACTTTTTTAACAAATTGCGGTATAATATTATAAGGATTGTGATAATCATAAAAGTTATATCACAAATCACAACATAATAAAATTTTTTTATTTCTCTGTTTAAATGACAGAACTCTTTCTAAACTGAATTTACTTTAAACTCTTTGGAACTTCAATAAGTTTTTATATAAAAATATAGGTTAATTTTACAGAGATGAAAAGAAACAGCACATTGATAGGAAAATTGCATATATATTTTCGTAACGTTGGTCTGTTTATACGACCAGAGTATACACACTATGTTTATATAGACAGATGCTGTATGCCCACGCATTTGTAAGATACATGTCGATTATGTGCACTTTACAGATATCTAAATTAATGGTTAATATTCATTTGCGTTCAGCGAATATCGAACATCGCCGTCGATATATTTCACTCAATATCAATGTGGACACTGTGCACCAGTTTACATGTTTGTAATATTTCGAAAATTGTTATTAACAAATTTGTTCGCGAGTAACGTATTGCACGTGGACAGTATCAGCGAAACTATGATGTTAACTAATTACTTGGCAACTCTCTGACAGCAATTGAATTCTTCCCTCGTAGAAGCGCGATGGTAACTGTAAATATATATCACAAGTAAAAAACATCCGGGAAGATGTGGTAATTCTCGGAAGATGTGGTCAATGTCACAATTTGGCAAGATTGTGCATTTACTTTTAGAATTTCAATGTATACTCTTTCCAATATAAATTAAAAATTTTAAATATACATATATTTACATATGTAATATAAAATAATGCGTGATAAAATTAAAGTATATGTAAAATATGTATATATTATAAAAGATTACTATTTTGTTTCTTTTTTAATTTTAATATAATTCCAATCTATGAAATATTATTGCATTTTTTTATATTGGAAAAAATGTTTTGCAATTTGATATTTTAATAATTCAGTAACATATATAGTGATCTTTTTTAGTATATTATATAACTTCTTAACGTTTAAGATTTACTCGCTATGATTTTATGATTCACCATATCTCGGATGCTAAAATGTCAGAGATAATTTAATGGTTGAATTATCTTTAAATTCACAGCTCGCGAAAATCATAGGTCGCTATCTATTAATAGTTCAAAATTCAAGCATATCACATTTTTAGGTTCTAGAAATATAGTAGAAATATATGTATATCATTGCCGAATTTGTTAAGACAAATATATTTTGCGTTGTATAATATGATTAAAAATACATTGTTAGATTAAGCTAAAAATTCAGTAATTATAGCCGCTATTACACAACACTACACAGATTTGTAAGTTTAAATTCATAATTACTAATTATTAAAAATCACTAATAAATAAAATCAAATAATTATTGTAAAATTTATAACTATTTATATATATGTATATACTAACAAATCTATAAATTTGTTACGTAAACCAAATATATAAAAACTTTATTATAATAAAAATTTGCTAAAGATTATTTATTTTTACGAGCAGATAAAAATTAATCACAAATTGTTGATTGCAAATATTTTTACCACCATGATAAAAAATGTGTACTTAATTGTGAGTGCCTTCTTGTGTTAGCACACAATATGTAGGTGCGGAATATAACGTCCGGCAGCTTCCATTTCCTGATATACCAATTAAGATAAGTCACGATAAAATTTAGGATATCCGTTGATAATATAAATATTAATATCAACAGCATAAATAATATAATTTTTAATAAAATTGCGTAATATTATGTTAGCACACAGTAGAAGGTGCAAAATATAACGTCCGACAGCTTCCATTTCCTGGTGCATCAATTAAAATAAATCACGATAAAATTTAGAATATCCGTTAATAATAGACATATTAATATTAACTGCATAAATAATATAAATTTTTAATAAAATAGCATTAATAATATTATCGTATTAAATATTAAATTATAAAATATTAAATTATAAAATATAAAACAAATTATATTAATTATCAATCGATCGTGCATACATATTTAATAATTATATAATATATTAATATTTTTATTTTAAATATTTTTTTAAAATAATTATATTGATAATTATTTTAATCATAATTTAGTAGTTTCATAAAAATTTAGCATGCAACTATAACTTTGCATAGTCATTTTCTTTAAGAAGTTATGGTAATCAGTGATACCATTGATATCCTTTAACGATTATAGAAATAATAAAATATTGCTGATATTTAAGAAAATATTCAAAAAAATAAATGATACACTTTTATATATTTGCAACAATTTTAGCATTTAAAAAAAATTTTTTACACAATTCATAAATTTATTTTTAATATATTTAAAAGTATAATATAGTGTTTTACGTAGATGATTGAAGCTATTAAAAGATATATTAAAGTGGCCTTTATGTACATATAATGTTAACGCCATGTCACCTATTAATAAAAATCTTAGAAGCAATACGTCACTCGTTGTTGTTTTCTACCCTTTGCAATTACTTTAATATATTTTTAATTTAAATAATTAAAAGAGCAGTTTATTATATTTATATATAATTAATATTTATAATTACCGAACTGATCTTTTCAATAATTATTTTAATCTAATTGTTTAATAGTTTAATAAAAATGATTTAAAGAAACATTATTATAATTGTATCAATGATATTAATCGAAATAAAATTATAATTATATTTTTATCAAAAATATTTTAAGTTACATTTATTTATAAATAATTTTTCTCTCTTAAAAATAATACAATAGTAACTAATCTATGTATATAGCTTTGCGTTTATTAAATATCTATTTTTTATTATAAATCAAGAAAGAAAAATTAAGAAAAAAATTATAGTGCAAATAACTAACGATAAAATTTTATTGTTGCAATATTTTTTATTAATGCTATCGGTGTTATCTTTCTTTATAGCGATAACAAGCTATTCCGTTTACAATCAAGATGCTGAATGAATAGACTTAATGACAAGAAGGTTATTATGTAGGTTTTTCATTTCACTAAAATGTTACGTAAACTGTTACGTAAGTCTATCGTAATTATATGAAGATATCGATTAGACCATTTAATCAAAGAGTGAAACTTATTTCACAGAAGCATATGTCTGCTCGTAGATATAATTAACACGTTGCTTAATAGGATAAAGTGGCGTAAGGGAAATAACTATGCGGAAAATGAGTGTCATCTGGCATGCTAAATTGGAAACAATTGGATATCTTTTCAACTCCGGCATTTCTGTTAAAGAAACTTAAATATAAAATAGATAAATTTTATTTGCATAGAATAAATAATTTATATTATAAACCGATCAAGATTCTAAATAAAAGACTACTACTAAAAATAAAAAAAAGTTTTAAGTAAAAATAATATTATACATTCCATTATAATTTATATAACAATAATATAAATATGTAAATTATACGTATATATTTTTATTGCTTTAAATGTGCATGTAATAATTGTTAAATAATATTTTTATTCAAATACATATACACACACAAACTATAATTGATTTTTAAGGGTAATTTTTAATTATTAATAATTATTAAAATTTATAAATTCGTTTTGTTGTAGGTGCAACCGCGAGTTAAAATGAGCAAGTCAACCCGGAAGAGACGCTCTTAACATTGTAAGTATTTCCACGATTAACTGTTATTGTTAATATAAATTTTTACTTATTTGTTGCGTGTTATTATGACATGTAAGTATTTAATAAAATTTTCTTATATATGACTATTTTCACTTCGCAACATTTACGTGTTTCATCCCACATAGTGCAGATTTGCCGTAAAGTTTAATCGGTGCAACGACGCTAGAAAACTCCCTGTACCGTGATGAACTATCGATTATCCAAAATCCAAAAGCCGATGCAAAGAAAATAGAAAGTAATACAAATACTCTACTTTTAAATGCGAATAGCATATGCAACATGCATCAAATACAAATAAGTGTGATTATAATGTTAAGTTATTCTTGTGTGTAATGTCAATCTTTCTTATCACAAATCACATATCACATATTGCAACCATAGTTAAGCACAATACATAAAAAATATACACAAAAGGTATTTATTTATATCATCAGAAAGCGTTTCATAACGCTACGCTGTATGTAAAAAGAAAACTTAACTATTTTAGTCAGACTATATTTTCAGAGAGAGTATATAAAGTGTACAACAACGTTTTTTTTTCTTTTCTACTTTTGTTAGTTTCTTGCAAGTTTCTGCACGAGTGCTGAAACTGCATTGTAAATTCTATTGTTTCAATTTCCTTAGACAGAATTTGCTCAAAACTAACAATAATAGATAAAAGAAAAGATATACGAAGAATGTTTCTTTTAAATTATCTTTATAAAATTGAAAAGGAAACATTTACAATAAAACAAAAATAATTATTTATAAATTATTTATATGATAAAAAAATAAAATATAAAATGTATAAACAGGACTTCTGGTAATGATAAAATTTTCATAATTGAAAGATAGAATAATTTTTAATGATTATGCAACGTTTCGTTATATAAGTATACACTTTTATTTTTATTTTCCAAAAAGAAAAAAAGGACCTCGGTAAAATGCATTTAAAAGATCAAAGCTGAACATAATTTTATGAAAAAAAATTATATGTGCGCAGTTTAACATATTTCCAGTTAAAATATGTTTGCATTTATTTTCAAAAACATATAAAATAATTTTTAAAAAGTAATATAAATTGCATTAATATGTGCAATACTAGAAATAATTAATCACTACACCAAATCTTGCATTTGAATAACGAAATAATATACGATTGTTTTAGATTCTTACTAATGTATTTAGATTCTGACTGATTTGTAAAAAAGCGAACGTGAGAATTAAAATAATTTTAAAACTTTTTGATTATAACATTTTAATTTAAATATTAAATATATTAATTAAATAAATATTATAATTTTGACAGCTGTTATTTCTCTTTATTGTTTTAATTTTAAATGATGATATTTTATAATTAGAGTTGCTTGCACGTCACTGATTAATAAATTAAAGGTCGAAGAACACGTTAATGCTTCATTTTCCAGAGGGGTTAACACCCGATTAAAGTTCAGATGATTCCTTTGAAGTATTACGTATATACGTTACTTATTGAGGCCACAGGTCGGCTAATAACTATCAATTAAATATGACTTCAAACGAGTTCTCAATAAGAGAATTGTGTGTCAATGCAAGGATCGCAAAATCAAATTATTGGAGAAAAATATTATTTATTTGCAAATAACCCTTTCTCTACAATTAATGATAATTTTTTTTAATCTAATTATATACACATCCGGCCTTCGTGTATGCCTTTATACCAACTAGTTATGTTTACAAAAACTCAGCTTGTACGTGTACAGTATAAACAGTGCAAACTGTACACTGAATAAACATCGATGCTTAACTTTAGAAATTTATAACACTGTGTAGTACAAACGCATAGTATCTTACTTAAACACAATCGAGTTGCAATCCTAACTCATCAGCCAACACTATTTACGCACCAAGGATATTAAAAATATATGTATGCAAGGTGTAAATATTGATTTTCGAAGCCATGAACACGAAAAAAGTCATATCTACGATTTATGTCGTAAGAAAAATAACATTTGATAGCATAATCGATATAGAAAAGATTGATGCGATGAAGAAATCCGATGTCTTTAATGGCGACATTGATCCCTTGTTGACAGAACCGGAAAACGCCATATCTAGGCTGACTTTGCCGGAAGTTGGTGGAACGTCACGGAAATGACGAAGAAGTTTGAGTTCAACTGGCAGATCGAGGTGCCGGAAGCACTCCGCACTGGCTGCGTCTTCGATCGTTGGACGGAGGAGAAAGATAATACTGAAATCGAGCTGAATTGCTTGTTCAAGGTCGACGAATATGGTTTCTTTATTTATTGGCAGAGCGAGGGAAAGGTGAGCTTTTTCTCCCGTCGTTTGTGCCATTTTGTTCGTTTTGGATCAAGAAACGAGGTGTTTCTAAGATCTTTAGCGACCTACGAATAGAGACACCTTCATTCTTATCTTATCTCTCTTCCCTCTCCAGGATGGTGATGTTATAGAATTGTGTCAAGTGAGCGACATTAGAGCCGGAGGTGTTCCAAAGGTAAAGGAATGCTTTCATTATCTTCAAATAACATAGCATTTAATCTGTCAGAACTAATTGTAATACACATTCAAGAATTAAAATAATATTTTATAAATTATCGATTTGTGTATATCTAGTTGTACGAGAAAATGCTTCGCGATATCCAGAAATGATGTCGAATCAACGTCAATTCGTCGTCGAATCGATGTTGATTCGACGTCGATGATCTTTATGAATATTAATCCTTTCAACTATGCTAAAATAATGGTATAAGAAAATATTAGTATTATATCAATTTTGTATTTATTACCTTTTTTTTGGTTACATTATTCAATTATTCAATTATTAGTCAATTATTTTATATAGGTACCTTAATTTTGTAATAATACAAATTTTTTTCAACTAACTAGAATATTAGCAATATAACAAGGTTATTAAGTAATTGACCACACTGACTGTAGAAGGATATCTTTATTCTAGCGACTTTTCGACTTTAAATTGGGTCCGTTTCCAGCTACAAAAATACAAACATGAGAGTAATCACTCGGTTAGTAACCATAGAACAATATATAATCATGAATTTAATTGGACTGTTTCCATTTTACATAACGAATCTAATTTAAAAAAAAGAGAAATCTGCGAAATGATATACATTAAAAAATATAAGGACGCGATTAATCTACAGAGAGACACAGAAAACTTAAATATTATTTATGACAATATTTTTAATGTACTTTAATATCCTTGACTGAGTTATTTGTTAGTGTATTGTTCACTGTGTTATCTCTGTGTTTCTCTACTATTTTGATTAGCATCAGTTTATGTTAATCTCTGATTTTGCGAACATCGTTAATGACGATCGAATTTTTACTTGAATTGGTCATTTAACGTTTAATAATTTTTAATTTAAAGTACCTTCACAAATGGACATATCTTGAAGCACAAATATGTCTAACAAATAATTTTCTATATATTAGAACAAACGTTTGTTGATTGTCTTTATTAATACAGCATTTTTCTCTTTGTATCAATGTTCAAAAAATTTCTTTATATTTTTTGTATTTTTATAGCTGAAAAAGGATCCAATTTAGGGTCGAAACGTCGCTAGAATAAAGATATCCATCTATAGTCAGTGTGGTCAATTACTTAACAACCTTGTTTTTAATTTAGACTGACAATTAACAATTTATCTTGTTAATTAGCATTATAAGTCTCAATTTTATTGCTAAAAGCGAAGTCACAAGCGAAATAAAATCTATCGTTCAAAAATAAAAAGGTAAAAAAAAACATGTTAATAACTAATACACTAACGTATTTTCAAATAGGATCCAAAACTATATGACAAGCTACTCAGCAAACACGGTGAACAGTTGGACGAGAAAAGTCTGACCATTTGTTCGGGCGTCGATTATACCAACATCAATTATCAACATGTCGTATGTCCGGATCTTGCCACAGCTAAGGTAAACGCCATATACTAATCATGATAGCAACAGAAACAGGGCATCCACGCATTAAGCTTATCGGTCAAATAAATTATTATTGACTGATTGATATGATACCGATATAGCATTTATGATTAATATTATCTTTAATAAGACTATAATTTTGTGATATTTATTTTATAATAATAAATAATATAATTAGATTACTTTTTAATAATTGTAATTGTAACGCATAAGGTTTATTTATCATGATAGTTCTTGTGATAAATAATACGGTAACATTGTACGTAATAATTATAAACGAAACATATAAGCGTGAATGCGCGATTGAATCGCAAAACTTTTTATCTGATTTGAAAAAGTTTTTAATACATCGTTCGCTTATTTACATTATTACGCTTATTTGCGCTTTTATACCTTTCATTTTCAAGAAATTTTATCACCAATTATCGCTAAACCAGGTGATACGAAAATAGCGTGAGTGCGTCACACGCGATTTTATACATGATACAATTGATTTCTTATCGTATTGTGACCTCTCCGTCGCATATATTTGTTGTGCTAAAATATATATAAAATATACTATAAAAGCCATTTGCTATTATAAAAATAATATCATTTAACGAAATAAATTATAAAAATAATATTATCTAGCGAATCTTTATATTTGCGTTCTAAAATTATTTATTTTAGATATCATGTAATGAAGATTGTTGAACAATATTTACTTACTCTTTATTCCAAACTTAAACGCATATTACTATACAGGGTGTCTGACGTAAAGTGTCACACCAAAAATATACAAGTAGATCTCGTTATTTGGAGATGATTTTTCCTCAGCAAAAATGTCAAGGGAGGCCATCATTTTTTGGATGTTTTTAATTTTTACCATCATGTATCTTTATAACTGAGCTTTAAATCAAAATTTTATTAAAGTAAACTCTACCTGAAATTAATTGGAGAATGTGGTTTTGTTAATATTTTATTTTCACAAGGCTTAGTTTGCGAAAAACCCTTTATTGTCAATCGCTTATAACTCGAAAATTATTAATGCTTCTATATTTTTGCTGAGGAAAAATCATTTTCAAATAACGAGATCTACTTGTATATTTTCGGTATGACACTTTACGTCAAACACCTTGTATATTTTAAATGTAATATTATTATCAAATTAATCAGATCGGAATAATACGTCGAATAAATTTTGCTGTGTTAAATAATCTATTAACAAAGTTTGATCGCTTTGATATCAATGTATATATGTAGCGATAATATCGTTCTGATAACAGATATCGATTTTTTATTGGTATTAATAGCATTTATCATTATAACAATATACATATATGTTGCGGATTGCAATGACTGATAGATTTAGTGACTTAATAATTTTCATGATTATAGTTTGTATCCATCTACTAAATTTGGTACATATTAGTTCTACAAAAGAAAAACGATCTACATTATGTCATTTATATATGTCGTCACAGGTATGGTTGGACGGCGTTCGATCGATTACGCACAACGTCAAAGCGAATAACGTTTGTCCGCTTACTTGTTTGAAGAAACAGTAAGTTTGCCAATGCATTTATATACGTTTGCACTAACGTACGTCAGTAAACAATAACACTGTTTACCTTTATGAAATTGGTCGTAAATTTTACTACATAGAACGTATTTATATAAAAACTTCGCATTTCTATTTTATTTCTGATGCAAAAGAATATTTAACTTAGAACGTTGAACAAATTCGATTTAAGTCTTAGTATTTCGTTGGTCTTTTCGGATTCTCTTTTTAAAGTTTCTTGAATCTTTCATCTTCTCATAATGGCATTATGTAAATTTCATGATATCAGAAACTTACTACTAAAGTACATGATAAAAATTAAAGTTGACAGGAATTTGTCCTATACTGTGTTTGTGTTGTTTGGATAAGATTTTTATTTTTTAAATATCTAATATATGAAGTAGATGAATAAGACAACGATTCTTATGCTATTTTAGTTGGATGCGATTGAGAATGTTGGTGGATCCTAATGGAAAAGTTCCAGTAAAGGTTGTCGCGAGAACTTTCGCGTCCGGCAAGACAGAAAAACTCGTTTACCAGTGTCTTTCTGAATTAGGCCTACCTAGTGGAAAAGTATTTTGATTATTATTACAATAAATTATCAACAATATATTTTATCTTTTGTCAAAATATTGCAAAAACTTTTTTTTTTTATTCCTAGAATGACGTCATAGAACCTGATGACTTCACCTTTGACGCATTTTACGCGCTTTATCATAAAATATGCCCGAGAAATGATATAGAAGAATTATTTCAATCAATGTGAGTATACTTATTTTGAAAGTATAATATATTTTAAATATTTTATATACTTATTTTAAAAGTATAAAATATTTTAAATATTTAAAAAGTTGGGTATATATTTTTTGTCTGTAAAAAAAAACAATACCTTTTTTTAACAAGGACTGCTAATTATAAATTTAAATTACCTCAATATTGAAAATCCAATAGTAAAATTTTACTAAAAATTGATATAAAACAAATTTTTTTAAGTTTATAATATTAAGAACTTTACAAATGTCAAAGCATGCTTAATAAAGAAACATAAACAGGAAAAGTTTTACATATATTATTTATATATGTTTTTTACACTTTATTTTTATTTTTTTATATTTTTAAAATATATTTTATTTTTTATAGTACTTTATAATTTATGTTTTATCCAAGATAAAACAAATTTATATACAGAAGAAACATTTTATAAACGCGATTATTTATTTAAAAATTCCAGAACACAGGGTAAGGCTGATACGATTAATCTGGAGCAACTGATTACTTTCCTCAACGAAAAGCAAAGAGATCCGACCCTGAACGAAATTCTCTATCCACTTTATGACGAGAAACGGGCACTGGAGATCATCAATGATTACGAACAGAACGAAGTTGCTCGCAATGAAAGTAAGAGCTTGATATATAAATAAATGATGTATATAACTTTGGCAAAATGTTTCTCTCGACTTTTCCAGGACCCCAACCAAGCCTAATCAATTTTCTTTGTAAAAAATATTATTTCCATAGATATTCAATCTGCTTTTACGTATCAAATACACGCATATACGGATATATTATATTATTGTGATTATATTTTAAAGATATAAAAGAGTAAATTTAAAAAAAGATTCAACTTAATAATGTAAAAATTAAATTAGCTCGATCGATCGAATATGATTTATTTTTGCTACAATTAAAGAATTTATGAAGATACTGACTTAACTTCCAAATCGACTTTTCTTTTAAAAATAACTGCATATTTTCAGGAACGATGACGAAAGACGGCTTCATAAGGTACCTGATGTCCGACGAGAATGCGCCAGTTTTTCTCGACAGGCTTGACGTTTATATGGATATGGATCAATCTTTGGCGCATTATTATATCAATTCGAGTCACAATACATACTTAAGCGGACGACAATTTGGCGGAAAGAGCAGTGTCGAAATGTATAGACAAGTTCTACTTGCTGGATGCAGGTATAAAATATACTGCTGTGCAAAATACAAGAACCGATTACATCTGATTTATGACATATATTCTGACAAATCTCAATAACTAATACATATTTATAGCTGGATCGATTGCGCTAGCTTACCAAAGCGTTTATTTGAATACTTGATATTATATCTGGACGTAAAATCGATATTCGTGACATGAAACTAATGAATATTGATTTTCTTCTACTTCATAATAATAACATGCAGTTAAAAATATATTTAATCTAATTTTATAACAGATTAAATAATAAATAATAGTTATTAGTAATAAATAATAATTATACTTACAAATATAAATACAACTTTAAATAATTCATTGTTGTGATATTTTGTTTAATTTTAATTTACTAATTAATTAATAATATAGTTATTGTGCTTCATTATCCTATGAATTAACAAAAATTATTTTACATGATGAGAGTTATAGTCTTTTTTGAATTTAAAGGTGCGTTGAATTGGATTGTTGGGATGGCAAAGGAGAAGACGAAGAGCCGATAATCACTCATGGCAAAGCCATGTGCACCGACATTTTGTTCAAGGATGTTATATACGCGGTCAGAGACACGGCCTTCGTTACATCGGAATATCCAGTGATTCTCAGTTTTGAAAATCATTGTAGCAAGAAGCAACAGTACAAATTGGCCAAGTATTGTGATGAAATTCTAGGTGATTTATTATTGAAAGAGTCTCTAAAAGAATATCCCGTAAGTTGAAAATGTTATAAAATATTTTATAGACTTACGACAAATCAGTTTACAAAAAGAATATGAATTATTTATTGCAAATTAATCATTACTCAGCAAGAAATAATTAATCAAAGTGACGTCGATCATTTTTGCTGGATTAGATTACAATATATTATACACGATAAATTATATAGCATATAAAATATAAAAAGAGAAAGAATTTCTTGCATCAACTCGCTTTTACAACAAATCGATCGTACAAAATTTTGCGGCTCTTTATAATTCTAAGAATAATATTTAAGAATATATTATTATATAATTTATATTTATTATTAATATATAATAATTATATTATTTATTATTAAATATTATAATATATTTAATTAATATATTTAATTAATTATTACATTTGACTGCGTATATGATGCATTCAATCAAATATAGTTTGTTATTAAAAATTATATATAGAAACAGATTTCGCCAATTTCATCAATCTCAAAAATCAAGTTTAATTAACTATATACTTGGAATGTTACAACTGTTACATCTTTATCACTTATATATCATACTAAATATTCTTATCACTAAAATAGCTGGAGCCAGGAGTACCGCTGCCGCCGCCCAGCATGCTGAAACGTAAGATTGTCATTAAGAACAAGCGCTTAAATCCCGAGGTCGAGAAGCAGGAATTGGAGCTCTTCAAACAAGGTCAATTCGTGATCGAGGACGAGGTCAAGGAAGACGCCAGCGCGCCGCCGTCCGTTGCCGCCGTCGTGGAACAGCAACCGGTAAAGGTAACCTTCATTATAATCCTCAGATTGGATGGTAGTGCCCCTTCACTTTAATTCAATTAAATGGCCATGGTTCCTATGGTAAATCGACGATATACTGTTACTCTCAGGAAGAAATCTCTGATGTTGTAATAGCATCGGTAGGCATTCAACAACAGCAATCTAGCAGCGGTCCTAGTCTCGGCGACAGCATAGAACTAGTAGCGGCTCAACCTTATACCGGAAGTACTACCAATGTACATCCGTGGCTATCCTCTATGGTTAACTATGCACAACCCATCAAATTCCCTGGCTTCGATGTTGCCGAACGTAAGCGAGGTTTTTGCTTTATTAAACAAATTAATTATGTACATATATCTTTATTCACTATTTTTTTCTGAATATCATTGTTTAAGATATACATATATATATATATTAAAAATGGTGTATTAATTCGATATTACTTTTTCTTATAAGAAAAAGTAATATCGAATTAATACACCATTTTTAATTGCAATACGTCAATGCTAATATTTTATATATTACACATTGCATTAATATTTCTGTTATTTTTAAATATTTGTTTATATGATTACAGTGCTTTCTATACAAGATATAAAATAAAATTCACGGATATAATTTTTATTTAATGTTATAAATACGCTTTATATTTTTTAAAATATACGATTAAAAATTGCAACTGATGTAATGCTAGTTGATTGAAATTAGAATTAAAAGCAAATTACTATTTCAGAAAAAAATATTCATCACAATATGTCTTCCTTCGCGGAAACGGCTGGTCTGAACTACTTGAAAACGTCGGCTATTGAGTTCGTAAATTATAACAAACGGCAGATGAGTCGAATTTATCCGAAAGGCACACGAGCCGACTCTTCCAATTATATGCCACAGGTAAATACATGCTCGTAGAGTGCAATTTGCGCTACAAAGAACACGAAGAAAAGAAATCTCTCAATGATCGATCGTTGCGAAACAGGTCTTCTGGAACGCTGGTTGTCAAATGGTGTCGCTGAACTTTCAAACTGCGGATCTGCCTATGCAACTGAACCAAGGCAAGTTCGAGTACAACGGTTCTTCGGGTTATTTGTTAAAGCCGGATTTCATGAGACGAGCCGACAGGAGTTTTGATCCTTTTGCTGAAAGTCCTGTGGATGGAGTAATCGCCACACAGTGTAGTGTTCAAGTACGTCTTACTTTTTTAAATGATAAATAACACTCAATTTCGTATTCTAAAATTTTTTCTTCTTTATTTTTGAAATCGAATAACTCACAGAATTAATGTGATTTTGATATATTATTTTGGTTTCTTATTATGTAAAATTGTGTATTTATACATATATACATATATTTATTCCATTTTTACTTTAAAAATATGGTACTGTTTAAATTTAATTTTTTCTCACATTATATAATGGTTCATAAATTTTGTATAAACATACATTATGCATATTAGATAAGATGTATATTTTATAATACAACTGACTTTTTTCATAATATTTTATATATGTATATTTAAATATGTATTAATTTATTATATTTGATAATGTTAAATTATTATTGTATTATTTTATTTTTATCTTTTATAGGATCTTTGTTCTAATAATAATACAAATTGATATAAATTGCTCAATCACATAAAAAATGTTAAAAATATTAATACAATTACAATTTTTAATAATTTGTTATGTATCAAAGTTGATAATTGAAAAATAAGATATATTTAAAGAAAAATTGTATTGCATATACATATGTTCATATATATACATACATATATACGTGTATAATATACAACATACAATATATATATATATATATAGAAAATTATTCGAAAAAAATTATTAAAATTATTATTAAAATGGTGCCTGGTATTTAATGATTTATTATTCTAATATTATCATAGGTAATAGCGGGTCAATTCTTGTCCGACAAGAAAGTCGGTACGTACGTGGAGGTCGAAATGTACGGCCTACCAACCGACACGATACGTAAAGAATTTCGCACCAGAGTGGTTCCCGCTAATGGTCTGAACCCCGTTTATAATGAAGAGCCCTTTCTCTTCAGAAAAGTTGTCCTACCAGATTTGGCTGCTTTGAGATTCGCGGTATACGATGAATCAAACGGCAAACTGTTAGGGCAAAGAATTGTTCCTTTAGACGGTTTGCAAGCCGGTTATCGGCACATTGCATTGCGAACCGAAGCCAACTTTCCGATGTCTCTACCTATGCTGTTTTGTAACATTGACATCAAAATCTATGTGCCAGATGGTTTTGAAGGTACGATTAATATTACACGTTGGCTTTATATTTTAGATTTTTATATAATTATAATTTTCAATCGTGTAATTTTAAGTAGAAATATTTCTTGTTCATAAAAAATAAACTGTCTTACATATTTGATTCGACAATTATGTAAATACGTAATTTTAATAACTTTTGCTTTTATCTTTGACTTCTATAAAAGTCAACGCGAAAATCATTCAAACTTTTAAAATGAATAATTATTAAAATTAATAACTTTGATTTTTATATTATGTGCATTTAATAATATTTAATAATAAATGTAATTTTGATTATTTTTAATTAAATTTTAAATAAATATTAATTGATTGCTTTAATACTGTTTACAATTTTTTTAGAATTTATGGACGCTTTAACGGCGCCACGAGCATTTAGAAAGACCGAAAGTATGTCGCAAAATAAAATGCGGGGCTTGGGAATTGAAGAGAGTGACAGCAAAAACAATATAGACAGCAAAAATAACGTATCATCTCATTTCGAAGCAGCTAAACCAAGAGGTAAATCGTAAATACAGGAATTGTGTTATTAATCAAGTACTTATAAGTACTTGTTCCATTTTGTTTTTACAGAGGAAATGAAGTTCGATCCAATTACTTTGGAGACTTTGAGACAAGAAAAGGGCTATCAGAAAGTATTACGGAAACAACAAAAAGAATTAGAATCTTTGAAAAAGAGGCATCACAAGGAGAAGTTGACTGTCCAGAAGCAACATTGCGTTGCTATAGAGAAGATTTTCAAAGGAAAAAAGTTAGTCATTTTTACACAATTTAAATCAAATTTTTGCAAAAATATTTGTGTTTAATAAATCAATTAAATAATGCTTATATTTAATCGAAAGAGTATAATTCGATGACAAAATAAAAACTTGAAGAAAATGAAAAAGTAAAAACGTATTTAAAGAAAATAAAAATTTTTTAAATATGTAGTATAAAATAGTACATATAAAGTAAAATAATTTACGCATGCAAGATTAAAGATTGATATAATTAAACATGATTAATTGACAAAACATTTCATGATTAATGATTAAAATAACATATACATACATATATAATATATAAAAGAAAAATATATAATAAAATATAAAATATATAAAAATTTTTAAAATTTGTTTCAGCAAAGCGGAGCTGTCAAGAGATCCTATCGTTCGTCGCGCTGTTTCCGAACAGACAGCCCAATGGTCGCGTCTCGCTGACAGACAGCGTCGAGAGGAACGCGATCTGGTCCGCGGACACCTGGAGGAGCGACGAGCGCAGCTTGTCAAATTATGCCTAGCCGCTCAGTTCGCTCAGCAGAAACAACAAACTGCACGACATGATCGCGATATGAAAGATATGACTGCGCGACAAGCAAGACTTTCAGTGGAAAGCGCAAGAGAGGTGATGAATGACAAGACTTTGAAACGAAAGGGATTAAAGAAGGCAGACTCAGGGAGAAGCAGCAGAATAACACGAAAAAATTTATGGAAGAACGCAAGGTCGGACAGATGATACAAAACAGGGAGAAGGAGAAGCTTAAGTTGATCCACGAGAAACAACTGGAGGAATTGCAGAAGGATATGAACGCGGTAAGCGAACACATTCTTGCTATGTTAAGGATTTTTCCGATAGTATAATTTGCATTTATATATAGATAGTATATTTAACATAATTTATGTAATTATCAACTGTAATTATCAAAATTTATTTTAATTATTAAAAAATTGAGGAAAAATTTTTTTTTTTAGATTTATTTATTTTAATTGCTTATCGATGGATTATCGATATTTTTCCGGTACTTCTTCCGAATATATGTATTACATATATGAATATATGTAGTAGATTTAATTTATTAAAAAGTTGAATTTCTAATTTATTGTATATATTTGATTTGCAATTGCATATTTTTGTTTTGCAATTAAGTTTAATTTTATTTATTTATTATTTATAATCTATGTTCCTCTTTTGTTAGTTTGTTATATCACGTTATGTGTTGTTTTATTTAATAATTTTTAAACTTTTTTGTTAAAAAATATTTTATATTTTATTTTTCCTCTAATGTTCTTTTCATTACGTTATATTTCAAAAATTATAAATTGTGAATTATAAATAGTTATATTAATTCGAAAAAACGGTATTATAAGCTTAATTATCAAAAAATAATTTTTGATGTAAATGTGAATTATTATAGTTGAAAATCTGGAATAAAAAAACTAAAAAATTTTTTGCTGATTTTTTTATTAATGCTGTGTTTTGTTATTTATGTGTAAATAATATATAAAAACTCTTATCACTGAGAAAAAAATGCTGTTGATTCAATTAAACGTGACGTTACGAGCTGCCATCAACATATGCAGTTGATTCATCAGTATATCAGTTTAAACAAAGGTATGACATCTTGATTTGATTAATAATGTCATTGAATTAACAAAATACTGATGAATCAACTGCATATGTTGATGGCAGCCCGTAACGTCGACGTTTAATTGAATCAACAGCATTTTTTTCAGATAGATTATTCGATATATAAAAAAGTCTACTATACTATAGAAAAATATTATTTGAGTAAGTAAATAATTTTTCTAAACAATTATTTGTTAATCCTATATTGCATATTACATTATCTGTTAAAACTAAACTATTCATATATGATATCAATATATATTATTCATGCATTGTAAAAAATATTAAGTAAAATCAAGATTTGAAGGTGACTTGAGGACTTACTCTAATTAGTAAGGATAAAGTAAAATAAATTAATCATTTCATTGAAAACTTACTGAAAAATCTGAATATTAAGGAATTATTTTACATAATTTAAATTTATAATTTATATAGAGATAACAAATTATTTTTTTAATGTAATTGTCTTAGTTATACAAACAATTCTTCCAGATCATGGATATGTACAAGAACGAGGACATGGATTATGAGCTGGCTAAGATGTTGGCTGAATTCTACGTGTGATGAGCCAACCGAGTTTCTCCGCAATTTACCTCCAATGCGCTATGAACGAGGACTGTTTTCAGACACACAATTTACTATTATCGTTAATTATACTTGAAATTGGGATCAAACTTTGTTAGCTATCATTCTCATATCTGCCGACAAATGTCGCGCGTTGTGAGAAATCAGATGTAAAACGAGCAACTACAGTAACGTTTCTAATTCTTATTCAGCCAAGTATTTTTTTATAAACAAACATTTTGTGTCTCCATATAGTCTCTGAGTACCTATAGACTAATGAGGGAGTCAATAAAACTAAAGTGATCTAGTCAAGTATTAGATATATATAAAAAGTATATCACACATGATCGAGACTGATCAAACGGTGTGATCCACCGCGCGATTCGTCGAAGTGAATATTTTTTGATTGTTAACACTATTATCGAAGTCTATCGAAGTGGAAAAAATGTATGCATGTATGTGTGCGTGAGATTGTTGTCTGTATTCATGAGTCGATGCCTAAAATATCGAGAAGGACTCTTGCTGTTATTGTGACGATTTCTAGACCATACATACCTTTGAGTTGAGAGAGACGCTTTCACGGATCTTAGCCGATAGTTCTCGTGACTGCTGATAATGATTAGAGTATTAATACATTAGAATCTCGAGAGATCGTAATTTTCAGTCGATACTCTTACACGAATATTCACACAGATTTGTAAATAAATTTTAAACGGGAGCCTAGTATAATTATTATCATACATTGTTGTTTTCATTATATAATATAAAATGTTATTTACATAAATTATTATATCATTCTACATATATATCTATATATTAGATATAAAGGATGAAATAAAAAAAAATATTACAAATTATGTTCGCGATTATTTCTTGTTTATTAAATTAGAGGCAATTATTTTCGTAAGGCATGTATCTGTACGTCGATAAAAATTATGGTACACAGTAAAAATTATATTACAACGAACGTCGAAAGATATTTTACATGAAACATAATAATTTATTTAATTTTATTATCATAAACAATGGAATGAACCAGTTCAATACCTGAGATATTTTATTGGTTAGAATTAATTCTATAATTAATCACTTCGAAAGAAATAGTATTTTAATATATTCTATAAATACATATTTTCTTAATTATCATTATTCATAGATGTGGAGATCATAATCATGTGTCTCGTCGTCGTGATTAAAATAATGTTCGTATACATCTGAATTGACATCAGCGATAATAAATTCTTCATATGGAGCTAAAACAAATAATGTAATAATTTCTTGATATTTACCAACAAAGTACAACAGTATTTCACACTGATTTTTTTAAAATAATGTTAAATAACATTTCTTTAAGCTTATACTACTTTTAAGCTATCGAAAATGTTTCTAATTCAAATCGTTAATGTGTTTTATATATCTTCTCTCTTTTTCAAATCATTTTTAATACAATTTTAACTGACGAAAATACATATTATAATTTGTATGTATTAAATAGAACATTTTAATTAATATACTAATTTTATACGTGTGCAAAGATCAGACAACTTTCTACAAATATTTACATTTTAATTTACCTGAATAAGATATATCTGAATGAGAGATGTCATCTATATCGTTGTGAGTCTCCACGAATTGAATAATTGGTTGATAATATGCATGGTGCCCCAAATCCGCAATCTCCGCTTGGTCTCTGTAGTTCGCGGGTATTATTATACTATTGTGATTATCGATCTGTACATTTTGATAACTGGTAGCGCCATGGCCGTGATAAACCGTCTGAAGATTTGTGTAATCTATACCTCTTTTTATTATCCTCGCCTCGCAAATCGCGATTACCAATAAGAACAACTATAAAACACAATAAATTATAAGCTTATTTAAACACTGTGAAGAACCATCTTATAAGTTATGCATTAACTTTTCATGTTGATTTTGCTAATGGTTTTGCTAAAATGATCATTTTTAATTTATACGACTTTTTTGGCAGCCAAATTAATTAAAACTTAAATAAAGATATTGTATATGTTATTAAACTGTTTTTTTTTTTTTTTTTTTAATTTACAGACTCACTGTTTTTAAATTTTCTAAACATTCACTCACATAATATCTCATAATGAATTCACTTCAGATGTGCTCGTTCGTTTGTACTGAAGATATCTTCCCATGAAGGCGTATTTTATACGGCGGACGCCGCATAGACTTACGCAAGTTCATGCGAATATTATGCGCTAGCAGCGGATGTTTACAATTTGTGCTTCATGGTGTAGATTCGCGTGGACGCGTTGTGGCGCGCTTAGACATATGGGAAAATCGGTGGGTTACGCTCGTAAGCATGCACGTGTGTATGCTAGTTTCAAAACCGCGAGATCGTTTCATTGCCGAGTTACGCAATTCAAGTTGAATGGTGTTGCGCGTATGTGACGAAACCGTATGTGATTCTTTGGAATCCTTGGGAAAACTCGACGTCGATCCGTCATTCCAACCTTAGTAGTATATCGGTTTCGTGCAGTCAATTTATCTTTGATGCGATAAGAGGAAGAAAAACTTATCCGCCAGCAAGGACACGTGAAATTGCGACGATTATTATATATTCTTTGTTCGAGAATTGTTATATAAACATCTGGAATTTTCATTTATAAATGATCTTCCACGCTGATACTCTATTCATGATTGAAATTAAAATTATGTAATTATATATTTTTATAATTTTCTGGAATAATAATTTAAATTTATAATATATTACGCATATTTTGTGTGCATAATATTTAACAATGTGATGCACAATTTCTGGAAACAATCGGAGAAATTCCATAGCAATGAGATTTCATAGCTCGAAGAATTGAGATCTCAGGAGATGCAATCTAGATAAGTATATATGGTAGAAGATGTCCGCAACTCTGTAACATAATTGTAGGCTATACCTATGCTTATGAAATTTATATGCATATAATAGTTTTCTGGATGAAACTTTGAATAAATAGCAAAAATTTATAATTGGCAGTAAATTTCGACATTAATTTTTAAAAGTCAAATTTTTTTCTATTTGTAATGCTATTACGTGATTTCTTTATTTCATAATATTTCGTACATTTTACATGTCTGTGTTTTTATATATCTCTATGATTTTATATTTTTTTACATTTGTACATTTTGCACTCAAAAAAATGAACACTTGATTGAAAAAGAAAAATAATTTTATTATACATTCCAGATTAAATCTGTCATTTTTGACAGTTTGTAACGTGATTTCTTTTAGTAACTTGATAATTTTGACATTTGACGAGAGATGGATATTCTGTAGAAACACATTATATTATTGTGCTAGTTTTACATACAATATTTTTCTTTATTACAATCGACAAAATATCTATCGAAAAAATCTATCAACTTTTTATTTTATTTAAATACCAATATGTAAAAAAAAATGACAAATGAAAATGCTGAATATTTAAAAGTTTTTACATTCTGCTTTATTTTACATTGCGCGCGATCGAACGATCTATACACAATCCGGTTTAACTATGACAGAATTGTGAACGGGTTGTGGGGTATATAAAGGTGATGGAATATGAACCACGGGTTTGGCGTAAGACAATTGCGGCGCTTGTATCTGCACTATTTTCGGTGCTGCATACGGTACGGGAGTGTGGACCAAAGGCTTCTCATAGGTGATTTGAGCGACAGGCGCATCATACTTTTTGAGAAAGACTTTCGGCATCGCATCGTGATACATGGGTGCATAAGGGTACAAGGGTTTCTGATAGATTGGCGCATATGACAGTATAGGCTTCTGGATGGGCGTCACGGGCTTGATGTACTGTATCGGTTGATGTACCGTGTGATAATTTAACGCAGGTGTCACCGGCTTCACATATGTGATAGCCGGTTTAATAGAGGTATAAGCAGGCGGCTGTTGAATGTACTGCAAATGAGCTAATGGTTGAGCTATCCCCAATTCCTTCTTCAGATAAGTCGGCTGAACCAAAGGTTTAACGTAAACGGACGGCGGCGAATAAGCAGGAATGTGCGAATAAATTGAATCGCAAGGTTGATGAATAGAACCTCTCTTTGCCTTTAGCATCGAAGTGTCCAATGTTCTGTCCATCAGCGGCCCATCCGGCATATTCATCTGCATCCCAGTTTCCGAACGCACCGTTGACAGCCATATTAGGCACGGTATCTAGGAATTAGAATAGGTTGATTAATTATTACGCCAGATCGATGACGGAAAAAAATTCACTAATTGTAAAAGATAGAAACTATATTATGAAATTAAATAGGAAATTTATTTAAACTGTATTTAATGCATCTAAAATTTTAAAAAATGTGTAAATTTATATATTCGAGAAATATATAAAATGTCATTATTTTAGTCTAGTAAAATATATATTAAATATAATAATTGTAGAATGTCTAAAATATTTATTTATAATTTTTACTGAAAACATAATTTAAAAAATTCTAAAAATAAGTTAATGATAAAAATACTACATGAAAATTTATATGCTCCACTTTTCAAAGAATAAATTGATTAAAATCGATTTAAGATGTTTACTATACGTTATCCTCTATTAAAATATAAACACACTAATACATGCAGATCAGATAATATATGCAATATATATGCAAATATATGCAGTTTTTTTGAACGCATGCTAAATTAATATTACACCAATCTGTGTGTAACAATCAATATGTTAAAGAAATTATGAAATATAAAATGTTATCTTATAAAATAATAATGCTAATAACAAAAAGAAGATGTTTATGATTCTAAAACATTCTATCAATGATTATTTTTAATAAACAGAAAAAAGATATATTTGTTTATATAAATTTGACATACATATATAACAAAATTGGCATATCTTAAATAGTTTTTAGAAAAAATATATTGCAATATTTATTTTTATTAAAATAAATTCTAAAATAAATGAATCTTTAGCAATCGCAAAATGACTATAATGCAATCAAATCGATATGCTTACCAATAATCTGAGCATGATTTTCTTTCCGTCAAATTGTACCAGGACCAATAGATGAGAAGTTCTGGACCAAACTAGAGTCGCGTCACTTGCAGTCCTCGGTTTTATAAACTTTTGCTCCACTTAGAGAGGGCAAATTTCTTGCCGAGCCCAAGTCGAATGTGATTCCCTTAAGCGGCGTAAAAAGCGGTCACCAGGTTTACGTGATGCAATCGCACGTATCTCGGTATTTCCTGAATAAATTCTGCGACGGCGTAAGAGAATGCCCCCGTCGGGCACAACGACACATTGCATCGTTGACATTATTCGTTGTCGTTTGTCGCGCTGCAGACATGTTAGTTTGCTACCGACAATCTGGACACCATATCGCGACATACAGCCCGAGGTGTCGCCTATGGGAATAGTGACGTATATAATTTATGATAATTGTGTGAATGCATTCTCTCTTTTGGTTCTGACGAAAAAACCAAAGACGTTGAAGTTATTTATTGCATACAAGTCTATGCATAACAGCTAGGGGCGTTAAAATAGTAAATTAAAAGTTATTAAGAAAATTACTATACATACAAGGAAGCGTTAAGAAAATATATTTTATAAATCATATATGCATATTTATTATCACGTATGTATATTTATTAAACCAAAATAATTTATTTTTATTGTTTAAAATTTCATTATACATATATGCATTTATTATATATGCATAGTATCCTAATTATTTTTTATATAATATGTAATTTCTCGAAACAAACATTTTGTTTATTAAAAGAATTGTTTAAAAAAACTTTTTTTAATATAATTTAATTTAAAATTTGGTAGTTTTCTTATGAAATTCATGCATGTAAAGATTGATTATTGAACAAACTAAATATTTAAATTTAATTTTCTAGAATTCTCTATTTAGATTTCAATTATTCTTAACATTCCGCTGATCTAAATTAGCCACTTTATTTTTCAAAGAATAATAGCCATTAATGATTTGTATATGTGACAACAACAATTTATTTAAACGAATATTATAATAACAACAAATTATATATAATATTACATATGTATATAACAACAAACTATATACAATACATCACAACATCATTATGCTTACAATCTATTGTTGCATATGTAATGCTTTGTCATTAATTTTGGTATAAAAATATTTTAAAAAATCATCCAGATTTGCGAATCAATGCTTCCAATTATGTCTCATGCTCTTATGGTGGAAAACATGTTTGTAGACCGGCACATGAACTGGATATGGTTTAGGTATTGGTACTGGAAAATGCTTTTCCACAGTCACCGGATATGGTTTCTCGACGACGTATGGTACCTGTAACATAACAAATTTATTAATATTTAAAATGTTTAATGCTACGTTAATCTATCTATATTATATAGCAAATTTAGAATAAAAAATTTCGAGATATATTTTTTTAAACAATTTTTGGTCTATCAATATTGATTAATAAAAATGTTGCTATTATATTATTATTAAATTCATAATTGTTCTTTATATTCAAAAATATTGGTAGTCTTTTAGAATTAAACAATCAAAGTTACAAATAATTAAATTGTTAAAATTTACATTTGTTTAATAGAAGAAAGTGTGATCAATGGATCAGTATTACAAATATTTTTAAAAATATAAACTACATTTATTATATTTATTTGATGTAAATTTAAATTCAAAAAATATAATTTAACTTTAAGCATATAATATTTCTATACGAATTCACGTTACTTGTTGGAAGATGATAGAGCTTTCTATAATAAAATATAATAGAAAATAATTAAAAAATAAATTTTTTGCAGATTTTAATATGTAAAAATAAAAATTTTTATAATAAAAAAACCTTTTTCTCCACGACGTACGGCTCTGGCTTTTCAATAGGTATTTCGACGTGTTTGACAACTTCCACGGGAACTGGATGTGGAACTGCGACTGGGACTTGATAGGGCTGAGGTATTGGAACCTTAATTTGTTGAGGCACCGGGACAGGGACTGGATGCGGAATTGGTATCGCATATTTCTTGTAGATCGGTATCTCCACTGGTTTCGACGTTTCGTGATAAGTGGTACCACTATCATAATTCTCCTCATAAGAGGCCCATACAGTGGCCACCATGATAACAAAGATCTATAAATAAATTATTCAAATTATTGTTTCTCAAATATCATCGAGATAGGGCTAGCTTTAACCGCTTTCTAAACACGATTCCGAACTCTTCTTCTGACAGTAGTTTCAGGAGAAAACTCGGTCAAATACTTCACGCAGATCACTCGCTCTTTCTATTCGTTTGAACAAGCCATATTCGGAATGGTGTCACGCAAAGCGCAGCAATTTCGTAATAAATAACTAATTGCAGCCTTGTCTTGTTTGCAGGCTTAATTGCTTTTCGTGAGAAAAATAAGATCTGCTTCTATTTTTTTTTTTTTACACGAAAAGGTAATAATTGACAAATTGTAAATTTAATATAGATTTTAATAGAAAATCATATTATAATACGTGCATTAAATTTAAAAAAATAATTTTTTATAGTTTAAGAAACAGATTATATATCGTGTTTGTGAGAGAAAAAGAAGTATCAATAACAGAATCATAGATTTAATTACGTGTATTTGTATAAAATACAAACCGAATAAATTAATATAAAATAATTATATAATTTAATATATTATCCAACTACAGTGTTCTAATAAAATTAAATAATTTAATTTTATGTTAATAACAGATGTGAGAATGCTTCTATAACCTAATTCTATAATTTAATTCATGCAATAATTATATTAAAGACATGTTGTGTGCGAACAATGTAATATCAAATTTTTCCAAAAGTACTCACAAATAGCCTCATGATCTGCGAACTTGCGTGATGAAAACACTATCGTAATAATTGATTCTGCAATATCTGCCCGTGAAACGCACAACAGATTCTATGATGCTTTCAAAGTCACGGCCAACTCTTTATATACCGGTACTACTTTCTCCCTTCTCCTCATTACATTAAACTCTAGCAGTTCGCTACATCAGGTGCACGCTTGCACGTACAAATGCCGTTTGTCTGCACGACGGCACTTAGAGTGGTGTGGTTATCTTGATCTTCCTAACGTTCATCAACTTTGGAATGCGCAAGGTAAATTATCCGAACTCCACATTAGATAGATGAATTATGATATACGATTTTTAAGAAACCGGATGAATAATAAGCTGTTTGTCCGCGTATTAATTATCCTCGTTATGCTCATGCCAATCATATACAGCAGAGTAACGTGTTATAATAATAATTCATATTGAAGAATATAAATGGACAAGATATAATAAAATGAAAATGTAAAAATGGATAATTAAATATGAAAATAATTTTTTGTATCTTATTATCTAGAATTACTAAATCGTAATATAGAATTTATAATGTTCCGATAATAAAATTAATGCTGATAAAAAATATTACTACAAAATTTTTTCATTTTACAATTAATAGCTATTAAAACTTTTTATAGGCCGGAAATCATAAATTGAATAGAGTTAATGACCTTAGCATTCGAGATGTAGCAGAAGTCATTATTGCAGACTTCAGCAGACTTTATATAAACTTCTATAGAAGTCTATATAAAACTAACTGAGAAGTAATAATAGAAGATAAAATGCATAGTGCAATAATAATCTGTACGCTTTGTCACTTTTATTACCATTTATACAGCTCTCAGCGGGATATTCTTTCTGTAATAAGTCAAGTGATAAGACATTTCTTAGATCTGAGACGAGAGAGACAGTCTTTCTCCAATGTATTTAATGCATGCAATAATTTCTCAGAAATGTCAGTTTTTCACGAGCATGTATTGCGTGTAAATTAGCGAGAGGTAAAGATAAGTGATCACATAGCATAAATGTAATGTTATGGCTTAGTTTACTTGTTCAACAATCTGTGAATAAATGTACGATATTGCAGTTCACCGAAACGCCAATGTTTATGCAATATTATACAAATATATACTTTATCTCTAATGGATGGCCAAGTGCTTTTCGATATGCATCATGTTATTTACATTTTACAAGACTTGCGTCATAAATACGGTAAAATAAATTTGATAGATTAATTAATTACAACAAAGCAAATCTATTATTCTTATGTATTCTATTTGTATAAAATGTTAATATTTATTTCTCTAATATATATTAGAGAAGAGTGCGGTAAATAAAAAATTATATAACGTAGACGTAGACAATCGAAAAATTTATATTACGCACACATAAAGATGCTAATTTAATGAAGTTAATAAAGTTATATATATTTAAAAGCTATATATAAAAATATAGAAAAGAAGTAATAATATATGTTATAGATTCTTGAAATTTATACTCCCTATTAATAATATAGCAGCGTAAAATTTTCTGAAGCATTTAAACCTATTGCTTTCACGCTATAAATATCTATAGTAAAAGCTATTTTGCGTACATGAAAAATCGGACGTTCAATAATATTTGCGTTAGCAATATTACAAATCACTGGCACAAACGTACAACGCACAAAAAGTATGTCGTAAGCGCTTGCAACTCTCGGACGAACTCTCGTTTTAACGTAGCTGCATTTAGATCAATATCTTCGGAACGATTTATGAAAGGCACTCTCATCTCTCCAGCGGGTGTGGTCGCGCGACAGCAAGAGGGAGTGGACGCGATGAGAAGAGACTTGGAATCGTGCTCGATGTTATCTGTATCGCGATGAGTAGAACAGTGAAAGTGCATCCAAGTAAAAGTGGTTTCTCACACGTCGATGTAAGAACGCGCGCGCCTCATTATGGCGTATCAAGACCGCGATCACGATCTCCCTCTTCTTAGGGTTACAGCCAAGTTCGTTTTAGTCGATCGTAATTAAGTCGTTAACGACGAGGAAACGAAACAGTAGATTACATACTTTTCGTACGGTCTCTTGTAGAAAGGATTTATTCCAAGCCGGATATAAGAGAATGGAGTTAATTATTGTTATTATTATTATCATTATCCGCAATCACACATATATGACAATAAGGACCATTGCTATATATTAGTTGGATTTTATAAAATTTTTTTATTTTTGTATAATTAATTAGATAATAAAGAATAATTTGTCTTATATCCAGCGACTCGATTTTTGATAATCTAATAATATTTAAATACTATAATTTATTATATTTTTAATATTTTATTTTTGCATCAGATTTCTTATTTTCTTATCATGCATTAAATAATGAAATGTAGGATAACATAATATAATTATATTTATTACATAATAATGCTGGAAAGATTATAAATTACTTTTCCTTTATTAATATATTATTCATCAAAAATGGAAATTTAACCTTATTTAAAAAGAAAATTACTTTTTATGTTGTATAAATACATGGTTTTCATACATGGGAAGTGAGGATTAATTTATGTAATTTATTCGTTGCATTTAGTTTATGCTTAGTAGCGAATAACAAAACATTTATATAATTAAAGTTGTTTATTAACAATTATTTATATAAAAACATATATATATTTTACAAATCAATGAAAACTTAACAATATAAAAATATGTAACAAAACTATCTATGGTGACTTGCCAGAGTCAATCCGAAAATCAATAAATTATCTATCACATATTCGTAAATATTTTATGTCTACATATTTCAGTAAGCAATAAATCTTAAGGAAAGATTTATAATTACTGAATGAATCTTGCAAATATATAAATTCTAGTACTGCGACAAACAATTTTTTAATAAATGATTATCTCTATTAAAATTAAAAGGCTTTGTGCTCCTTTGGCGCAAGCAATTTAAATTTAATATTTAATATCCATAAAAAAAGTTTAATGCTTTTTACCCTTGTGTGATGATGTAGAATGAAACACGTGTTTGTAAATCGGGACATGAACGGGATATGGTTTTGCCACTGGTACAGGAAATTTTTTCTCCACATAAACAGGATATGGCTTTTCCACAATATAAGGAACCTATAAAAAAATATTTGCAAATATTTTAATACATATATTTCTGTTGTAAGATAATAAAATTTATTTGTTTTATATAAAAAAACGTCTATATTATGTGTCCTTATATATTTGCTCTATTTCTGAACTAATCGTAGATTACATAAGCGTAAAGACATTAGATCGAGATATTATATACTTACATGCTTCACAACAACAACAGGCTCGGGTTTTTCAATGGGTATTTCGACATGCTTGACTACTTCGACTGGATACGGATGTGGAATTTCGATTGGTACTTGATAAGGCTGAGGAATTGGTATTTTAATTTCTTTTGGCACTTCATAAGGCACTGGATGTGGAATAGGTATGGCTGAAACAAAATAAAAATTTTTTGAACGGTGATATTTACTATAATATATAAATAGAGGAAATATGTATAATTTTTTCTTTCTATAAAAAATTATATTTTATAAAAATTATACAAAACGTTACACAAAAGTAGAATCTAAAAAGCTTGATATATGTATATAAATTTTAATTGATATTCTACAAAAATAAGCTTACCATATTTCTTAATAATTGGTACTTCTACATGTTGTGTTTTTTCTTCATATGAAGATCCACCTTGGTCCTCATCATAATGGCTAGCCAATACCAGGCTGCTGAACGAGATCAGACTTAACAAAAGAATCTGCAATTTAAATTTTCTTAATACATTTTGTTACATTAATATTTTTATATTTTAATATACATTAACAAAGTAATGTTACAGTTTCAAAATACCGTAAAATTATTATGTTAAAAAAATTTAATAAAAATTTATAAAAATTGTAATTTATTTTTTATTATATTATTATTGGAAAATATATATATAAATATAATTTTCTATTTTTATCCCAACCATATTTACTTTATTAATTACATTAACAGTTAACACTATTTAACACAGAAAACACGTATTTATTAATGAATAATTGAATCTTACAATTTTACTCATATTGCTCGTGTAAAATGAATGATGGTGCAAGCACGAGGAAACAAGCTTAAGTGACCATATACGACTAAATATCGACCTTATATACTAACTTCGATTCCTCCTTTCACTAAAATCCTGCGAGAGTTTCAATCCTTTCCAGGATACATCACGTTGCAATTCGTATCGCATAACGATATTCAATATTTTGGCACAGCAATGTCGATATGATAAAGTAAAATGCTAGGATTATTTTACTTACACATGAGATTACATTTTTTTATTAATGTATAATTTTTTACACTAAAGTACGGAAGTCTCGAGTATGTATATTATACATATATAAAACGTTCAGAGAAAGCGTAGATAGTAATTCATGACTTAGATGTTTCATTTTTATCAAAGAACTATCTTTTGTGCAAAATAAAAGCACGTATCCAATGTTCGCAGTTATTTTCATTTACAACCTTTTTTGTAATATAAATAAAATTTTATTGCAAATATGCGATATTAAGATCTAAATTAAATTAGATTATATCTACGATAACATAAAATTCAGTTTTAAAAAGAATGTTTATTTTTTACTCACGTATTTTTCTTGTACGTAAAATCGTTTTTTGCGAAAAGATTTATAACTTGTAATATTTTACAATCGTAAAATTTTAAATGCTTTTTTAAGATTTATGAAATGTTTCTCGAGAAAAGTTTCGAAAGTATAACAATTTAAAATTAACATTGCGCGAGACTTAAATTGTAAAATTTGCGACTTTATCAAATTATCTTACATGACATAAGATTTGTATTTCAGCATATATATGGTATTTTAATTTTATTATTCTATATCGTAATAATAAGAACATTGTTTTAAATAAAATTACCAATACAGTAAATCTGTATTTTCTATATTGGATTACATTTGATTCCATTGTTTAAGAACATAGTATATAATTATATTTCTTCTTTTCTAATTTCTATCTATATATTTTTAAATCTATATAAATCAACAGAAATTTTTGTTGTTACATTGATAAATATGTAAGAAAGGACCCAATGGATGCACAAAAATTCAATCTTATATAAATTCAAACCATTTCAGTCGTCTAGCAGCAAGATAGTTTCTTCTGTATGTAGCTTTTAGACCGAATAGGAAGTGAACGCGAAGTACAGTTTTGCTTGGAAAGAGAAACGTTAAAACACGATACATTTTTCGATATATCAGAATGAAAGTACGAAATACAACTCCCCGTGAAAGGGTTCCGGGCGGAACACTAATCGAAAGACATCCGCCTGTGAAAGGCAACGTAAAACCATGTTAAAAATCGATTAGTATCTGACGATATTCAAAAATAAACAAAAATGTATATATACGAGTATCTGTATAATATTGTAAACTGAACTTACTATATATTTGCTATATTAACAACGCGCGGAAGAACTAAATAATTATATTCTATTTGTTTTAAATCTCACGTTTTTCGAACTTCCTATTTTTTTAACTTCCCTATTCAATTAATTGTTAGCATAGCAGGTCGTCTACGGAAGGAAATGTATGCGTTCCTAATGCGTGGAGAAACTCCGAGACGACTCTGAAAGATCATCTCAATTAACGTCAGTGGTAGAGCGTCGTCGCTAATTTCTTCTCGTGAAGAATTCAACAAACCTACGATCGTCATTGTCGCAGAGACTCACGATCTGTCACTCACAGGACTTAGCGTCCGTCTTCCGATGCGATCTGAACTGTTTTCGGTGTATGCTAATAGCGTAAACGAGAGCTCTGATCTACAACCTCGACATTGGAGAAAGTAATGAATCAGAAAAATGGAATCGTGTTCCTTGACATTGACAGAATTCTACCATTTAAACTAATCGATTTGCCTTTGAGATCTTTCTTTACTGTTTCACGTAATAAAACTGCAAAACACTTTAATTTTTTTATATTTAATTTATTATTATAATATATTAGTTTAGAAAATTTGCTAAAAAAATACAAATAAAAAATAATAAAATATATAATACACAAATTAGAGTAATAAATATTATCCAAAATGTTCTAGAATATATAATTCGAGTTTATTTTAGGTCTATAAGTGCTGTTCTAGGGATATAAATTTATTGTATATGTATTTGAAAAATTAATTCATTTAAATGCATGGAAGCTAAGAAAAGTGTTATTTATTTATGGAAAATTTAATATTGTAAAATTATTGAAAAAATAATAGATTATTAGTGAAAAGAAGAAGCTTTGCTTTGTGCAAGTATTTCAGTAGAGAAAATTGGAATACAATTCAAACATATAAAATGGTTCCGAACAGAATAAAGATTCCACCGAATAGAGAAGTAATGCGTCAGAAAATTTCTTATAATGATTGCTTATGATGATAAAAGACCGTTATGAGTTCATAATTCTTCTCCGACGTGGAAGCGTCGAAATAACGAGCGTAAGTCAACGAATCCGCCGGTAATGTGGAAAAAGGAAGCTAGAGAAAGAAGTCTGCGCCGAGAAAAAAAGCTCGCGGCGAAAGTAAAGTTTAAAGTCGATTTACTCCCGACAATCACCGCGGTCGCGCCGGTATAGTGATTGTGTATTAAGTATTAAAGAGCCTTCCTATGATTCGAACCACCCCAGGTTATACTTGCTTTTACATATACGATGCACAGACAAATTTGCCTGTTCGATCAGCTTTCTCATGATTGAGAGTCGATTTCCTTCTCTGCGCTTTAGCAAACGTATATTATGGTATAACGTGTTTATAGTGTTAGAATAATGCAAGTCAAAGACTGTGTTTACTCAACAATCAGAGAAGTTGAAACGGAACGAAATAAATCGAAATCATCGTTTATATTCCGTTTCTGCGTTTGATATTTTGACACGTCATTAAAACATGAAGATTAGGGCGATTTAATGGGCGACATTATAGCTTAATTCGAGATGCGGAAATGAAAGACTGAGATACGCGACCGCAATTATTTCGAGCACATATACACACATTTCCGACCGCAATATAATATTTTTTACGTGAAATTGTTGCAATTGCGAAAAAGAGAGGGACTCTTCCTCCTTTTACGACGGTCAAAACTACTACGACCGGAGAAACAGCAGTAGTCTATTTCCGATTTCCCTTTCGCTATCATTTTTTGCCGTTGCCATATATTTAAGCTCCCTCTTTCTCTTTTTCTATCGTCCTTTTGTGTTCTTCAAACAGAGCAGGAAGACATTGTTGTTGCATAATTTTTTTTTTTCAATTTAAAAGCCTTTATTTATTCTGATTTCACGCTCGCCGACTCTCTTTGCTTTGTACCGGGGTGTCATAATTAAAATGTATTGTTCACTGGTTCAACAGCCTTTTCACTTCCAGCAATGTCAAGGCAAAAGAAAATAGAATTCTCGCGCTCTTCACTTTTGTCATATTCATCTCTTTCGCGCAAAATTCTCTGTTAGTTCTATTTGGCTTTCGTAATAAAACCATTGTTACATAATAATGTTTATTGTGTAAATATAAATAAAATGACTGTGCGAGAAATAGATAAAAGAAAAAAAACGTGTTTTTTTATTGCTAATAATTTTATTTATATCAAAAAGATGAAATGCGAAATATAATATACGAATATATGTTCTCATAAAATTTTATTTAAGCACTTAAGTTTAATAAACATTATTAAGCACAGGAAAATATTTTACAGATTATTGAAATCTGTATTAGTAAATCATAATTCTTAATATATAAATATATTTGTCTCACACACCAGTTTAATAACTGAATTTTTCTATTAAATGAAATAACAACTACTGTGAATAGTGCGAATCTATTGATTATGGAGATTTAATACGCATTCTCTAACACAAAGATTATTTGAACGATCAAAGTTTATTGCTTGTTATATTGTAATTAAATTGTAATCGCCACGAAACATTTATTAGCGAGCAGCAAATTATTTTAAAAAAATATAATTTTTATAACATTACGGTATTTCTTTTTTATCTTTTTCATATTTAAAAAATTTATATCATACGCGGTAACTGGAACATCATATTCGAAAAATAAACGTAATATTCAAATTGTTAATATCGTATTTTAAATTTGTTATAAAAATGTTTAATAGCGGAATCAAATTATTAATGCAAATTATAATTTAAATTATAGTAACACAATTTTATCATTTATTGATCTCGGTTTTTACGAAAAACTAAAATGTTAAAAAATGGAAATTGTAACTATATAATATTAAGTATAAAATAGTTATTTACAGCTTCATGTAAATTTATTGTCACAAGCTATAATATGGTAAGCATTTTAATAAACTTACATATAAATGTTTCTACATTGATTAATAATAATTAGCTAATTTAAATCTTATGATAAGAAATATTTAATAGAATAATTTGAAATTAGTTTTGGCGCAAGAGAAATTAAACTCAGATATACAATATTTTATAAAAATTAAATAATAACTATTTCTTAGATAAGAAATAAAAGAACGTCTCTTATGTTGTTAGTGCAAAAACATTTTAATATATATAAATAGCTTTAACGTAATATGTTATAATAAAATAAAATCTTTTCTTTTCACATTGTGCATTTATGCGTTTTTCGAAAAAAGTAAATATAAAAAAGTAATAATAATAATAAGAATCAGCTTCTGTAATGCGGAGAAATTAATGGTCTTTGTGTATAATGGTCTTGTAGATCGGAATCTTGATCGGAAATGGTTTTTCGATCGGTACGGGCACATGTTTTACCACATGAAACGGCACCGGTTTTTCGATGGGAACCGGAATTATTTTCTCGACAGGCGTTGGTATTTTTTTCTCGACTGTCTTAATTATTTGTTTTTCCACCTAGAAAGACAGAATGCCTACAATGAGAAGAGAAAATGACAATTGATTAGCCAACTATCGCGCAATCACCTGATATGGTACGGGCTTTGGTATCACCACAGGAACGGGATAAGGCTGCGGAACTGTCTCTATATCCGGATATGGAATCCTAATAGGGACCTTTTTGATTGTCGGTATCCCTATTTTCATGCAATAAACATAAATAATCGGAATATGTCCAATAATTAATTAATGCAATCCAAATCTCTTTTAATTTATAAAAAATTCAATTCTTTGATAATTAAATATTTTTAATTACTTTTTATTTTTATAAATTAATAAACTTCTAATATCTTTTTATTAAAAGGCAATTTTCTTTAATATAACGTTAATGTAACAGTAACGTTAATAAAGTCAATTTATAATATATTACCAATGTGCTTAACAACAGGAATTACATTAGCTCCATGGAAACTGTTAATGTTCGAGTGCCAATCACTGATTTCGTTTAAAAGTGGCGAGTAATCTCCCAAAAAATTTAAAGAATGGCTTTCTAAAAAATTGAGAATCATTTTTCAGCATTTATACATATATCGAGATATTTAAGTGAGATATTCAATAAGTCTTATTGTCATATACTATAATAGCTAAAAGTTTTATATTTAGCTATATTATCAATTTTATATAAAAATACACATACATATGTGTATATATAGATCTCAGAGAGTGTGCAATTAATCAAACCAATAAAAACCTGTTTCTCCCAGATTAAAAGTTCCCAAGTCAGTTATAGAGATTTCGCCCAGTGTAAGTCCACCTCCGCCATCATCTCCAAAGCCCCAATTGGAACCATATGAACAAGCAACAATTCCCAACAGCACAATCTTAAACATCAAATAATAAATAACCACTATTATAAGAAATACAAAACATATATTATATTATTACGGATTTCTAGATTAAAAAGAAATTAATTGTATAAATCGCACAAAGAAAACACGTTTTTCAATTCATTTAAATCCAAATATAATTTTAAAGCTAACTGTTAAATTCACACACACGAGCTTATTCATATTGTACTACTTAACCGAGACGAGTTTTTGCATACAATTTTTTCCATCGCTTAAGATATTTATGTCTCTATCATCTATGAATAGGTAAATCTACTTGAGACAGATTCGTTTCCTCGTCACTTTATATACCACCTAAACAGAGCAATAAGCAACCCCACTATTCTTTGGTATCCCATACCTTCACCGTACAAAATGCCATGGATATCTTGATTATAAAGCTAATCAGTCGTAGTAATAATTGCAAACGTTACGTAACGTTTAATATACAATTGATAATTACACGTATACACTTTCAAATACTTAATTTTTTTATTGACATTCTATGGTAGATCTTATCTTATATGTTAATCATTACTGATATTAAATCACTAACTTGTTAATAAATCAACTATATATAATGTTTTGCAAAAATTCGAAAATGTGAATTAAAAATCTGACAAATAAAAATATCTTTTCTACGTAACAACATGAGTGTTATCTGTTTTATTTAAATTAATGATAAATTATATAATTAATCATTTCCCCATAAAATGTATTTAAACTTAATCAAAATTTTTTTATAATTAAAAAATTATTATTTTTACCCTACTATAATTGCACAATTACATACAATAATATTATAATACATTAATAAAAATCCTACTATTATATGGCATTATAATAATAAAATTAATAATATTAAAGACAAAACATTGTCATTTTTTATAATACTTTTATATTTATTTAAGTAATGTTTTTTTATTTTTGCACTCTATAAATATTGCATAATTATTTGTTAGCCTCTAATATATAGACCATACATAGTGCAATAATCATTGAATTCATCTTGTTATATCTATGCACATCAATGTCGATGTCATAGATGATTCATTACATGCGATTATAATGATTTCGTAAATAAACATCGCAGGCAAATCAATCTATCTAATGTTCACTTTCCATAAGAAAATTCTCAGTGCTTTTATCGAAAATTATAATAAAAGCCTATTATATAGTTTCTTTCACTCTACGATGCGCCTATAACATGCAAACTAGCTACTAATACTTTGACTAATTATTACATTTAACACAGTTAATATTTTTTATTAAAATATAAAAATGTAACATAATGATAATATTAATATAACATATATAATAATATTTAATAAGTTGGCAAAAAATAAACATGTTTAATTTTAAAATATACTTAGGTAATAGATAAATATAATAATTCAATATCAAAGAGAAATATAATGAGTGATATGATTCTTATATTTTAAACATAACAATGAAATTAAACAAATAATATATTTAAAAAAACAATTATTAATTAGAACTATGACATATTTGTGTCATCTATGTATGTACACATAAGTTACAGTTAACCGCATAAAACTCATTTTTAAAACCCATTTTTGTTGTTCATTATTATTAAAAATAATGAGAATAGTCATCTTTAATTACATTTAATTACAAAATTTGTAATAAAGTATATTATATTTATTATATTCATTATATTTATATTATTATTTAAATAATATATGTATATATATATATATTATATTATATTTTATATTATATTTATATTATTATATAATATTTATTATATTTATTATATTTATTAAATTATACTCTAGAGCATTTTATGTACGAAACAATATATTGGCAATAAATGTGTACTGAATAAAAACGACACAAAAATAATTTTATAAACATTTTATTCAAAAACAACAGAACATAACAATTTTTAAAAATACTAGTTTAACAATACACTAGTTACGCCGACGCGACGTTCACACAATGCTTGCTTAAATTTATATATAAGAAATAAATCGCAGTCGATAAATATTCGATCAATGGAACGAAACATGAATTGTTTTTCGTAAGTTTTCTCTTATTAACAGCGGCATCATTTTGTAAAAAAGTTAAAAATAAATATACGTGTCAATATAGTACTTCATTTCAATCTGATTCAATTGGTTTTGAAGAAATGATATTTTCTCGACTACGAGAAAATAACATTTTATCACGTAAATTTGAATGAATCAGTATAATAATGCGATTAGAGTAATCTTAAGCAATCTTAATATTTAAAATATTTAAACATTTATAATTATTTTTCAAAGATTTCAGATGACGTATATATTTTGTAGACAAAAGCAAGTTTGTCCGATAAAAAATATATTATATAGACTAATTATTTTTTTCGTTCCTTTTTTCATCACAATATTTTTAAAATAAATATTTTAACACATCTAGAATTTAATCTACAAAAAATTATTGGAAAGCTATGGATTGTTAAAGATTACTTCTAAATTATGTGTAATATATTGTGCTTCTTTTTCCCTTAGACACATATTAATGCTTTTTCGCGTGATGATAAATGGTTTTGTAGACAGGAATTTTGATGGGATATGGCTTCACTACTGGAACAGGGATATGTTTCTCGATCGTAATAGGAACCGGCTTCTCGACAGGTACTGGTATATGCTTCTCAACAGGATAAGGGACCTTCTTCTCTACTGGAATTGCCACCGTCTTCACTACCTGTATAGGAATATGTTTCGGTACGGGAATATGGACGGGATAAGGTTGCGGAACACCAACTGCTACCGGATGCGGCACAGCTATCGGTACTGATTTTGGAACCGGGACACCTAAAAGAAATTTATTCAAAGTTATAAAAGAGTGTTTTTTTTTTATAAATGATAAAGCAAGCAAAAAATAATATTTAACATTTTTTTATCTTTTAAAATTCATGCAGAGAAAAATTTAAAAAAAGACACAATATATTTATATAGCTTTTTCTATAACATCAATTGCATCTTTTGCAATGTCACTCACTAGCAATACCAAAAATTATAATAAAAATTATGGGCTCAAAAATCTTGTTCCATATTACATATATCAATAAACAGACATGATTTTTCTTTATAGCATTGTAACTTTTGCAATTTTAAATACAATGTGCAATCTAGAAACAAAGATAGGAATACTTTACCGATGTGTTTGTAAACCGGTACAGCTACGGGTTTTGTCACTTCTACATGTTCGGAAATGGGAACACTGTGAACGTAATTGTGCCCGCTGTCTAGTGAGATTCCTTGGCTGCCATCATCACTGCCATGACCAGCATCATATCCACCACCACCGGAAGAGAAATCTTGATGACCACTGTCAAGATCGCTGGATGACTCTAGATGCGCACTGGAACTAGCACCGTAACCACCACCTCCTTGACCGCCTCCATAATCACTACCCCCGTAGCTACTTCCATAGCTACTACTCCCGTAGCTGCTACTTCCGTAACCACCATCATAACCGCCGCCGGAAGTACCAGAGATCTCCTGATCGGATCGATCAATTGTGTGCTGGATGCTGAATAATTGCATCACATATTGTCTACCGTCTTGGTCCACGATCACCGGCATGGCCGCAGCCAAAGACATCAGAGAAAGAAACACCTGTATTCCATACGAAGCATTCAAAGATAAGAAATACATATTAATTTATAAGAAGTATGATAAACTTGCAAAAATAATTTGTCATTTTAGAATATAAATTTAAAGAAACTTTTCTGGTATCTCTTACATTCTTTGATTAATTTTACCTTCTACAATTTCTATTTGTATTAATATTTTAATATATAAAATATTATTGTTACAAAAAAATTATTAAAATCTGAAATTAAGAAGTAATTAAATAAGATCAATGCAAATCGAATGAAAGTGTTGAATAAAATATCCACGTAAATTTATGATCCAATTTTAATCCGACATTAATCTTATCACATTTTTTAACTGTCACTACAATCTATGCCATACTTACGATTTTATTCATGTTTGGGCACGTGTATTTCGACTACTGCTGATAGTGGAAGTCTCTTGTGCGACTGATACATGTTCGACTATTCCTCGTCTTAATATACCATGGGGCCTTTCACTGTGATTTTGTCTCACTTCGAACTACGGTGAATTACGCCCGCCAGGTGCAATTGTCTACTTGATGGGCGAATGAAAATAATTGACCATGTCCTTGCGGCCTTAACATTGACAATGAATTAGACATTTTTTATTCCGTCACGCAGTGAGTGCCGGAACAGATTTTCACATTCGTTGCCTTTACTGCAATACTATTGCATTAACACATTTCATATATGAATTGTTTTTTCACGTCATTTTTCGCAAGATTGCTACCCTCTATTTAATTATTTTAAATTTATTATTTTTATTATAATTATTTTTACTGTATTATTAATACACTTTTGAGAAGATACATGTTTTGCAATTGCCAAAAGAAATATTTATACAGTTTATTTGTAAGAGATGGAGAGAAAGAGAGAAATATATTAATACTTTTATAAAACTATGTAACTAACTATTTGACGAACAATATTTATTATTTCGATTAAATATTTATTGTACACATATAGTGTTAAAACTGTGATATATATGTGAGAATGTTTTAATAAAATTTTTATCTTCTAACAAAACAATCATTCGTGCATATTTAATTTAAAGAACATATTGTATATTGCAATAAAAAAATATTTATACTTAATATAATAAAAATTATATGTACATATCTGCGTTTCATATTTATTTTTAATTTTGTAAATTTTATTATTTTTTTTTAATTAATAACCGTTAAGTGACAAATAGCGATTTTATCGCAAAACACGATAGACCTATTTTAACATGTAAATATTTTAACATGCATGTATATAATTTTTAATCGTGAGAAGAGAGCATAACGAATGTGTGGATGATACGTCCAGATGCACAAGGTGCACTAATTTTTTATTATTATGATAATTAACAAGATAAGATAGACCTAAACATACTGATGATCTAATGCATGCGATTTTCTCTGGGACTTCAAGAGATTTCATCACTTAATTTTCTTTTCACACAAAAATACATATAAATATTTATAATGAGAATTATTTTCATATTTTCAAATTTGACATAATTGAAATATAATTTATATTATCATATTGCCATAAGTAAATGTATGATGTCTATAAATTTGTAATCAAAACTGAATATATTAAAATATATATATATATATATATATATATATAATACAAAATATAAAATAAATGCTTTCACATATTTTATTTTAGTCGAGCTCAAAAGAATAATAAATTTGCTGGTTTACGGAACTGTAACCACTTCCACAAAGAATCAAAACTGCATTACAGTTTATTTAATAATATAAATCATGTAAATTATTTAAAAACATAATGATAAAACATATTAAAAACATATTATAAAAATTTTATAAAAATCTTTGGCCAATTGTGCTGACGCTTTAGTTAATCGCCAATTTAAACAGTCTTTATTATAATCTCATATGATAATACGTCTGCGGAAATTACGCGGAAATGAAAGGAAGTGAACGTCCACATAATGCGCGTAACGTACATTATACATCACAGTGCAATTATATACAAATCTACTATATACAGACCCAATAACTTTCTATGCGCCTTTCAAATTAAGTATAAAACAGTAAAAAATTGGCAAAAATAACAAAAAATTATTGAAACATTTTGTAGATTATATATACGTTAAGAAACAATGTATGTAAAAATAAGTCAAAAATAAAAAATATAATTTTTTTGTATAAAACATTCTGAGAAAATTTATTTTTTCGATTTTCATAAATAATGTGAATTAATATATGTATATTAGAAAATGTTAATGTAAAATAAAAATTAAAAATAAAAGGCATAGTTTAGCATTTAATTATTTATATTCATGAAACGTTATATTGTTTTTTAAATAGAGCCTTTTTTATAAGTAAACAAAATCATATTAAGAAGAATAACAGAATATATTTGATGCATATATGGATTCTGAAAATACATAAATGCTCTTATACACTTTTATAACATAATCTTTTAATAATATAATCGATTACTCTATGATAAAAAATGCAATAGTTTTACGTATAAGAGAAAAAATGCACGCAAAACAGAAACGAGAAAAATTTAATATAAAATTTGAAGTAATTATAAAACTCTTTTTACATTTTTTAATTAATTTATATTAATAATTTGTATTTTACTAATATTACAATAATACATATTTAATTTAACAAATGGATGATCATATATAAATAATACCTAGTGGATGTAATATACGACAAAATTTTTTTATTAAATAAGATGATTATTTATTAATAATTAAACAACGTATATCAACAACTATAACAAAATTAGCGCTATAAAAACGCGTAAACGATAAAATAAACTTCATTCTCTAATATTCAACAACGTCTAATCACCAATAACGACAAATCTCTTATTTGGCACAATTTATGTCAAGAGAAGTAATCATGGTGAGCTCTTGATACAACATCACATTAAGCGTCGTCTTCAATAACTATTCACGAACGTCTTCAACAATCATTCGTGTCTCTCTAAAATCTTATCTAATCATTATAGTATTTTTCTTAGTATCTTCGACTGCGACCGCGAGTGCGGCGGTATTTTTTTTTCGTTCTCCGATGGAAAATATGTTTATAAACTGGTATATGAATCGGGTATGGCTTCTCTATTGGAAAAGGTATGTGCTTTTCTACAGTTATTGGCATCAGCTTTTCTATGGGCACTGGTACGATTTTCTCGATCGGATACGGCACTTTCTTCTCGACTGGAATCGCGATGGTCTTCACAACTGGTACGGCGACGGCCTGGGCAACAGGAACTTGAACAGGATAGGGCTGAGCAACAGTTACTGCTACAGGATGTGGCACAGGAATTGGCACGGGCTGTGCTACTGGAACTCCTATATTTTCGGAAAAAAAAATTATTATTTACCGCATATTTTTTCTCTGGTCTCTAAAGTTGTTAGGAAAAAATCAATGTTATTAAAAAAGGAATAATAATTCCTTTTATTACATTTTGTTACATTTACAATAGACATTAATGGGGATGAAAGTTGTATCTTTGTAGAAAATTAATTTCTATCATTTCTGAAAGAATAAATGACAGAAGGTGCTACACAAGAAAAGTAGTGACATAATATCATATAATGTTTTTCATTGTACAATATAAGTGACAAAGCGTGACTCAATTGTGATACGAAGTTATATTTAATTTTGTAATAATGCATAATATTATCTAATATTCTTTCTTTCTTTATCTCTCTTTCCTTTTGTATCCATATTGTGTATATATGTATTGTATAAAATTAAATTTAAAAAAAATTGCGCAATCTTTAAAAAAAAGTATATTGCGTGCATTGCAAATTTGAGAAAATAGAAAGTGCATTGTAAAATTTAAAATTTATAACAAAGTTTCATAATGTATTTTAGCATTCGAACGGAATTTTTCTTTTGCGTGTAGATAAAGTAAGGATTTTCACGTAAATACTACTTTCATAGATAATTCAAAATGCATGATTAAGTATCTGATATAACACATTTCCTTCTTTCTTTTTAATGAGATTTATTTATTGCATAAATTGCCGATTATTGATCAATGTACCGATGTATTATTTTTAACAATTTATTAGCTTTAATAAAATTATACTATTTGCATCTAATTGTTTATACAAAATACATTAAACTGTCATATAGATTTATACTATTGATTATGATTAATTATGTATCAAATAGCATTATTAACGACATAAAAAATATTAATCTGTATTATTATTATAATATTTAACAATTATTTGTGCTATTATTACAAAAGAGATTTATAAATATAAATTCATCAATTTTTAAAATTTTAAAGAATTTATTATTTGATGAAATATTTTATTATTTATTTTTACTGCATATATAATTTGTAAAATCTTACCAATATTTTTTACAATTGGCACTACCATCGGCTTCGTAATTTCCACGTGCTCACTAATCGCTACAGGTTGAGTGAATGAAGTCTGAACATTTCCAATATTTAATTTCTGATCTAAATCTTCTTGAAAACCGCTATTGCTTCCATAAGAGGAAACCGGAATATTGCTTGCATAGGAAGCATCATCCTGACGAACTTGTGCGTTATCAATAGAGCCATAATTCGTAGGTCCATAACTAAACACTCTATTAAAATATAATAATTAAGCAACATAATGAGACAAGTGTAATTGTAGAAAATTATAATTGCAAATACTACAATTTTTTTATTACGCGCTTACTTACCCATGCCATCCAGATTCATTCTCTGTGTAACTAGCAAACGTTGTTTTTGTTAATAAACATATAATGACTACCTATATGGAGAAAGAATAATTAAATTAATATTTTTTAATTTAATCAATTTCTATTTTCAATACATCAATTTTCTACAGATTATTAAAATCAAAGGTCATAAAAAAATTAATTAAAAAAATTTTTGTTTATTAATAAGAAGAGTTTATTATATAAAAGATTATTATTATATAAAAAATTATTATTATATACAAGAATAAAAGAATTATTTTTTTACAAACACAGTTATATTCATTTTTCTATAAAAGATAGTAATCGGAATACATAAATAATGAGATTCCAAAAATAAATTTTAAGTATACAAGATTTATTCAATAATTTCTTCATTAATATCATTTAACATACCATATATGTATTATAAATATTAAAAATTAATAATAAATATTTTGAGAGATACAGATGATATAAACATAAGACTTCTCTTTCTTACCACGTTTTGTCAAGATTTTCAATAACTTAGTTCTATGATAAATGCGAGGACGAGCAAAATAAAAAAACATATTTATCCGCGAGTAAACATTTCGAAACATCTGTCAAAGTATTCTTTTCTTCTTTCGAGGAAAGTGCTGCCGGTGACACGTCGGACTTGAATCATCACTTGCCGCATCGAGATATCCGATATCTATAAAGTGCTACCGTTGTATCCGACGAAAGTATGGAAATATCGACAATCACTTTCCATCGCCTATTGTTCGCCGTAAAGCCGGAACTCGCGCGCGAGTCGCCATGAATCTCCGCTTCCGGCCGGGCGGACTATATTCGTCTCTTTCTACTTACTGAGGGCAGACGGCGCATTTTTCAAAATACGTCGCGATGAGATAGGAGCGTGAACGTGACAACGAATGGAATACTGCGGATTGATTCTGATGGACCGTCCGTTTTTATACGTGACGCTTTCTCCCTCTCTCCATACTCATCTCGAGATATGAGTCCACGAGAGATACATCTCGTGGAAACTGGACTCGTGTGCCCGCGCCTATATCCGATTAGCAAATCAGAAACGCTGCTTGAGCTTACTAGATCGAAACTTGACATTAAATCCAGTCATCCGAAGTAAGAACATAACATGTTTTTCTGATAGGATCGCGCGGACTACATATTACAACGGATGCTGCGAGGCATTATATACCAGCGATCCTCAATCAAACATCTGTCATATTTTGACATTATAACTAAAAGAGAGGATCAATAAATATATTATTATTGTAATTAATTATAACGCATAATTGAATATTAAATTATAATTGAATATTAAATTTTAATGTTTGAATATAATTATTGATCATTTCTGAAGCAGAAAAGCAGATACCTATATATACGATAATACATAGTTTAGAATATTATGAATACCGAAAAGTAATGAATATTAAATTATAGACGATATTACATTTTATAAAAATAATAATATATATTTAAATAAAATCAAAATATATCTTTTCACAGAAATAAATAATCAATATAGTGATAGCATAAGTATACATATTGTATATTTCATGTATGTGTAAAAATTCAACGATGATTAAACTTACAAATTAATCTCGGCTAAAATTTGAATTAATAAAAAGAAATGTAAATTGGTTAAAAATATAGATAGAACCCGCAAATTATTATCTATCAAATGCATAAGTATTTCAATAATTGACATTGTTTACGCAGATTGAATAAAGCGTGATTCGACAATGCTTGTTGATTTTTTCTGTACATTATTTATTTTGATTATTATAAATCTGACAGGTAAAGACAATAAAATATAGTAATTTGTTATCACATCATCAAATCTGACAGAAAAATGCAGCATAAATAACGGTTGGTGAGCACGATGATTGTGTGTCTAAATAAATGTCATTTTATACATGTATATACTTGCAAACGTGTGAAAGTAATTTTCTTTTCGTTGAGCGTTTTGATTCCTTCTTTTGCATGTAACCACGTGCGGTAAAATAAAAATTATGAGCGCACTGACTTTCTGCAATAAAGTGCAGCTCCTGCACACTGATACGCACTTACGCGTCTTATTCCACAATAGTTTTTTTTTTGTATATAAGCAAAAGAGAAATTATTTCTCTTCATAGAAGTGAAATATATTCTGCCAATTATGAAGATTGATGTTGCTTTTAATATGTCAGTGCGATGTATAATTGTGCAAAACTTTCATTTATAAATGTAAAATGTTGTTATTAATCTAACTACATAATAACTAACAATAAGTAATGTTGTATTTATATGTACGCATATATTATTATTATGTTGCATATATTAAAATTAAATTACATGAAATTTATCAAATTATTTTATAAATTGTGTAATAATATATATATAATGTTATACATACAGGGTGTTTCTATAAACTTATGTCGGAAATTTTAAGGGCATATTCTAGGGGTCAAAATAAGAAAAAAGTTCCTATAAACATGCCTAAAATGAAAATTAGCACTCCACATATTTCTCTCTCAAAGTCAAATCAAATTGTCAAACTCACATTAAAAGGAAGTATTCTATTAATTATTACGCTGTGCAAACTTTTTGTGAAAAAGTCTCCGAGAGCTATAATACATTTTTCGATTTTTTCTCCCAACTTTAGGGGGTTATAAATCGGAGAGAAAGCATATTGGACTCATGTTTATCGGATCTTTTTTTCTTATTTTGACCTAAAATACGCCCTTAAAATCTCCGATATAGGTTTAGAAACATCCTGCGCATACGACTTTTACAGTTTACAACTTTGGAATGTAAAAAATAAATTTGATTTTTTTCATAAAAAATCTAGAAAAGCCAGAATACCTTTGCACATAAAAAATTGATGGCGTTATTATATGTATATAAATTCCAGAAATACGAACAAAATTACATATTTGATATATGCAGCATATCACGGTGGCGTCTTGTCATTCACTTAAAGATATTAATAATCGTATCGCCTGGCTTTTATGCAAATATATGCTATTAAAAATCAGGCTAAATTCCAGTGAGAGTAGTTCGCGCACGCAATAGCAAAGGAAAGCAAATAAAACTGGGTGAAGGAGAAGCTAACAAAAAGACTGCGTAACAGCGAAAAAAAGTGCAACAGATGAAAGTATTATCCGGTCTAGTGTGAAAGGTATATAGATCTCGATCATTATAACGGCATAATCATTTCTAACTTCAATAGTGACGATGCCTAACAGATAACTGATTGCGTTTAATCGAGTCGCACTCTTTGTGTTCATTGAATGATGCTTAAAGGTCGTGGGTCATCCAACATTTTCTCCAATTTTAATGATTTGAGTGCTTTCTCAAAGTACGCAAGCAACGCTTTTCACATCACTTAATCTACCACGCAATTTTACAAATAATTATATATCAGTCAAAACGGTCGTATATTTATTTTAGTTTTAATTTTATTTTAGTTATACAGTTTACGCTTCAAAAATAAAAAATTAAAGAATTTACATTTCTCTGATATAAATATCGCCTCTTACGCTCGGGATAATTTAGATTCTAGATCATAATGTAAACATACAGAATTTTCATATCAGTTAAATATATTAATACAAAATAGAAAGTTCTCTATATATAGATATTATATACATATTGCACATAAAACACACACATATACACATATACATATATAATATGACCTACATATTATTATTAATTATTAGAAATTAATTCGTAATTAATTTGCTTGCTATCAATCATAATATTGATTTATTTAAATATTTTAATTTTTTAAAAACACTATTTATAATATTTTTATTACAGTAATCTTTATTCAATGCTCCAATTGACAGTAAAAGTAACACGTGCTAGTGAATTTAGTTGTAAAAATAAAATTATACGATTTTTGCTAAATGATACGAGATCTTCAATAATACGTAATGTCGAAATAATCAATCAGCATCATGATAAAAAGGCAATAAATTTTGAACACAACTTTTGAGTAATTACTATACATTTTTTTTATAATAGTGAATTTCTTAAAAAGCATTGATATATAATTAGAAATTTAAACAAACATAAACAATTTATGACTATTCTAATTAAAATTATATGAAATAAATTTGTCATACAAAATGAAGATTATGTATAAAGAGATATAAATTAATAAAAAAATAAGAACGTAGATATTTGAGAATCGCCAGACAGAATTTAAAAAAGGTAAAAATCTTCTCTCGACCGTACTGGCAAATATTATTTATTCAATCACAACGTTTCGACCTTTCTTTGAGTTCTTATCAAGTGATTTGTAAAATTAAAAATAAAATTATAATTCTAAGATGTCAAGAACGAACATAGTGTCGGTTTGACAACACGTCAAGACTCTTAGACGAGTTATTGGAGACTCAAAGAAGGGTCGAAACGTTGTGATTGAATAAATAATATTTGCCAGTACGGTCGAGAGAAGATTTTTACCTTTAATAGAAAAATATTTTTATTGGCACTACAAGTAAAAAACTAAAAATAAGTAGAAAACTGATTAAAATTTAGGTCTTTAACACAATAACATGTTCAATTTATCTTTACACATTCCCGTGTCTTTTTTCTCTTTTTTTTTTGCCAAATCGTCATTAATATAAAATTTATTAAAATGTAATGTTATCCATTTCTCCACGCTACCAAAAATTCGAAATAGCAGTTAATTATTCTTGTAAATAAACGAGAAGTTTATTGATACTACAAGTAAGTAGAAAACTGATTAAAATTTAGATCCTAACATAATAACATGTTTAATTTATTTTCACATATTCCCGTGTCTTTTTTCTCTTTTTTTTGTTAAATCGTCATTAATATAAAATTGTCGAAATGTAATGTCATCCATTTTTTCCTAGTGCCGAAAATTTGAAATAGCAATTCATTACTCATTACTCTTGCAAATGAATGAGGAGTGAGGAAGGAATATAACAACCCGAACAACACGGAAAGAACGTGATTTTGATCGAACAACTTTCTTCCATTGTAATTGCATGTGATCGATAGGATTGTGGCAGTACCGTAAGGATGACAGTCAACACGTGAGAGAGAGAAAACTGTGACTAAGAAAGGAAGAGGCGAGTGAAAGGATCTAGATATTCTTCGGATGCGTGCACTCGCGTAGATTTGGCGAGAAGGAATACGCCCAGATACCTGCTGTGCGGCAGGATGCAATATACAGGGTGTCCGATAACTAACGGACCAACGATTACAAATGGATTCTTTGGTCAATTTGGGAACGATTTTTTCTCAGCAAAAATGTCGAAAAAGGTCATCATTTTTTACAACTTTCCAATATTTGTCATTATGTATCTTTATAACTAAGCCTCAAATTAAAATTTTATTATAGTAGACTCTACCTGAAATTAACTGAAGAATGTAATTATGTTAGACTTTCAACTCCAAAACGTTTAGTTTTCAAAAAACCCATTTTTTTCAATCGCTTATAACTCGAAAATTATTGACTTCTCAACATTTTTGCTAAGGAAAAATCGTCTCCAAATTGCCCAGAGAATCCGCCCTTCATCATTGGTCCGTTAGTTACCGGACACCCTGTATAGATACTCGATTTCAACATCATGTTCTACATATAATCGAGCACTCAGATTTTACTTCCATTGTCCTACCAACTCTTTTGGAAATGATACTGAAACTTTCACACTATATGTTTCCGAGAGAAAATACATTTTTATTGAATGGAATAGATTAGAAATTTGAAAAGCGAATCTTTGCAGCAATCTGCGCAGCTTGAGATATTCTAAAAAAGAAAAATAATTATACTGTATTTTTAAGTGTCTATTAAATTAATTAAGTAACTAAAAGTTGTGTTATTCTTTAAGCTATTGTATAATAAATATTTGCAATATAATATACCTTTGCATTTCTTGCAATGAAAAGGAAAAGAGTATCATAATTTTTTTTAATTAAACATCAATATCAACAATAAAGTTACTTTAGGAGGTAATACTTAAAAATCTTTGTCTTTAATTAGAACTTTATCGTAAAAATTTTAATTAGATAATTTAATCCGTTTCAAGCATTAATAATGTTTGCTATTTTGACTTGTTTTTATTTTAAAATGAATCAGCAGAAAAAAAAGATTACATGTTACATAAATATATCTAAAATATAATGCTTAATTCGTTTATATATTTTCGAAAGCTCAGATAATATTTTCAAAATATGTACAATATCAATATCCCAACATTCTTCTAATATATAACGTATTTGGAAAATTTTATTTGCCTACATGCAACAGCAGTTAGCTGTAATAATACATATATAGTATGCCGATTAATTTAATATGATGATTACTCTAGAGGAGTATAACGCGAATGGTAATCCGCGTTTTTCACCTTCGTTTTTCAATGTAAGAGAAAATTATGTTTTTGTCACGGTCGTCGCGAAGATTTCTCACGCTGTCGTTTTCCACGATTCGCATTTGTTAACACAAGTATATTCTTTAGATTTCTACAAAGAAATTACATATATTGTTTGATTAATGCAAATGTATTAAACATATATATTATATATATATATATATATATATATATATACATTTGTATAGATTATATAATAAATATTACATACATATATCTAAAAATTTGAAATTTATAATCGCAAATTAATATAAACATGTATTTATTGCTGCATGCTGATATAAATATAAACTTCAAAAAATTTTTAAATTGGGGAAGTTGATCGATTAAAAACTCATAAAATAAACTGTGTAAATAATTTTTATTGATGAAGAATCTTTATGCATAAAAATTTCAACAAAGAAAAAGAATATATATATTATAAAACTATAAATGGTTGTTTATGTATACCTTCACCATAAATGTATAATATATGCCCATATTAATACATGCCACGTTCTAAAATAATTTCAATCCCAGGGATGAGGAACTGATTTTTGTAAACTTGCTTGCTGAACCGCAGCTGCTATTGCGTTTTCTTTTGCAGCTAATATATTCTTTTCCTGTTTAAACAGTTAATTGTAAATAATAATATTACGAATAAATATTAATTAGTTTATAATAGTTTATTATATTATATAACAAATAATATAGTTTCTGTAAAGTTTTTAAATTTAATTTAATATTTTAATTTAACTTTATACGTGCATTTTTATAATACTACCTTAGCTTCCTCTTCGCTCTGGCTAATCTGTTTATCAACGTCCTGTTTCTGTAATTCCGCGGCAGTTTCAGCTGCATTTCTTTGGATTGCCACAGCTGCAGCAGTTTCTCTAGCGGCCGCTACTTTTTGTGCAGCTGCTACAGCTGCTTTTAGGGTTGCTAATCTCTGTTGCAACGCTACAAGTTGTCGAGCACTGGCTTTAGCTTCGGCTTCAGCGTGTTGAGAAATTTTTTGCGATCTACATGAAAAAATATGGAAACATATAAGATAAATACAGTTGATATAATTTACCATATATTTCTATAGGAATACGTATGTCAAGCATAACAAAAAGAATAAACAATCATTAAGAGTACATTAATTATATGTATATGTATAATATATATACCTGGCAGCAGCTTCTTTCGCTGCTATCTCCTTTGATAAAGCAATTTTCTGCTGAAGTATCGCAGCTTGCTTCGCTTCTGCAACTTTATGCTGGGCCAAAGCAACATTATTATTCGCTTCTTTTGCTTGCTGAATCGCTCTCAAAACTTCAGAAGGGTATGCGATGTTGGGAGTACCAGGTGTCGGATCCTTCAATGCCTGTCAGGCAATAATAAAAATATATAATGAAAATATATAATAACAAATGCGTTTTATAAATCTTGTGTATATATAATTACGAAGTAACATATAAATTATGTGTTGCTTAATAATAAATGCACATACCTGAAGTGCCACATTGTGTGCGGCTTGAGCTTCAATTTGCGCTAACGCGATATCTGGAGTGTTTAATGGAGCCCAGGCTGAAGCTGCAAAATTTGTGGGAGCCCACGTCGCAGGACTGAATGCTGGCACAATACCAAAAAAATCAGGCGGTCCAAAAAATGCCACTCCGCGCTTTTGCTTCTTTGAATCTGATTTTAGTTCCACCACAGATGCAACAGCGGAGAGAAGTACAATCTGCAAATAAATACTTGATTACTTTTCATTTTTATTCTCAAAAATATAAATTTTGCGAAAGAATTGCATGTAATATTTTAATATATGTTATAATCTTAATAAACTATATAAACTCTTATATGTCTCTTTATTTCTTTTCTTTTCTAAATTTTGAATTATACGAGTAACAACAGTTTAAAAAATATATAATTAATTGTAATTATTATAATACATATATATATTATAAAATGTAAAACCTATTCATAGAATTTGTGCTAAACAAAACAAAATTTTTCAGCGTCTAATTACCGTTACCAGAGTCTTCATCTTGCTCAGAATACTGTTGATAATACTGAATCTTTCACGATAGAACTCCTGATATATATACAATCTGTGATACGAGAGAGAATGCTATAGCGTCTCCAAGATTCATCATAAAAATAATTAAAATTATTAAAGGTGTACGTAAAATTTCATGTAATCGAAATCAGAATTATAGGTTCTTATTATCTAATGACGATTTTTTTTTTAAAGGCGTATACATTCACTATACACAGGATCACTTACGGTCTGAAAATTGATAGACAAAGATCATATCTTGTCCTCAAATTCAGGAAGTAGTTATCCAATAGTGAGTATATAGCAAGTACTTCCGTCATTGTGAACGTAGATGTTAGATAATAATTAATTGATATTGAAAGTACTTTCAATCTTTTTGATAAGTATTGTGTACGTTTGTTCTTCGATATAGCTCTATGAAAGTGATGCTAGAATCTCGGTAATTATACAATAATTTTATTTTAATTTTAATATGACATTAATAAAATTAAATTTTTTCTTTTACAATTTTTTCTTTGTAAATAAAATAAATTATATTATAAAAAATGTAATTGTTATTAAAATAAATTATATTATAAAAAATGTGTAGATAGACTGCATAAATGTATGTATCATAATGTATTATTCTATTTCTTAGCGAAGTGTTAAAATAAGACTATAATATATTTAAATAGAGAGGGAGAAAGACATCAATTATGGCATAATTATAATATTAACGATAACATACAAAGAAGAGATAATACTAATTTTAAATGATTCTTAAAAGAATAATATTACGCTAAAGTAATGAAAACAACCGAGGAAGAAATGATGGTCAAATCGACGTCGATTCGACCAATTATTTCTCGTTCGGAAGACTTATATTTAAATTTATTTTAGATTATTTATAAGTATTTTAAATTTTATTTGGAATTATATATATTTAGTTTCAAACTGTTTTGGATTTAATGCACATTTAATTTAGAAACTGTTATTTTAAATAAATTTTTACATATCTTTTAATTGTGTTTACGAGAAATATGAATATAAGAAGAATATAAATAGTATATAATTTTTTTATTTTTCGGCCATTCTCAGAACTTTTAAATTTCTAATATATGATGATGCGACAAAGATAACTATCCTTTTTAACAATTTTTTTAACGAGTGAAATACTGCTCAATTAGAACAGTTTTGGTTTCGAGAGTCTTATTTTTAAAATTCAATTATCCTATACAAATCTATACAATTAACTAATTTAATTTAATTTAATTTCTATTTCTATAGTTTTTATGCAATGAAATAGGAACAAGACATATATGTATATATAAAGCAATTTATCAGTTACACAACTTCAAAGTAAAAGACACGTATCTCTTCTTATTTTAGAAAGTTGTGGTATTTTTATGATAAATTAATTTTTTGAATTTATATAAGGATAACAATTTTTTAAGAAAAAATAAAAAAGAAAATAATAAAATAAAAGATTTTAAATTGCATAATTTTTTTCAAGTTGCATTTTATTTAAAACAATTTTTAAATTTTTCAAAAAAAAAACTTTAATATAAGTTTGAGAAATCGACACACAAGTTTGACATATTAGAATTATTTTTGTTTGTACATCGCTATTGGGAATTAATTCTATAATCATAATCCTTAGCCACTTAAATTGAGATAATATATTTTAATTTTATTTGTAAACTATATCGTATACAGATAAGGTATAAAAAACTTGTATGTAAATAATAAATTAAAATTGTATATATATGTAATTTTAGATGCAAATTAAATACGCATATTATTAATATAGACTGAAAGAGTGTAAATATAATAATTTACAAGAAAATAAGTAAGGTTATTGATTAAAATCCACAAAATAAACTGTAAAACTTTTATTGGTAAAACAATTTTAATGCATAATAATAATACAAAACATTCATGAAACTCATGTAGATGTCTCTTAATATACCGTCACCATAAATGTATTCTTATATTGATATGCGCAAATGTAACGTGAAATAATTTTCAACCCCAAGGATAATGCAGCCGCTTTTGTAAGCTCGCGTGCTGAACCGCAGCTGCTATTGCATTTTCTTTCGCAGCTAATATATCTCTTTCCTGTAATGAAACATGTCTAAATTAAGAGTTTGATGAGATTACATTAATAAAAATTTTTTTAATAATGTAACATATAATGTAATAATTTTTTTATAATAAACAGAGAAAAAGAGCACAAAAATATACATTAAAATTTATATATTATTACCCTAGCTTCATGCTCGCTCTGATGAATCTGTTTATCAACGTCCTGCTTTTGTAATTCCGCAGCAGTTGCAGCTGCATTTCTTTGAATTGCCACGGCTGCAGCGGATTCTCTCGCTGCCGCTACTCTCTGCGCAGCTGCTGCAGCACCTTTCAGGGTTGCTAATCTTTGTTGCAGCGCTACAAGGTGCCGAGCGCTGGCCTTAGCTTCAGCTTCGACGTGTTGGAAAACTTCTTGCGATCTGCATAAAATATAATAGTGTAAAATGTAGCATCACAGTTTATGAGGATATGTCAAAAAAAAAAAAAAATTTGTTTGTATACCTTGCGGCAGCTTCCCTTGCTGCTGCCTCTTTCGCTAATGCAATTTTCTGCTGAAACGCCGTAACTTGCTTTACTTCTGCAACTTTGTGCTGGGCTACAGCGACATTATTATTCGCTTCTTTTGCCTGTTGGATCGCTCTTAGAACTTCTGGCGGATATGCGATGCTGGGTGTACCAGGTATTGGATCCTTCAAAGCCTGTCATTAATAGCAGATTAATATTTAATATATTTTTAATGTTGAGTATACATAATGTCTTGTATAATTATGCAACAACGTGCAAATATAAATGTTCATGCCTGGAGTGCCACATTGTGCGTGGCTTGAGCTTGAACTTGCGTGAGCGTTATATCTGGAATGCCCGATGGATTCCAAACTGGAGCCGCAAAATTCGTGGGAGCCCATGGCGCAGGACCGAATGCTGGTACAATCCCAAAGAAATCGGGCGACCCCAAAAATGTCACTCCGCGTTTTTGCTTTTCAGAATTTGATTTGAGCTCTACCACAGTCGCAATAGCAAATAGGAACACAATCTAGTAATAAATTTTTAATTATTTTTTAGTTTATTAATTAAAAACACATTTTTTTAATTTATTAAAATTTTAAAATGTTTTGAAAATTTTTCTACCGCTAGTATTACAAGTGTAAATTAACTATAAAAATATATATTATTTATTCGTTATAATATACGTTTAAAATATTTTATAATATGACAGATTTGTAAAAATATGTTTATAAGTTTACCTTTACCAAAGTCTTCATCTTGCAAGGAATATTGCTGATGATACTGAACCTTTCATGATAGGCCCCTAGTATATATACAACTTATGATACGCGAGAGAATGCTCTTGCATCTCCGGGGTAATCACAGAATCAATTAAATTATTATAGGTGTACGTAAGAAAGATGTCTAATAATGATTTTTTCGGACAATATATGCTATACAATCATTGTACGTGAGGCTACTTACGATCTGGAAGTCGATGGACAAAGATCATATCTTATCTTTAAATTCAGGAAGTAGTTATCCAATGATGAGTATGTAGCAAATACTTCCGCTCTCTTCATAGATGTTAGATTAATTATTTAACAGATATTGAAAGGATTTTTATTTTCTTCAAAAATAGTATTTATACAGTTTGTTATACGCTTACATTTTTTTAATAAGATTGATACTAAAAATGAATAAAGCATTTATTTTTAGCATATAAAAACACAAATAAAGAAATTATAATTAATTTTATAATAATCATTAAATTTAATTAATTTATAATAAGAATTCTTTATAAAAAAAAACTATAAAAAAATACGATATGTATGTACATATGTATATAATTTAATTGTTATAAAATCAATATGGTAATTATAGAAGTCAAAATGTGTTAAAGTAAAATTACAATACGTTTTAAAAACATAAACATGATATAATTATTATTGTATAAAATAATGAAGTAAAAAATAGTAACAATTACATATTAACAATTGTGTACTATATAAAAATATTTAAGTTTTTTAACAGAACAAAAATTTAGATTTTCTCGTTTCATATGTAATTTTGCTAAGAAATTTGTATTATTTCTCAGCTCTTAATATAATATCACCGCTTAGATTCCTGTCAGATCTAGAGTTTTTGCGTTCGTAAAAGAATGTATTTGTTTGCTTACTACATTTGGCCCATAAAAGGGGACTGTACTTGGTATATCTGACAATTGCTTTACATTCGATCTAATTTTTTCAGGCGCATATTTAGCTGATTTCTGAATGTTTATCGGAATATTTTCATTTTTAAAAGCAAGTTTGCTGTCAATTTTAGGATGTTTAACTTTGTAATACTTAGCAGCGCGAAGATAGCTATCTTCTTTCTTAGGCGAATACTTCTCAATCGCAATAGCTTTAGTTTTCGAATGCTTAGAATACTTCTCAATCTCGGGATTCTTATATTCAAAATATTCTTCATAAATCATTTTCGGCGCTTTTTTAGCAAAAACATCTGAACCATAAGCTGTGTTGTCTTTATAACCTGCCTTTGGTATTCTGCGATTTTTACGGGAAGCTTGAAATTCTTGATTTGTCGATTCTTGATATTGTCCGTGATTTACATGAGATTGATTATTATTTTTTTGTTGTCGTTTAGAATATATTGGATTATTATAACTATCTATTTCTGGCACTTCCTTTATATGCACATATTCTGTAAGTAGAAACAAAATTATAACTATTGTCGATAAAAGCTAACACTGTATTGATATCTTAATCACACGAATAAAAAAAATATAATTTAATATAAAAATCTCTTTCTCTAAAAATTAAAGAATTTATGCCTATATGATTTTTCTATTAATAGATAATAATGTATTATTTTAAAATCACACAGAGAAAAAGAGATTTCAAAGATAAAACTATTTTTGAAAAATAAATTTAATAAAAATATTTGAGTAAACAATTTTAAATAATATTTGTAAATAATTCTAGGCAATAAATTATATGCATGTGTATAAGTGTATGATTTTATGTTGTACTATTTATAAATTCTACATACTGTGTTTTGGTAGCTCCTTCCGATAAGATTCTTCAAATTCATGCTCGAAATCTTTTCCATGATATTTAGATTGCTTAGGTTGCATTTCATCAGAGTCTGTGGCTTCTTCGCGCCTTTGGTGTTTAATGCTTTCTTCTTCTTCTTCATCTTCTTCTTCATACGACTCATTCGATGATTTTGGGGAGTCAGTGTATTCAGTACGATATTCTGATGATGAATCTTCTTCTTCTTTTTCTTCTTCTTCTTCTTCTTCTTCTTCGTCATCGTCCTTTGAATCATGCTTATAACTGGAATGTGGCTTGTCTTCGGAATCGTTGTCATCGATTTGTGCTTTATATTTCCCGAATCTTTCGTCGTACTCTTTGAAAGGGTAAGATGACGAAGGTTTAAAATCACTTTCTGTCGGTGGTTCGTTGAAATATTTTCTTGGTTGAGGCTCAGCATCATCATCTTCAGAACTGTCTTCATTTTCCTTATCCGGATTTTTATATTCTGTGGAAAAACATTTCTTATAAATATTCAATTTAATCTATTTTATTTCATTTTAATTTTAAATTTTTTAAATATTTCTGTACTTTAAAGTACTTTAAAACTGTAAGGTTAAAAAAATTTGTTATAAATATTATTATAATGTATATCATTTAACTAAAAGTTTATTTTTGAATTAATAACGTGATTTATAAAACAGTACAAACTTTTATCATCTCTATCATCATCATCATCACCATCATTTCTATCATCATCATCAGATTGAGGTGTATGCGGTTCCGGATTTTTTTTATTGATGATCTCTACATCGTTTAGAATACCTTCTGTTGACACGGGAGGATGGACAATGTTTTGCTGCATCTTAATGGGCTGTACATTATTACTATATTGCTGGCCAAAGTGCAATTGTGGTTGACTATAGAGGGACTCGTAACTGCCTTGCACTTTAGGAACATTATTTGGAACTGGGTAAACTTTTACACTGGCGCCTTTATATTGCGGAAATTGTGGACTATTGTTAGCCGTCTGGATTGGCACAATTTGACCTTGAAAGCTCGACAGAGGCGACAAAAATGGCGAAACGTTTCTCGATTGAAGAGCCATGTTGAGCTTTGGCCCAGTTCCAAAGTTAAATGCCAAATCCGATTCGGTCGGATAGTTTGCACTTAGAAAGAACGGCTGACTCCCGAAGATGGGTGAAACTTCAGAGAAGTCTGCATTACTCTGAAATTGAATGATTGGGGCTGAAATCTTCTTACCATTCACGTCTGTAGTAGCTTCATCTTTCTGCTTGGAGTTTTGCGACGTTTTATCCAACGACGGAGAAACATTTAACACCGTTGGAAAATTCAATGTGTATCCATATGGGTCTTCGATAACTTTTGACAGAGGATAATTCGTTTTGTACGTTGGCACTTGTATAGTCGAAGACGAAGCGCCGTTTTGTGCGTCCTGAGAGATAAGCTTGCTGATACTGGCATACGAGGGATATTCGAATTCGGAGAATCCAATAGACTTTTTTTGATGAAACGCATTTGGCAAGTAAATGCCTTGCAGTTTCTGAAGCGACTGCGATGCAGTCGGTTTGGATGCATCTAATGGTTTGCTCGTTGTAGTCTTGTACAAATTGGAATTATTCAATATATTGAAATACGAAACAAGAGGATTATTGCGATAAGATTTGGTGTGATCAACAGACAAAGGAACGGAAGTAGGAAGCGGTCGCCTTGGTACACTGCCGTATGCATGAGAAGAGTCTTGCTTTGAATTAGTGTAAGAAATCCGCTTTGGTTGCGATGCTATGGCACTTCCATAACTAGACAATGATCTTGTGGTAATATCCTGTGGCAACGAAATTCTCGATGTAGTTCCTCTGAATCGCTCTTGATTATTGTGAACTTCATGGCCAGAATTGATAATTGCGCGTTTTGATCTGGTTGTTAGTGATACAAAAGTGCCAGTCGAGCTTGCAATGTTTACGGTGCAACATATCGCACATATAAAGAAAATGATGTTTATAATCTGAAATATATTTCGTGTATGCATTAAAATCATATTACATATTTAATATAAATAGTTTAATTATGCAAACGTATAAATATGACATCTAACAATTTAATTAATCTGCTATTTTTCACATATTGCAAAAACAACTACACACAATTAAATGTAAAATAATTTATAATTTATATAAATTATGCAATGTATAACAATAAATAACGTAGAAAATTTTATTTGATACAAATAATATTCATAAATAAGTCACTATATTATAACAATATTGCGATGTATATAAAAATGCATAAAAATTGTTAATGAGCAAAGCGATAATTGTTTAAAATTATTAAGAAACTGGAGGAACGTACCAACATGAGATTTGTTTAGTAAAGTACAAGTAGATACCAAAGTTTAATATTAACTGGCAGCAAGACCAACATTCTCTCATCTTTTATATTCGACGTTTACTGATGCGAAACAATAGAATAGGTTGGACTTTTCTAAATCTGACAAAAAGCATATTAAGAAAAACCGAGTCAAATCACTACTTCTCTGATCAGTAAAACTATAATCATAATCATAACCATGTCATTGATCTGTCTTTTTATTATTAACTCATATTTCTTTCTTTATAATTTAATAGTTAAAAATATAAGTACAAAATTTTGTTAATTATAATATAATTTAATAAGTAAATATAATTATGTAATAAGTAATTTTTGTTATTAAAAGAGAGAAAGAGAGAGATTATTTTTCTTATATTGTATTATAATTATACTTTATTATTCTGAGAAAACGCATAATACATGCGAACGTCATATAATAATAACAGAACTCTCTCGAACTAATTTGTGGCCAATTCTTTGAGTATTTTCCGAGAAAGTGACAATTGCATAATAAAAATAGTTTAATGTGTATAAGCCATTGAGTAAATTTATAAACTGACTGTGTTACATACTCTGACAATGAGATGAATACCTTTTCTTTCTCTGAGTTACGGCTGAATTATTATTTCAATCAAATGGAAAGAATGTGATTGTATGAATGTGTTTTTACATGTTATGTTATTAATATATTTTTAAACTTTATACAGTTTTTACATATTAATATAAAGTTAATATTTATTCTAAAATATAATTATTAATTTATTTGACACTCCTGGTTGATGTTATTCTATTCAAACACTTTCTATGTGAAAAGATTTATACTATCTGTAAGAATGACTAATCTTATTATATAAGAAATAATATTTTGCACATAAATATTAAATTATTTAATAATATTTTTAAATAGTATTTAATTAAAATATTTTATTATTTAATTTAAATATTTTATCATTATATACTAAAGAAAATTATAAAATTAAAGATTATAACACAAAGCCTTTTCAATTTTAATAAAAATACTTTCTCTTTAAGACAGTATGTTAAATGTTTTTCTTAGCCTAGTTTTATAATAAGACTCAGATTCCAATCTGATTTTGTCACAGAGAAATTGGAAAGAACTACGTGAATGTTAATGCAACCATGAAAATCTCGTCTTGAAGCTGTTAATGCACAATCTTGATTCTTTTAGTTTGCTTTTATTAAAATAATTATTATGTTTTTATTTAAAAATTTTGAAAGCAGTTTCAAAAATAATAATATTAAAAGTATAAATAAATTTATTATATTTTTATATATTTTAATTTAAAGAAAAACGATTTATTAAAAAATATTAATATACATATATATATATATATATATATATGTTTCTACAGTTATATTTAGTTAGTTATTATATTCAAAAATCAAATATCACTTACCTTTCTGTTGCAAACATTTTTATTTTTCTTTGATATAGAAAAATTGTATCGATTTTTTAATTATACTTTTTATATAAATTTTTAGACATAGATAAGTGAAAGATATATCATATCGGTGGAAAGTGAAAATGAATAGAACGTAAATGTGGGAAACGCAGTACAAATTACAAGATATATATATTTCTCTGTTTAAGTTAATATGTACATATAATACTCGCTAAAGCGTCTTAAAGATGAACGACGAATTTCCTTTTCCCTCGATTCGAATGTTTCGTACAAACGCGTTCGATACTAACAATTAAGTTAACAACTTCCGTATAAAATGTTACTATAATTAAGTACTATATAATTAAGTACTCATAGTGCGAACAGCGCGATCAATCGCAGACACAATATATTGCTTTCATTGATGCGTAATACGGATAAGAAATAAATTGTCTATTTTTATTTTTTTTTACCAAAAAAGAATAAATGTACTTATTATTGAATTCTAGTCCTTTCACAAGCAGATTTCCGAATCACTCGCAGATACAACAAACGCATCTCGTGATTGAACGTCTCGCTTGTACTTTTGATTACGGATTTTACGCGGTACCGTTCTCCGAATAGACTTTTCTGTCGATATCCGAATCCGATTGCGACCTGTTCATGTATTCCCTTAGGGCGTCGTTGACAAATTGCTGATGCAGCCGGCGTTTTTCGCTTTCGAAAAATTCTCTCACCTGATCTTTGTCACGAAAATAATTCTGTGTGCTTCTGGTCGGCAATTGTTTATTTTTCATCAACAAACCGAGAAGATTATGCATTCTAGGGTGATTGATATCATAATTCTTGTTATTCGGCGACTTGATCTCTCTCAAAATTTTAACAATTTCTGGTGTCGCCGTGGTGAATGATGTCGAGCGATATCTCTCAAAGGACGGCTGAGGCCTAGCATCAAGACCGAACTCTTCCGGATCTACATATAAATGTATATCGCTCGAGGACGTGTCTAGCCCGCCGGATTTAGGCGGCAATTTTCCCGGTCTTGAAGGTCTTCTCGAATTATTTTTAAATCTTACGGCTACCGGTCGTTTCTTCGGCTTTTCATGGAAAGGGCCTTTCGAGTGCAAAGGCTTCGACTTGGGTGGCGTGAGAAATTCTTTCACGTGACTTCCTTCCTTTAACTCGTCGAAATCGAAGCTTGGCTCTTCCGGTTTACGTTTATGTTTAACAGGACCGTGATAAATATGTATGGGTCCACGAGGCCGAGTTTTCAGCAAATGTTCCAAGGTCTCTAACAGAGGATCTCGTTTCTTTTTATCGTTCGAAAGCTTTGGCGGCTCAGTCCCGCGCACACTATGTATACTCTGCTGCGCTTCGAGAATGTCTTTATACTTCGACTCTGTCAAAGCTTTCAATTTTTGCATTTCGATTCTCAACTTTGCTAAATCATTCGTTTCGTAATTACTCTGAACGGTTTCCTGTGGTTTTCTATCATTATTCCACTTCTGCGAGTTGTACATCGTCTTCAGAGATTCTTTAAACATCTCCTCGGCGTACTTCTGCAAATCCGAGGCCAGCTTCGGCTTCACAGCTAATTCGCTTTGCGCCGCGTATGACGGTTTGAAGAAATTACCCCCGGGCATGACGGGCACCAAGTTCAAACCTTGCTGAACAGGTTCGTTGGTCGGCAACTTATTGTTAAGAGTATTCTGATCTTTAATGATATCAACGTTCGGAACAAAGTTGATGGGATTGTACATCGGTCGTTCGTGACTTTGCACACCTAGTTGCTTTGCTTTTGCGTTCTCTGTCAGCGAATTCATAACATAACTTTGAAGATTAACAGTCTGCGGATTAATCGGAGTCATTGTACTGAAAATTGGAATAGGCGTCGTCAGAACAGCAGCCGGATAGTGTATCGTCTGATATGTCGGGTCGATTGAACTCTGCTTAATATTGGGATTCAGGATCTCCACGTTTTTGGTGCCCACGTTCGGAAGATGCGCGTTCACTGATGATATTTCGAACGCATTTGATTGACTAGTCGTGCTATCAACATTCTGCAGTGTAAGGCCGCCTAATCTATGATTTTTTAACTGTTTGTTCAGTTGAGCCTGCAACTGCTGCATAGCATCCACGCCGTTATTCTGTAGCTTGACATATTGTTGCGTCTGATCACGCGGGCGATGCAAGATCAGATTGCCATTTTGTTGAGGAATTAGTTGCTGAGTGTTTACAGTTATACCGTTTAAAGTCGCAGTGGGGTGCAGTATAGTCATTTCTTGAGGTTTTTGATTATGCACGTAGTATGGGTTGATGTTAGTCGACTGTTTCTGCTGTTCATTCTGACCAACAGCCAAACTCGCGGAGGCTATAAAGTTCGTGCCGGGGTACGTCTTTTTATTGTGCGAGTCCACGTTGTTCCTGCTTTCCGGCACCATCTGACCGGACAGCAGCGTGGGCGTTGTCGGGGAACTTTGTATCTGTAAATTACTGTGTATTAAATTTTGACCCTGCAATCCGTGAGGATTTACCTGGATCTGATTCGTCTGAAGTGGCGTTTGCAAAAAGTTCGGGAATGTTTGAAGAGTCGGTTGCGGTACTATCAGCTGCTGCACGTCGGAGTGCACTTGATTTATCGGTATCTGTTGAACAACCGTGGAAGTCGGCGTCACGGCAAAGGTCGTTCGCGGCGTTACGTTGTTACTCTGAACTCGCACATTCTGCAATGCCGGGCTCAGACTGGACGTCAAGGCAAACAGCGGTGTCATAGTACTTGACACATAGGTTCCCTTGTTCTGTTCGTTCGGAGAAAGTAGAACCGTATGCACAGGATTGTGATAAGTGTTCTGACCGACGATTATATCGGGCATCGGCGTGGAGACCGCCAAATTCTGCAAGTTCACCAAGTTCTTTGATAGTTGAGCCAAATTCTGAGCGAGGATAGGCTGAGAAGTGCTCAGGAGAGGAGCAGTCGTGCCAAATGCTCCGATTGGCGCGGCGGTGGCGACGTTTTGCAGGACGTTGGACACGTCAAAACCTTGGCTATTGCCTAACGCGGTAGCGTGATCGAAATTCGCCACAGGTACGAAATTAACCAAGAACTTTGGTTTCTCCATCTGATTTACTTCGATTCCGTTGGAATGAGAGACCTCGAGATTCGGAGAGATCTGATTCCACGAATTGACAACTTTCGGTCTGGATCCGCTGTGTGCTTTGGAGCCTTTTGTATCCGTATTACCTTTGAAACCGTATCTATTGTTTTCGTCGCCTTCGTCGCGATGATTCGTAGCAGGGTCATTAAGCCATGGATTCATCTTCATCTTATTGTATCGCTGCGATTTCAGTTTTGAAGAGCTGTATTTGTGCTTATCTTCTTCCGTACTGTCGGCCATCGTGTTGCGATGTTCCTTCGGAAGTTTTCTAGTAGAATCAGGATACAACGGACGTCTTCGAATCTTTTGCACCCTCACTCTTGGTCGCTCGACCGCTTGGTACTCAGAATAATCTGCACTCTCGTCCGAGAGATTCTTGAGTTCCTCCGGGCGATGATAACTGCGCTGTCTGTTATTGTCGTTATAAACTTGGTAATGACTTAATGTATCTGAGCTGGAAGTTCTCAAGTTCATCAAGTCCGAGCCGCTCTTATAATTGTTCGCTTCGGCAACTACGACCGGCTTAGATCTATAGTGTGCCCTCGACGGTTCCGCCACATTGTCGTAAGTTCCGCTTTGCGTGAGTTCGTTGGCCTGGTAATTCGTCCTTGACGAGGACGAGTCCGTCGCTGTATTCTGCCCATAGTTCGCGGTGTCCTGGTGAGAATAATTATCAGCGACTTTCTCCTGCTCATAATTAATTTTCTTCGTATCCTGCACGCCATTGTGCGAGTATTGCGCGTAGGAATCTTCATCATTGGTTTCCTGCGACTGCTGACTGTAATTATGGGCATAGTTTTCGGTTTTCTTCTCTCTTTCGTCGTTCGAACTCTCCGAAGAAGACGTGTCCGGTTGGTTGTCGGTCTCGGTGTTCACCGTACTGCGCACGTTATCGTAAAATTCCTTGTAATTGGCCACCGCAGGAGTGTCGTTGTTGATCTTCAGCAGCTCGAATTCGTTCGATCGGCCGTCCTGGAAATCGAAAGACCGACGATTCGTCAACGATCCAGGATAATTCAAAAAAATCCTCGCTTCCGAGGAATACGCTAAGTCTTCCTCAAATTTTTTCACCCTCGCGGCCAAATTGTCTTCAGCACTTACGGCATATGTCGCGTTGCTCTCTTCAGACTGGTTCTCCCGCTGTTCGGAATCATTGCTCTCTAACGACGAGTCGTATGAATCAGGATCGTTGTTGTACGACGAAGAGCCCGATGGTACTATAGGCACAAAACCGTTGGAATTTTCATAGTGTATTGAGCCTCTTGACGACGATATGCTCGAGATTTGCTCTTGAGAATTTTCTGAACCCGCACTCGAGAGTTTTGCAGCCTCTGCTATATTTTCCGACGCAGTTGCGAATTGATCTAAAAGCTCCTCACTTTTCAAGTTGACATCCTCCGTACATCTTATTTGAGACCAGCTGAGAACCACCAATATGACCTACGAAAGATAAAGTATGTTACTAAATTTCAGTTGAAACTTAAAATAAATATACTATCAATATATAACTTATAATTAATTTACTTAAATAAAAATATCATAAATATTATACGTGACACATAAAATTATTAAATATAACGTAAAATGTACAAAATAAACGTAATATAATTATCAAAGTTATATTTTTAATTAAGAAATTAGAAATTCCAGTTTAAAACTTAATTAAGTGTTATAATACGAATATATATATGCATATATATGATATGGCTTAATTTTAATATTATAATAGATGACATAAAGTAGATAATAAACATCGAAAAAAATATTACTGTAAAAGGATATAAAAAATTGTAGAGATACATTTCGAATATTGCACATTTTTAAAGAAGAAAGTAGCATATGCATTGCAAAGTTTGGATAGCAGCTTTATGATAGCAAGCAGTGTTAATTGCTGTTTCGTCAAGGAGTTGACCTAGAAAAGAAAAGCAGAGTAGAAAAGTAAAATGCTAGAGCGTGTACGATAGAGGACTGAATGTGCACGGAAGCAAATCTTCGTAGACTTTCTCACCGATTCATGAACATTTGAGTCGATTTGACAGTAATAGGCCTCCCATACAGGTATGATTGCTAAGTTAATAATTTTAAGTAGCAAAAAGAATTATCAAAGCTCAGAATGTACAATTGTATGATAAATGACTTTTCCTTTACAAAATACAGAAACACGAACAACTAACACATAGCTCGACCGTTTAGAGAGTGCCGGTGAAAAGTAATTGCGGAGAAAACACAGCCAATTTAAACTATGTAATTCTTCATGCCTATCGTTAAACAAGTCGGTCGAAGTTGTCGATTGAAATAAATGCCGTTAATATACATGTCTTTATCTATTTGGATGCAGTCTTGTCGATCAAATTCGAAAGTGTTTATTAATATATGCATACGATAAATTTTCCATAATTTCTATTATAATTGATGTTGTGTAAATTTTATTTTTAATTTACAATTAAATTTAATTTTCTAATTGAAACATTGATTGTTAATGTATATAAAAAATTTTTATATTAAAATATATTAAAATTTTTATATAAAAATATATTAAAATACATTTACAAAAGTTTTAATACTGGTCCAATAAATTATTTTTAAAGGTATACCTTAATTTGATATATTTAATTAGTTTGATCTTAATTAATTTGACATAATAATGCAACAGCTTTATACAATTATAGCTTAATTGTAATTTATCTTTATCAAGATTTGCAATATTTAGCAATAAACATTTAATTTTAAACATTAAATTATTATTTATAACTATTACTTACAAGTTGACAAGCTATTCTTTATTAATTTAATCATTAAAATGTTTAACTAGCTATAATGAAAGTATTTACTAATTATGTCGTAATTAGTAGACCATAATACTACATAAGATAACTAAGTAAAAGCACGCAAGTAATGAAAAGAAGTTTCTCTGTCATGCATTATATTATTTTTAATTTAATATAAAGCAGCATTTCTAATATAATAAGCAATAGTTTTTTAAATAAATAATTTACAAGAAAACAGGTTTCTATAAAAATATACAAATAGGGAGAGAAAAAGAAAACAGAAAAAAGAGAAAGAGAGAAAGAGAGAGAAAAAAGAGAAAATCATATGATGATGAATGAAATCAAGTGTTTGCTATAAAACAACGTATATAATCAAGAAAAAGTATTTTAGGAGCATAAAATAAAAGTATATATATATGTATATAAAAGAAGATTTTCTATTATAAATTAGTTGTATTTATATTTTTATAGTTTACAGAATATTAATTTCTTTTATTTGCTATAAACTAAATTATTTATGTTATATCAAATATAAAATATTATGATATATATTATACAAACATCCAAATGCAAAATAATAGAAAGTGAATTTTAAAGCAGTTTTTAACATGGATTTATTTTTAAAAAGTTTATAACAATTGTTATGCGCTAAAAATTAATTAATTAATTAAAAAATATTAATAAAACAAGAAGAAAGTTTAGCATACAAAATAAATGTTTCAATTGATTATACTAAAGAAAGACAAAATAGAAGTACATTTTTTTCTGTACATATATCTTATATGTAAAATACATTTTTTATAAATTAATATTTTATAAATCAATTAAAATACAGTATTCCTTTAATAATAATAAAAAATTAAAAAAGAATAAAAATAATAAAAATAATAATAAAAATAATTAATTAATTAATTAATGCAATATTTCCTATTTTATAAATAAATTAATGTAATATTCCTTAAATATATATTACATATATATTTAGCATTTTATATATAAAAAAAATCTGTCACTTATATTAATTCATATCAATTTTTTTATATAATAGATTCCTTACTATTTATCCACACAAAAATTGAACAATTAATTTTGTCACTACACAATGAACTTCACACTTGCACAAAGTACTTTAATCCAAGTACTTACATAATATAGGATCATTTTCGTCGAACGTGCTGACTCTTTGAGGTTCCTCGAAAAATCAAACACAATCAGAAAGATCCCTGTGTCGCACTATACTCCGCGTACACATTGATTGCAACCATTCGTTTTCGTATCCTCGCCTTATAATTCCAAGGACCTTGCGTGGTGAACTTCCACGCGAGAACTGAGCTACATAGTAGATACGCGATTTTCTTTATACAGTCTGATGGTTAAGTGAAAAATATCGTTCTAAATATTATCCTGTACACCAGACGGCCGTGGAGGATACTTTCATTCGCGACACGCGAGCGAGCCGGGAGAAATGTTGACCAGTATATCGCAATATGTGATGCCACTTTTCATTATTATGGAACTCGAGCAATCGAAGCATCATTGTGCGGAAATTGAGATGTTAGCAACGAGATGGTGTATAAAATGGAGCAAAATTATCTTTCACTATAACATACATTTTTGCAGAAAAAAATTAATTTGTAATCAAGATCATTATATCTCAAGTTCACGCAAAGGATGCTGTTGGGGAATCATAAATCAGAAGAAGAAATTAGAGGTGTCAATCGCTGTGATTTTCTCAACGATGTATATGCAGGGAAATGCATAAGAAATGCATTCAAAAATCTTGGATTGCAATTGCGCATCGATCGCGAAATCCATTTCCGGTACTTCGCAGCCTCCCGATGTTTTCAGTGTTTTCGACCCTGACAGGACCCAGCGGTGCTTGTCAATACTTTTTCCACTGCAGTTTTATGCGCTCTAGAACACACGCATTACGCCTGGTACGGCTCCTCCCAATACTTCCCGCGAACGTAGATACACGCCCGTGTGTAACATGGGCCGATCTTTTCCCTGCATGTATGTTTTGTGCTCGAGCGTTCAGTTTAATGTCTTGCGTCTAATTGCCGTAGATGCAACGTAGATATCATCGGAGCCTCTCGTTGTGAAAACGTAGAATTAATAACTACTGTGTAGCACGGGTTTGAATATCTTTCTTAGGCTACCGTCAGATTCAGAAAGACGTTAATAGTAGATAATTAGTAGATAATTAATGTTAGTCGTATTATAATATTAATAACAGATAATTAACGTTAATTGCTCGCAGTTCAATGACACTGGTTAACATTGTGTATATGTATACATATCACATATATATATATATCTTTGGATATGCGTATACTTGTGTATCCCGTCATTGTGTATTTTTGATGTGTCTTATTACGTCGGAATATTATTATATATATTATCACGCATAAAGACACGCAATAGAATATATTCACACATTGTCTATATATCGAGTAAATGCACGATTACATTCAATGATCGCTAATCTGCAGCACGTGGTTCGATAACGATTACTCTTGTTAAGACGGAAATTTTTATTTTACTTATATGCATACATCGTATAATTATTAGGAAAAGTTAATAACTGTGTTTTAAGTCTCAAGTGCATCAATTTTTTGCAATTAATGATCAGATAATACATACCTATGATACTCGTGCAGTATATCATATCGTATAGGATATCCTTTGAACTACATAAAAATTGCTTTTTAATCAATTTCTATGATCAATTCGGAATAACTTTCTTTAGCAAATTATTGAAGAAAGTTATATCTTTAATCATATAATTATCTCTCTAGTTTTTTTATTTTTAATATTATTCATTTTTGTTAATTTTAAATTTAAATTATATTAAAATATTTCAAATTAAAAAATATAATATCTCTTTTATCACCTATAGTTTATATTAAATTTTTATTACCATAGTTTTTTCATAATTAAATACTTTAAAATTATTCTCAATTAAAACTTTTGAAACTAAAAACTATGAACGCTATGATAATAATTAAAGAAAAATCAATTTCACATCTGCCAAAATAATATTTTATAAAAAGGAAATATATTAATAAATATATTAAATAAAAAGATACTTTTATAAGTAACTTGAGAGTTTTAAACAGGATTAATATTTTTTGGATTATGTGGGTTATTTAACCCATTATCTGCGGTACATATAATAATTATTAGTATATATATACAATATTATTTGCTTCTAATTAATCTTTATATATGCAACTCTATATTCATTTAATAAAATATATCACGACACGCACATCTAAAAAAAATAAGCTTTGAAATAAGATAGAGTACAAAAGTTTTTTAGACTAAAAGTTTATTAAGGAACAAACAACTTCCAGAATATGTAAAATAGCAAAATTTGACAGTTAAAATTTAATTAATAAAAAATATATCCTAATAAAAAATTAGTCTTTTTTCTTACGAACAATTAATTAGTATAAAATTTAGGCACAAATAATAGCAACATAATTTGTATAAAAGTTATTTCTTGCTTAGTTTATTAGTTTACAATAACCCAATATACAAGTTTTATATATATGTATGATTATCTTAAATTGTATATGAGAACTTAAGCGCTAGTATTCAAAAGGTACCTTTTTGAAGTATGAAAATTTGGTTAATATTTCATGATCCATTCGTAAAGTCACAAATGTGCTTCGATTACTACTGCTTTTCTGAGAACAAGAAATATTCATACCAACAAATTGCGGTTATCAGCAAATCAGTAGCGCAGGTACATATTGTAGACATTATATAATACATTGCACAATCCCATTAAATACTATCACTAATGTCCGATTATCTTATCGTTTTTAAATTGTTTCATGGCACGAAATATTTTATTCGAGAGACTAAAATAATAAGGTGCCAAATAATGTACATTACAATTGTTCAATATTTTAAGATAAAAAAATGTTATAGAAAATTTTGCACTCGATATTGTTGGTAACTAATGTCGTATCATCATATTAATCAGTCATTTGGATTTAACTTTCGTGTTCTATATTGTAGCGTGCAGTTATTTCCATATTAATACCCAACCTTTTCAGCAAAGCAATATTGATTCTTCTTATTTTAATTTGAATAGAAGAATAGAAATTTTATCTCTTTCAAATTGTTATCTTTACAATTATTATGATGGTAATTAATAACATGATTATTAAGTTTTAAAATTGCATCTTTTTTTTAAGTATAACTCAACTAGCAGAAAGATCGGATTCTGCGATAGGACACGAAAGTTAAAGATTTTTTCTCCTTGCAATTTTTTCTTCTCTCTCTCTCTCTCTATCGTTTATGCATAATTCAGTTCTTAATTCTATAATTCCCGAACCTCGGATCCTCGACAATCTGCACGCTCTTCACTTTCGGCCGGATCGCCGTGCGTTCGCCGTATTTCACGCTCGAGAGACTTTTCTCGACATCCAAATTACTCGTCTCGTAACTCGATCTGCCGACGTAAGATTCCGTAGGATTAGGGTCCTGATCTTGGTCATTGCTATTTTGTATCAATTGTGCCAGTTTTCGCAGCGAATTCGTGGAAAATGGATGTTGATCCTTCGGGAGTTGATTACTGTCAAAATCATAATTGGTCGGTCGCGCCAATTCTTCGATACTTCTAGCATACTGAAGGAGATACTGTTGCAGAAGAGCCTTCAGATTCACATTAGGCGAGGCATTGGATTGAATAGGCGGCACGCCGTCTACTCTTAGAATAATTACGGGTATAAGCGAGTCTCCGGCTTGCACAAAGGTCGGCCGTACGTTTAAAATGGACGAAGGATTCTTAATGTACTGCGATATCGATGGATTATAATTTAATAAGTCTCCGTACTGCAGATTCGAATAATTTTCTAAATTCTTGTTATTCACGTTAGTTTTCTTGGCTGAGTGCCTTCCAGCTGGAAACATATAATTCCCTTAAATAATATCATTGAATAGAAAATATTTGGAAAAGGAACAATCATATCTTGTGCTTTTTTTATATCTAATAATTATTTTTGAGAACTCTTCAAATTTAAATAAACGAATTAAAGTGAACAATGTAGAAAACTATTTAATATACACATGTTTGTTAAATTATCATCGATTGATGAATTTGTCATTATTCATAATTTCACAAAAATCACAAAAATGTTATTAATTTTTATAATAAATTTTATCTTAAATAAATTTTAACTAGCATATCTAATTTTGAAAAAAGTGAAACTTTTTTTAGAGCAGATAGTATTTTTCACAATTTTAACTAATTTCTCTAAATCTAAATTATAACATAATTAAACTACCTCTGAGACCAAATTTGCATTCAATAAAAAACCCATAAAAAATAATTATTTTTTCTTCCGAATATATTTTTTTACCAACTATTATTATTATTATCGGGCATGTTGCAATAAAATTACAGAGCTATAAAAATATCTCTTTATAATATAAAATAATATAAAACAAAATACAAACTCACCTGACGACATAAAAGCTCTGCTAGGTGTCGTGCTTCTCGGAGTGCTCTCCGTGGTATAAGACTCGACATACTCCGCATTCGGGCTGTTCACCATATATTTCGAAGTCGGCCGTCTCGACGTCTGCTCATATCGATTCTTTTGACTCTTCCTATTTGACTTCCCATTCGAATTTCTCAACTGCGAAGAGGTCGCCGAATACGTGGCGGAGACTCCGCTGCCGATTCTCGCCTGTTGTGTCGGACCGATCTGCTTCTGACCCACGAGATTCTGATAGCTCAGCCGATACGTCTGCTGATGCGGCAGTCCGGACTCGGCCGAGATGAAAGGATTCGGGGAGCCATTCGGTCCCGGCGATATCGGAAACTGCATTGGAGCCTGCGACAGAACGGAAGTATCCATGGAGTCGGAAGAAGACTCGTCGGTCTGCGACGTGTCCTGGGACCTGGCTGCCTGTAAAGCATCCAGCGACGGATAATCGGAATAAGTCTCGTACGTCATGGGCGGCACATCGGACACTCTGCCATCTGGATATTTCCAGAAGACTTTGTTTTCGTATCTGACGCCGTTCTCCACCGTATACTTGGGCATATTGGCGAACGATCCGGCGTTTTCCGCGTAGCTGGATGCGGAGGTCGAAGATTCCACCGAAGTAGGTCGAACGTAATCGTGAGAATTCACCTTGGACCGAACGTCGATAGTCCCGAGGTAAGGATTAGCTGTCGAGGATTCCACCGAGCTTTGCGCCGACGATCTCGGGTAATCTTGCACGTTTATCGCGTGCTGACTGCTCTGTCCCAAGTATCTCTGAGAATTTATTTCGTCGTACGACGGCGGACTTGGAGTGACGTAAACGTATTGACTCGAGCTGGAGGCCGTGTAACTTTGCGGGCTCGGAGTTACGTAATCCGTCTCCGTTTCCGCGGAATTCAGGGATTGCGGCGTGGTGGATGTGTAAGCACTCTCTCGATAATCCACGTTCGGATACGTATCGATAGGAGGTCTCGCGGACGGAGAGAAGCCTCTGTAAGGCTCGGACGTCTTCGTTAATTTCGTTCGCAGCCCGAATACGGGCTGAGATATCGTCGCGGGATTATAATACTGATAGCTCGTCGAGCTCTGCGAGTTCGACCTAGTTGAGTCGCGGGTTCCGTATGACCCGGACTGGGACCTCAGATCCGCGACCGGTTTCCGATCCGTCGATGGCGGCACTTTCTCAATTATGGTCCTCGGCAGAAACGGACTGATGGATTCCTCTATGGTCACGGTGGTTCCGGTCTTCCCGGCGGGAAAGTAATAATTGTACTTCCGTGGGGCGTGTAGGACGTTCCGCTCGAAGCCGTAACCAAGATTGTTGTTCACGGTGCGTTTCGACTTCTCGTCGACGGTCGCGTTCGTATCATCCGAGATTGTGCCATTGTCGAAATCTAAGAGTATTATCGGCGGTAAAATCGGCATGATCTTCTCGGTGCTGTCTTGCTCTTGCTCCGAGTTCTCGACGTCATCGGCAGCGTCATTGATAATGACACGTTCGGCGCTGTCTGAGTCGTTCACCTTGAGCTTCCTGGTTCCGCTGGTCTCCGCGTGGCAAAAAATTCCAGACGCCAAGAGGAATGCGGCGATCTGAAAATCAGGGGCACGTGTAAAAAATCGCGACGCAACAATGTGTTGTTGGTCATCGATCTCGATGCTATACGGTAATGGCGATCTCGCTTTCACTCTTCTTCCTTGTCGAGTAAGTACGATTGCTTCGAGGAAATTCAAGCGGAATTTCCTCGAGCATAATGAGGCATAACATCTTGAAGAATGCGAAATGGCGTCCGCGTTTTATTTCGCGATATATCTCGATAATCTAATTATACATATAATTGCCAAGATAATGAATAACACAATTACAATCTTAGAGAGAAACGGTCAGAGCTGGGCAGATAGCAAGATATTTCTGTAGGGTCAGAGTCAAGTGTGTCGGTCAACGTCGTTAAAACAGGTTTCATTCGCAGCGCACTTGCAATTTTCACCGCTTTCTTTAATTTAAACATACACATCGCAGCATGATGCGTAGTTAAAACATTATGCTTTCCGTTCGAGTGGTTTTAATATAACTGTACAAATAAATGTAAGTCGGAATAGGGAAAATCTAGTTAACAGCTGATTTTAAATGACATAGAAAAACATGTAAATACAGTGAAACAAGAAAATTGATGAAAAAAGATTTATAAAGAATGTATTCTCCACTAATTTTCATTTATTTATATTTTCGATATATTTTAATATACTAATAATTTAAAATTGAAATAAATCGAAAAAAAAGGAAAATTGATTAAAGAAGAGAAACTAAGAGAGTTAAAGTAAAATAAACCTGCAAATGAAATTTACATAACTACCAATCCAATTCATAGCATTCTTATATAATAATAAATCTCTTCCATGATCATAAATCATGTCTATTTTCAAGCATCGCAAACGACAAAGTATGTTCCCAAACAAATCGTATCGATCAATTCCCTTCCCATTTTCCAAATGTAACCACGCCGGCTGCTTCTAGCGCTGCAATTCCGACGTTAATGACCCAATAAATATTCAGCACGCGACATGAATGAAGAAGGATGCGTGCGCGACGCAGCGTCGAAAGCAGCCGTTCATCAACGACGCGGCGTCGATCGAATCGAAATTGACGACGATTGAGATGTAAAAACGCGAGCATCGCCTGATGTCGCAATCGCGGCGAGATGGCAGATTTCACGCCGATCTCGCGACGTCTCTCTCGAGATCGTCGTTACGTCGACGCGAAACCGCACGTTACCTAATGCCGAAAAGTCCGACCCCTTCGCGATGAATAATCAAGAGAAGGAATAAAAGAGAGAGATGATGCACACATCCCCGCGTATACGGACTTTCACTGACTTACTCAAGAGCACATCTGCTGTGGCTACTTTATCATCGCCTCTTCGTATATCGTGACCGTGGATACGAGAGAAAAAAAATCCGAGGCACTTTCACCGCAATTACACGTCCGGTCGAGTCCAGGAAACGTTCATGCGATCGAGAAAAAAGAATTTTTCGACGCTATTCTATATATACTGCGAAAAATGACTGCGTATGCGCCGCGGGATCGCCAAATATATCCGTTAAAATATTTCCCATGGATTTTCAGTATTGAAGCTTCAATCAAAGAGATTAATAAATTCGCGTAGAACAGCTGCAACAGGGATTTTACGCGATCAATTCTGCCAATAACGTGTTATTCACGCGCGACCGTTTCAGTTTTTCGATTATATGTAGAACGGCGTTAGTAGCGTTTATCATGAAAAATATAATTTTGTTATTACAATATAATTATAAAATGTTTTATTATTAGAGATTAATAAGAGTGCTCGTATCACAGGTAGCGTAAACAATGCTGTTTTTTTAATTATCCTTGCTTTAATAATTTTTATGTAAAAATAGAGAAGAATATAAAATATTAATACAATGAAAGAGACAAGATATATATTACAACAATGGTGTAAAAACGTGAAAAATAAATGCAGCCTTATTTTATATGATTTTATACATTAATATAAATGTTTAAAAATATATATTTTTTGAAAAAAAAAAAAAAAGGTTATTAATTAAAATAAACTAGCGGAAAGATAACGTTAAATTTTAATTTTATTAATCAAACATAAGGTTTGATAGTTTTTAATTACTGAAAGGTACAAAAAATAAATAGATATAAAGAATGATATTTATACTAAATATAATTTTTATAGCTTATGATACACTCTCACACACATAATGGAAATAAATTTACATACTCAACACTAGTATTATTTAATAAGATGCAAATCGAGGATTTGAAGGAAGAGAAGTTTCTATAGGGCGCTAAATAGTGGAGGCAACTTTTGGTTCAAGTACTTACGTATACTTTAGCAAGACTCATGACGGCCGACCTTAAACCTGCTGGCTTGGCGAACTTGTCGTGTATGTTTGATACTGATGAAGCTGAGGCCAGAACATCCCACCTTATATGCCCTCGCTCCTCGTGTGAGAAAGACACCATCATTATAGTTTCACTACAGCGAGACGAACGCTATTCGCGTTCGATACGGGAAGACACCTGCCAATAGCGTAGCGACTTCTGACAGATCGACGCACTGATCGCGTAAACCTTCTATTACGCAAATAAATCTGCGGCATATGTGTTATGCTATAATTCGGACTATGAAAGTCTCGGATCTTGGAAAGGAAAATTCCAGATTGTTCGTTAGCAAAGTGTCAATCGCGAACACACATCCCCGTGAAAAACATGATTTAACCATCTTCGAAAAATTACGTTATTCATGACGCATACAGCCCATGAGAATATATTATCATATATTTAAAAGTATAATGTGTACGAAATGCGGCTCACATTTGATTCTATTTTAGCTTGGACAGATCGCGAAATGCGATCTGCAGAAAAATCCAGTAAATTATGCATTTATGAAAAAGAAAGCATCTACCGTGCGCATAATGCAGAATTAATGACGAAATGGCAATCAGAATTTTAAGTGATTAATTTCGGTGCGCCTACACCATTGGACTCGTCTCCGTGGCATCAGCTTTCTCGTATGAAGGACTCTTCTCCGATACATTGCGCTCTCATAAATACTTACATACATGCGTTCTCTGACGTTAGATATTTCCCATGACGCACGACTTCCTGGTGTCAACAAAGTCTCAATATTAAGTCGCAAAATAGTCATAAAGTGTCATAAACTGTCAACACTAATCAATAATTTTACACACTCTTAGATGTATTAATCGATAATTAACTTTGCCGGTTTATAATTTTCACTCGATGTAATAAAATTCTTATTAGTTATACAAGCTATATCTTATCTAATTTATCTTTTTTAATAATATTCTAATAAGTAATTAACCAAATATATATTACTCTTTTTGAATATATTACTCTTTTAACATTAGAAAAGAGATAAAAATATAATCGTGTTTCTATTTATTATAATTTACGAAGAAATATTGTATATTCTCTTGCTCTTTATTTTTTGCGCGTTTCATTGTTATTTTGATAATTGTCTTTATTTCAATAATTTTTTTATTAACTTAACGAAAGTTATAAGCCGACTCTTTTACACATATACATTTGTTTGGTCTTTTTTTGGCATAAAATTAACTTGTGTAAAAATAAAATTAATAAAATCATAAATTTAAAACACATTAGACTGTGGAAAGTGACTTAAAATTGCTGATAATTTTTATAGTACCAGAGAGAATTAATTATCTGATATTTTTTATGTGCTCAATGAATCAGAAATTTAATATAGATCAAATAATATTTTGTAACTAATATTATTTAAAATCTGATGTAAAATTTTATAAAATTTTAGAAAAAATATATAAAGCTTTAGAAACTTCATAATAAATTTTTCGAATAAAGTTATAAAAATATATATTTTTACAATAAATAACAATATTATTATTTATTTGTTAATTTTTAGATATGTTTGTTCTTAAAAAATTATTTTATATACAATTATGTAAAAGACACAAACCTAAAAGTATATAATAATAATGACATAAAATCAATAGTTTAATTAAGCAAAATATAATTAATAGATGTAAAAAGAAAAAATAAAAAACATTTTACTTAAAAAATAAAATTGACAAATATAATAGTTATATATGTGTGAAAAAACCAAAAAATTTAAATAATTAAATTATAATGATGACAGAATTTCCTAATAATCTTCATATTAAAAATTATTTTAGATTTTATTTAATTATGTAATTCTGTTAAAATGCAATTAAAATGTATATTAATAAAGATAAAATAATAGGATGCAAATAATAATAAACAAAAAATGTAGTAAAAAAACAATTCAATTTCTTACTTAATTATAATTATATTATACAATTCATACATATGTTATTTTTTCATCACATTATATTTTATTAAGAAAAACATACAAAACATATCTGTATTCCATCAAATTAAAAAGCATGGTATATATTTCAACGAAAAATAAACAACCGCATCTAATTAATTACATTATGTTATTCCATAGTAATTATATAAAATAATTATTACTATACATTTTCATATGTTTCTGCAAGTCTACAACCTGAAGAGAAGATTTTATCAATTTTTTTTTTCATTTTAACTTTTATTAAAAGAATCGTAAACACAAGATACGCTGTTTACTGAGCGCATCTTTATACAAACATAAAAAAAGAATAGTATAAAAAGTTTACAAAATCTTCAATGAAAGACTAGATACGATGATGCCGCTGATTTCTATCTTCAGTCAGCATATCTTCGATATCGTCGAGTATGCCTCGGTCGTCATAATTACTAATAATCATCTTTTCATGCTGTACTGACCCTTGTGTATGTTGACATTCGTCAATCATACCGCTAACAGCGAATTCGAATGACCTCATCATTCGGTTTTACGTTTCTTAAGCGCAAAATTTACCTTTGAAGGAAGAAAACCTCCTTCCAATTTTATCGGTCTTTCTCTGTACCTAGAATGGTAATTTAATATAGTAATGCAGCATGTGAATACAGTAATAAGATAGTATTATAGTATTTTAGCACGTCTGATTATACCTGGCGGTATCTTGCGCAGCGATGATTTTACTCGGAATATACGTGTCAAGTAGCGACCTTGGCTCTGTGGGCAAGGAATGATCTTGCACTGACAGAGATTGATCTTGCGCCGGCAAGGAGCGTTCGTCTTCGAAAGGAACAGGTGCCAATTGCGTAATACCGGATTTGAAGTCCTGCGAAGGCAATTGCGGCGGCACGAAGTGAGTCTTAGGTTCTTCAGGCATCTATCCAGAACACATTTAAATAAAGTGAACTTTTATATCGTATAAAAATTAAAAAAAAAAAGCTCCGGAAAAAAGCTTACGAAATATTGCAGATATTTTTAAGACAAAATTATGAAATAATAAAAAATGTATATCGCAAACAAAGCATTTTATGTTTTATATTTAAAAAAGCAATAAATAATTCAATAAAAAATAAAAAGCGAAATTATTAAAATAGCAAAATATATAATGATTCTCATTACTTTCATAAAAGAGATGTTAAAGTATTTTATAAATATAGAGTGCACGCTTTTTGTCCATTAAAATGGAAAAACGTTAAAGAGTAAAAACACAGATAATATGCGACACAGTGTCACACAGCAAAGAAACTAATTAAATTATGCTAATTAGTTGGCAATATTATCCCGTTAATGATGTCGCTCTCGTAATTTGAATCTGTAATTACAGGAACCTCGATGGTTAGTTAAAGTGTTATTTTTATGTAAAAAAACTATATCAATTCCATTATAAAATTCTGATCTTTGATCAATATAATGTAGTCACGCGAGTAAATTATTTTATTCGAAATGACAGTTTTATGACAAATTTATTATATGTATTATTACGATCGTTTGTCATACAAACCTTAACATAATTTTGTGGAAGATCTTGGCTGATTTGTTCCTGCAAGATGTTTTTCTGTGCTTCGGGGACAAGCGGTGTAATGTAGTATTGTTGTTGGGTTTGATATTGATTTATTTGCCCGCGAAGAGAATTGTCGTCAATGTATGCTGGTAAACGAGCGTAAATATCGCTGTAAGCAGCAGCGGGATCGGTGTAAACTATGCCAGGCTGCGTGTAAACTAACTGCTGCACATATCGCGGTTGCGACGGCGTGATGTAAGCTTGCGTGTGTAATAGCGTCTTTCCTTTAGTAAGGGATTGTTGGGGTTGCACGTACACGGGCGACGTCAGCAGTGTGGACAAATTAATCTTCTTCGACGTAATTGGGAGAGTATAGGCTGATCCTTTCGAGGCCTGAAACATTTGTAATTATATAACAAATCGGATAATTAACGTACCACAATAGTTTCAAATTTAAATACCAATTTTTACAAATTTATTTATTTTTATAATGCAGAAAGAATTTTTCATTTTTTCTTATCTTGTTAACATCATTATTTAATCTATTATTAATTGAATCCACAATATTGCAATATTGTGATCATAATTAGAATTAAACTTACTTTGGTTCTAAATGTTCCTGGCACAACTGTAGAATAAGCTGTTTTTGCCGAAGGGACCAGTTGTTTTTGATTGTATATGGGAGCGTACACGGGTATGGAAAATTGTTGAGCCGCGTTATTAGCTGACTGATGTAACGAAGGTTGTCCCAATCCGGCACTTTTTCCACCTAAAGAATTAATATTCACTTGGGGATAATAAGAAAGCAGCTGAGTCACCGGAACCTCGAGATAAGCAGGTTCTGTAAATAAGAAAGCTCATTTAAATATCACATATTCGTTTGCAATATATATGTATAAAATGAATTAAAAATCTTTTTATTTTATTTTCATTAAATAATTTTACTTTTCTTTTAAATAGATCTTCTTACTTTAATATTTCGTTTATTTGTTTAATTTATTTTTATTAACATACAAAATTTTCGATATAATATAATTATAATTAAAATACTTCTTATTTTTTATTATGACTTCAAATATTATATATTCTATAGTCAATAAAATAAAATTAATAATAATATATTATAAAATATTTTATATTTCTTAAATTTTTTCTATTCAATTTTTACCTTTACTGCCGGCTTTTATGTACTTTTCTGTGGCTGCTTTTTGTTGAACACTTTGAATATAATTGCCTATCGGTATTTCCGGTTGATAGCTTAATTTTTGAGATTCAAAGACAGTGGAAGCACCGGCATTTGTCGGTATTTCCGCTTGCTGTTGATATTCTCTGTAATATTGTATTGATGGAATTTGCTGTGTCAAAATTTGACTTGGCTGCTTGTACTGTGCTTCGTGTACCGAATATTGGTTAGGTTGATTATATCCTTCAGGTGGTAGCTAAATAAAATAATAATAACAAATTAAAGAAATAAAAATTATAATAAATAGAAAGCAATATGAATATATTATTTTATAATATGTGTATAATACGTCGTTAAAAGTAAATATATATTATTTGATATTTATGACTATTTTATGTATTATATAAAAATATTATATATATTATTTAATAATAATAATATATATATATATATATATATATATATATTATTAATCCATTTATTATAATTTTTATAAGGACCTTTAACGAGAGAACCTTGCAATGTTCTAAAATAAAAATAAATAAAAATTTAAATATATGCGTTCCAATATTGAATTAATGTCTTACACTATATTTTACATCTTGAGGATAGATATAGGGATCAGAATTACTATTCAAAGTAGTATATTGATTCGGTATTTGATATTGCTGCTGATTGGGTTGGGCGGCATATTTCGTTTCATCAGTCTGAATGTTCTCGTTCTTGACTTTATTCTCAGCCTTTAGATTATCTCTTTCTATATCTTCTAGATTAATTTTCTTCTCGGCACATGCAGTCGTTACCAGCAGACCCAATATTAAATAGACTTTCTGCAATCAAAAGAGAAAGTTAAAATTGCTATCGATTATCAATGCACTCTTCTCTTTCTCCTTTTTTTTAAATTTAATATCTAATTGTGCATAAACCTGCAATAATGTCTAAATTATTATGTACAAGATTACATATACAAAGATTAGCAAAAAAATTAATTTTTTTAAGGCAGAAGTAAGTAAAATTATTCTATTTAAATGTTTTAAAATGTTGATAATATTTATATTACTTTAATATAATATAAACTCAATTAATTTTAATATAATTTGCCATCGAAAGAGACTAACTCTCGAAAAATATTTTTTTAATATTTAATTTTATATAATTTTTAAAATATTTTTTTTTTTATTTAAATGCAAATAAAGTATTCTTTTACAATAAAGTTGCTTTGCAAAAATATGTAACACAAGGTAAAATTAAATATTAAAGACAATGTGTAAGAGAAGTAACAAAAACTAGTTTACAATCATATACTATCATTCGTTATCGATTGATTACATCTGTTCGTTTACCATTATCGTTTCCGGCAAAAATGTATTTGCACCGGGCACACTTTCACTGCACGCAAAGTTCTGGGTCAACATCCGGTATGGACCACTCTTATATAGATTGTGCTGCCCCGCCTTTCAAAGGCACACTCCCCCCGACAAGTGTATCATCATACTCACACAGGTATACACATCTTTCTCTTTTTTTTTTTATTCCCGGCAACTCAATTTTCACACATCTTGTAAGCGTGCCATACTATATATCAAAAAGAAGCTATACATAATAGCCATTTTGGCCATACTAATTGTGTCATTGCTAGTGAGAAACGATTATTTTATGTCTTATGTGATCGCAATAAATGTAAAAATAAAAATCGTACACAAATCATGTTTTATAACAGAACCTATTAGGTTTATATTTGCAGTTATGTTTTATATAATACATGATTTTAATTTGAAATTTATATTGTATAATATTACTGATATAAAATAGTTTATAAAATTCTTTTGTGTAATATGTGAAAACATTAATTTTTATATTAGAAGTTAGTAATGAAAATAATTATTGTTTTATTTTATAATGTCTAATAATTAAAATCAATTTACAATTTAATTTTTTTTTCAGAAAGGAAAAGGATTGTTTACGAATATCAAAAATTTAGTTAGAAATTTTTTATTTAGTTTGAAATATTTTAAATATAATTTTATCTCTCTCTACTTTTACATACTAAAGAATTTAATATTTATTTTGTAAATATAAATTTAAAGTGTCAAACAGGCAATAAGAGCCAAATCGCGGATGACAGTGCGTTATTTCAACAAAACTAAATTTTTTCGTTAGAATTAAAAATCTGTGCACAAGGCATCAAATTTTACTTGGTCACGGCCAAGATTTTAAAATTCGAATAATCTCTACAAGAGATTTATTTTGTAATATTTTTTCGAAAAATACACGTTTCAAAAATAAATATAAAAAATATATTAAAGAAACATTATGCTCTTACTGCACATATTAGTTAGTTTACAAAAATATTAAATTTATAATATATATAATATTTTATAAATTAAAAAATTTTTGATAAAATAATTTATTTAATAAAATAATTACATAAAAATGTATATTATGTAAATAAAATTCTTGTTTTTATTTTATTGTAAAAAATTATATTTTATAAATATAAATTTCCAAAAAAAGTTTATCGTTACTAAAAGTTACGTTTTGATCAATAATTCTATTACAGAATAAATAACCCTGTGTCAGAATCCTGTTTCCTCTTCATTGGCATTATGCAATTTTTTTTGCAACAATTAGATAATATGTAATATTACACACTTAATTATTTAAGTAGGAACATTTAAAAAGCATATACTTACCATGTTGTAAATATACCAAAAAATATAAACACGACACAAGGACCTAGCTCTACTCTATAAAACCGAAGCAAATATGCGTTCTCTTTATATAGCCTTTACCCCTACTCGCTACATCCCCTGTCGAGCAACACTTCACTTCTTGATCAAAGAGTGTGTGATAATCCGTGTCGGCTGTGGATCACGTAGAAGAATCGCGATTCGAGTAAAAGTGTGAAGATATTCACTGCTTCCTCGCCGTTTCAGAACATGTAACTAAATCTCTTTAAGGAAAGAGAGAGAAACAGAGATTGATATCTTGAAAATCTAATATCATAGATATTAGCAATGCTAGAAATTAATTTTTGCAATTATTTACAAAAATGAGATAATATAAAACAATTTAAAAAATTATTACTTTTTAGTCAGATATGTAATTATAGAAATTCCAAAAAAGTTTTTGGAAAAAAAATATATTTATTAGATTTATTTAAATAAATTAATAAAATCGCGAGTGATTTTCAGACATATTCCTACATACTTTCATGTGCGAAATACGATTTAAATATTCTCATATTGCGCAGTGCTTATAAAATAAAAATCATAATTTAACATAATTGATAAATAAGGAAATGTTATTTTACTCGAAACGTTTTATTTTACATTCATCAAATAGGTAGTGGAAAACTAATCTTTTCATAAAAAGAAAGACACGGCGTCTTCGACGCGTCGTTAGAACGAAATTAACGAGAAAAATAAAAAATTGGTTATTAAATCGCAATCTCCTGAGAACGTGATATATCATCGAAGAAATCAAGCTAGAAACGAACTTCACGTTTAATCATTATCGTCTTTCTATATACATTCCGTTCGTACAATCGCAGCAGGCAGTAATCTACAGATTGCACTGAAGTGTGTTAATAAACTGACGATAGTGGTAGACCCATTCGGCCTTCATAATCTTCGCGTAAATCGCTTGTAGTTTTTTCATTGCCATTAAACAGTGATAATTATCGCTCTCACTTATTCAGTGCATTAAATTGCTAATTGACCAAGTCAATGTGTTTTAATTTCTACATTTAGTAAACAAAACTTACTAATGAAATGTAATGTATCTAATATTTCATTAATTTTTAGAGAAAGTACGAAAAAAACTTTCAATTAATTGATTATCTTTAATTAATTTTTTTAATATAATAATGTTTTTGTTTAAGAATATTATTAAAATTTTTTAATATAAAAACTTAATTATAATATTTATTAAATTTAACCCAATGAATAAGAAGCATATTAAATGTGTGATAAAACATTGTTTTTAAAATAATTTCAATTAATAAAATGTGTAATAGAATTCGAATTCGTCGCCATTATTAACATATGCAACATTGCAACATTTATCATACATTTTTGATACAATCTATTGTTTATTAATTCAGACTTGTAATGAGAAACAAACGTTAACGTCGGTGTTGAACAATGGAGGGAATGATCGATGTCTCGCAGGAAGCGGCGGTTTCCGATTATTGAACGATATAATAGCGTACGCACTTGTGGAAAAGCGGATTATTCTCACCACTGCGTGTCTAATAATCGCATGCGAGATTGAGCTGTGAGATCTGGACATGCAATCTCATTACTCAATTCAAAAACGTTGATAAATCTTTGGTATTCATGTCAAGCAGACAAATTCCATTATAACTCATTAAAAATTATGCTGATAAATTTACACGTGTTAATAAACTAGTATATATTTCTATATATATTATTACATCATTTTCTTTCCAAATTTTTGATAACTGTAACATATTACATTATATAAAATATATGTCAATATATTAAAATATTAATAAATAAAAATACACATATTAAAATAAGTTATTAACCATGGCAATCTCTTATCTATAGAATTTGCTGCCTCGAGACAGACACATTTTATTTTAAAAGATTCGAGCGATCGTCGAAGCTTATTTGACTCACAATTTGCAAGGTTATCTAACAATGAATCATTTTTGCAATAAACGATGTTATTAGTGAAAGTAATCTTGACAACAATACAACGTGGGACTATATTACAGAATAATGTAAAAGATTGCATTGTATATTCAAGTAGTTGTACACCGTGCTGTTTATTCGATCGAAATCAAGTGATGGTGGTTAACCGACAAGTCATCCAAGCGGACTATCGCTTATCACGACAATCGCGTGGTAAGATGTTCCTGAAAATTCATAAACGGAAAGTCTGTTCCTCTCTCAACTCTTTCTGCCTCTCTCTTCTCGTATTTTATTCCGTTGCAGACAATGGGAAATGGGGAACCTGGAAGAATGAGAGGAAAGAGCGAAGAAAACCGCTTTTCTTGCACAGATTTCTGACAAAAATAGTTGATCGATGTAGTCGGGAATCACGGAAGGGAAAGGATGGCGAGGATGGAAAGGAGATCTCGTAATGACTCGCGATCTCTTTGTCGAGCTCTCTTTCTCTTTCTCTCTCTCTCTCTTTATGCAAAAGCCGAGACGTTCCGTCATCTCGAATCGCACAAAGGTGAACCCTTTTCTCTGATATTCTCGAGTATATTTCACCTACCAAAGCGGAAGCAAAAGATGAGGAAGGAAGGAGAACCTAACTGCACCAGGACTTTCTATACGTTGACCATGGGTGTGGATCACATCCATATATACCGATCACGCATTACTTGCAGAAACGATCGTCGATGCGGTTGCGCTTAAGCTGAAAATTAACTGTAATTAAAACGGAAAACTTTCTCGACCGGAATTGTATACCGCTTCTACGAAACACATCCAGAAAGAAACGCGCGAAAAACGCAAATTAGATCAAAGCGACGATTAAATGAGCGTACTTTTGCTTCTGAGAAGCGACAAATAAAATGCAAATATTTGACCTTTCCGGTTGATCGCTTTCTCGAGTTCAGTCGCCGGGTTCAGTTCGCCTACGATCACCTGTCTATCGAGTGATCTGTTAAAATTTTTTACACTCATCCAAGTTGACCACACTACCCAGTCGCTTTCGAAACTCATTCAATTGATTATACGGACATAATGTGCAAATAAAGATGGCAATTTGCATATTTCTCTCATAAAATAAGACTGGGAAATCGATGGCTAGTACTACTAGAAAGCACTTATTCCCTCAGTTCTCAATTAACGAAGTACACTTTCCTTCGTGTACTTTTTGTTGTAGACGTCTTGAAGATGCTGTATTTAATTATTTATTTTATTTATTTGTTTCATTGCTCACAATTTTTAGAAAGCTAAAGGTTTGAAACTTTCTATCGATAGAATTTTAATATTGAATGTGTGTATGTTTTTGTATATATGTATGTATTTTAATATGTCATTCTAATAAATAAAAAATACGTATCTATATCTTCATGTTATGCTATAGTCAGAATCTTAATAAATATTATAAAATTAAAATTTATTTAATAATAATGTATCAATTTATTAAAGAAAAAAAGTACAATTAAAACTAAAACAGAATATTAAAAATTGTAGTAAAAATCAATATAAAACATTGTATTTTGCGTGTAACTTTTTGTCAGATTCAAAGAAATAACCATCGAATGAACAACGTCGAGAAATACCAGATAAATAACAATAATTTTCTCATATTCCGCATAAATTAATCTGAGTATTGTAATACTTTTTCCGATACAATACGTATTTCCTGAACTCGAAATGCAGATAATGCTTGTCACGACGCGTGACAGCTCGTAAACATAAAGAGAAAATAATGCTTTAGTTACAGTAATGTGTATCCCGGTACACATGCGTGCGTACGGGACTTTCTACCGTACATTGCCAAAAGCTGCAGCCTCGTTTTCCAGAATTTACATCGAGCGTACTCTCAGAGTACGTCCAGTCGACCGTAGCTCTCTCGAACTTTCGGGTCACCGTGTATGTTACCGATCGATATCAAGTCGCTGCGAGAAAGTAACGGGCTTGGTCCATCCGATTTTATTTTAAACCATCGGCATACTTGCGCGCGCACGAGAATGCACAAAATAAAGTAAAACGGTGCGAAGCTCTCACCTCACCTGCTGCGATGTACGTTCACGCCAGGATTGGCAATAAGATGCATTGCACCCCGCATAAATTCTACGCAATTCTGTCAGAATATATCGATTCTCTTTATATAAATGATAATTGGAAATTACAAGAGAGAAACAAAATTCTTAATTATTTCGGGGCCATAATAAAAAAAATATCCAAAAATTAAATAGAAAAATATTTAATATGATTTCTTTAAACATTTTTTTATATAAAAGATAAAGAAGAATTTCTTACATTGGTGACTCCAAATTTACAATCAAAAATGTTTAATGTATATTTATAGAAAAATCTTATTTATATAATTTTTAGATTATGTAATTTTTGATAGACATTTCATAATTTGACATTTTACATTATGTGAGAAGACGTAATATATAATTCTTATATATATAATATATATAATAATAAGAATATATAATTCTTTTTATCAGGAGTCTTCCTATTTTTTAAGGTAAAAAAATGTCTGAAAAATCTTTATTACATCTGCAAAAAAGATGTGGATGAACAATTATTTAAAAGGCAATAGTTTCATAAAATTAGATAATAAATAAAACTTTATGAGCAATAAATCCATAAGATTATTTTATCTCATTTACGGCTTTTTATTGCGCCGGACCTGATTCGAATGTCTGACTGTCTGATCTCGGAATCTCACTTCCCCTTTCCTTTTGCGACCGACACGCCTCGTGTCGGACGATCAACCGGACATTGCCGTGATCCGGATCTCTTCCGCTTTCGGATGCCGTGACCGTGACTCATGCGAGTCACATTAAGATGAGAGGCGACCAAAATTTTAAACAATCATTAGCCTCGCGCTAAGAAGATGCGTCATATAATGCAGAATTAATTACCAAGTGCAAGATTAATTAGTAAGACGGCCAACAGAAAAATTGCGGCGCATCCTTTGATGATCTTGCAAAATTTCGAGATAAAATTGGGTATTGTTATATTGTGATCTATCTAATTACGTTTTTTTCAAATCAACTTTCAATCAACTTTCCATGAATATTTCTAAATTTCTAAAGCATTGTAAAAGTACAATACTACATTTTTCGTTTAAATATATATTTTCTTTATATAAATCAATAATAATTGAACATAATTATCCATAACCATTTCATTATTTGAATAAATTATTTTCCTAGAAAGCCTGTGTATATCTGATAAAACTGATCAATATCTTCAATATTACAAACATAAAAATATGAAAATACTTGCTATCATACATGTATTAATTATCAAGCGCATAAAGCGTATATAATCTTAATGATACGGTTAATTCTTGAAGCTTCCACATCCGTATCTTAATTCGCAAAATTTCCATGCGCGTCGCAGTTTATGATGACGTGTGTGTATAATTACATCCAAAAGAACATGGCAGGAAAAGAGTCAAGAACCTGTCGCTCATCAAACGAAAGTAAAGTACGAAGATAAACGCAAAAGGAAAACATTGGTTCGTTGTACTTGCAACGGAGAGAAAGGAGTGCAAACATTAAATGAAATATAAAGGGTCGTTTATTATAGTGATTACAAAATGAGTGTTTAAAATTGCTACGCGTATGTAGGTCATAAGGTTCACACATAGATTCGCATCGTCAGGTCACACCAGGTCAGATTCGACGCGACATCACAATTTTCTGACTTCGAAACAAATTCGTCATGCATACAAAATACTAACATCATTTTGTAAGAAAAAAAAATCAGAACTTTTTGCATTTTATTTTTTTTACGCTTCATAAAATTCATATCTTTGAACGTTTGCATTTTCGCCGATAACATATAAAAGTGACATTCGCCTCAGAAGAAAGTATCAGGACCGAGAAAGGTGATATAAGCATAATCGTATCAAGTGGTAATCTGTACACCTGCAGGCAAGCCTTTCATTTAGCGGCTAACGCGAAAGTAAATCATATGGAACGTCGGGATCTATTAGAATGTCGACTCGCAGCTATCAATAATATTAGACATCTTTTTAATTTAAAAAATATATTCAATTTAAATTTTTAAATAAATTAATGAAAATATACAAAGTATATGTATATGCAGGTCTTATATATATGTATATATAGATGTAGTATATAAAGAATATAATTTAATTTGTTTTGTAAAACACGTGAAAACAACGCAAGATTTATCTTTATATAAAAGTAACAAAGAAAGAGAAGTAAACATTTGAAAATATCAAGCAAAGTTTCTGTAAAACATTTTGCTTTGCAGGTTTAATTAAATTTAAAATAAAAACAGATAAATATAAAAAAATCTACAATATTAAAAATAAAATTAATTTTGCAATTGTGCAATTTTAAATATATTACTTCAATAATAAGTTATCATAACTTTTAAAAATATCTTTCAAGATATTTAAATTCCAATTTATGCAGTATTTTTTATTTATAATTCTCAGCTTTAAATTTTTCAATTGTAATATCAATATACAGTCATAACTTTATAAAGAGAGAGAGAAGAGAGAGAGAGAGAGAGAAAAGGAGATATTTTTTTTTTAATATAATAATAATATTTACTATACAGAACGTAATTTATGATTATAAAATTATTATACATTTTGATTTAAGCTTCCTGAATTTTATTGAATAATAAAATTTAAATAATTTAGTAATAAAATTAATATTTAAAAATAGGAAAATAAAAATTGCAACAAATTACATTTTCTTATTAAATTTTTCCACTGTAGTAAATAGTTTAAATATAAATATAAAAAGTACTTATATATATATAAGATTTTTTTCTAGAGTAAAAAACTGCGTCAATTCTACAATTCTATAACAACACACAAAATAATTATAGCAATCTTACATATAATAGCATCATTTATCGCATTTGTAGATCAATACTATGTATATCATTCCTTACTGTATTTTTTTAGCTCCAAAATTGCCATTATTCGGACTGATCTTATCTTGTGTCTGCTGCGTCTGACCTGATTCGTAAGCAGAGTACTCGTAATTATAAACTCGGGGCGTTTGAGATGTGACAGCAAAATCTTTATTCTGATAAGAGCTCGATGGATTCTGATAATTTCTGTAACTCTGCTCCTGTTTATTACTGGACTGACCGTAGATGCTACCATAATTACTGTATTCGTCTCTTTGTTTTGTTGGTCGACCATTGATCACATGATCGCGATGCTTGCCGCGAATATCAGATGACGTGTACGTCTGCAACATCGGTCTTTGAACATAACGAACGCTCGAGTATCTCGTATCCTTATTTGAGGTCTTCTGAAGCGCAGAATCGCGAAGATTCGTGTGTCCCCCGTTGGTTTTGGCGGTACCATCGACATTTATCACATAAGTCACACCAGTTTTAGTTCTCGGGCCCAAAAGACTCATGTATGACGGCGTGGTTTGACTATAAACGTCCTGGTTCGCGTACGATCCATCGTTGACACTGCTTAAGACGTCCCTATTGTTCTCGTAAGACTGATCGGCTTGTTTCTGCGCCAATAAGTTGGCCAATGTTTGACTCATCAGTTCCATCTGCTGAACTTTGACGTACGACTCCGGCAACGGGTAATCCGGGCCGACTGGCTGTCCCCCTACGCTGATTACTCTGTACGTCGTTCTCGGCAAGGGAATCGGCAGGCCCTTCGCTTGGCCATCGAGTTGATTATACGGACTGGCTATCTTATACGTGCTAGATTGCCCGTCGAGATCTCTCAAGTTGCCGGATATGTAGTTTCCGCCGTCCACGAATTGGCTCGTCGACGCGTCCTGATTTGTCTCATTCTCCTTCGGTTGTACGCCTTGCTTGTCCTTGTTCTGCTTGTCGGTCTCCGCCGCCTCCGTGGAATCTTGCGATGTCGTCTCTCGATAGTCGACACCTGACAACGACGATGGCGACGGCGAAAGAGAAGCGTGATTGAAATAATGAGGATAGTAATAGGACGGCTGGTAATAATAATTCGGGTACGATGGGGATGAATATGACGCTGGATTCACCGCGTACTGCGTAGAATAGGGATTATAAAAGACGTAAGGTATATTGGTGTAAGTATACGCATTGTTAGAATACGGAGGATACACGGACGTAGGGGAGTTATTTTTGGGATACGAATCGTAAGAGGAATCTCTTTGATCATTATTACTATAACTGGAACTGTAAGAATCCTTAGCGTCGACTTTCGGCGCGTACAACTCCGGCGTTAATTGCGAAGTTGATTCTGTCTCGATGCCTCGTTTAATTAGTTTAGGGCTGTAAGGGTAGACGGGATGTATTGGTAAAAATGGTTCATCATTAGGATCCTTCGTTTTATGTAGCTGGCCGAAAATTGCCGGTGACAGCATGCAGAGCAAAATCTGTAATTAGATTTATTTTTGTTTATAAAATATAATCGCTTAAAAAGAATCTTACATGATTATATTAATTATGTATCTGTAAAGATATACATATAATAGCTATGTATACGTATAATTTTTTTTTGTTGATAAAATAAAATTTTTGATAAAGTTCTGTATAATATTTATAACTACAATAAAATAGAAATTACAATATTTTAACATAGTCACTATAAAAAATTAATTTGTATTAATAGTACGTTTATAAGAGCTATATTTAAAAAAAAATCATGTTTTTTTTCCATTTTTATTAATAAAGAACTCTATATACTTTTATGACATTAATTTATGCAAGTGTGTTTACTACGTACATACACAATTTGTATTCGTATTTCGTATTCCATATATCCATAATTTGTTTTACACATCAAAATATATTTACATATACATGTTTAAATAAAATAACTTTTGCAACACAAAAATAAAAATATATATTTCATAAATTTCAAATAAAAATTCCCGAACTCTTGAAACTATTTAAACTGCTCAAAAAAAAAAAAAAAATTCCTGAAAAAATAACTGTTTATAAGTAGACCGTGTAAAAGAATCAGACGTCAAGTTTAATTAGCACTATGCTATTAGCAACGTTGGATTAGCAGCATTGAATAAAATTAATTATTTTCCACTAATTAATGAATTTGTACCAACCAGCTGATGCACCATCTCTGCTATAATTTGCTTATCGTCGGATGACTACAAAAGCTTTCTTCCACAGCTTAATCGCTCTCTCTCATTCGGCACTTCGTCCGCTAACAATTTCACAGATCAGACCAACGCGACGGTTCCACCTTTAATAACGTATCTGCCGACATTGAATTTCTCCTTTATACTCAGTCACTGGAAAAATCACGGAAACTAGTTTGACATTTCTCTGCTCTTATAGGTGTATAAGTAGAGAAGTGATAGTGCACGATCCAGTGGCTCAGTGAAAATGTAGATAGAATGTCGCTCGAGCGTCATCAAATGGCGAACGATCACTCTATAGTGACGGTCATTAGATTGTCGCATGTAGGTTGAACATTATGAACTGATGCTGCCCTTCGCTCGGTACAGACGATCATTAAACAGGCCGTAATTGCCAGTCGGCTGCGTCAAAGAAGGAGTTTGCGAACTTATTTGGCAACGAGTGATTTTCGCGAAAGTCCGGCACGGTGCCCGGTATATCTTAAAGAGAGCTAGCCGGAAGACAAAAGGTGATGGTCGTAAAGGATCGAACGGTTTAGGAAGTTGAGTGCCCTCCGGCATCCTCGAAGGATCTTTTTATTCTTGCTTGAACGATGTCTTTCTCGGTGACGTTCTCAGTACCTTTGAAAACGTCAAGACTTGTTTTACTTTCACCCGTGTGTCTGTCTCCTCTATAGACAAATCCTTACTGCCACACCTATGATAACTACATGATTGATTTAGAATTCAGGGAGAGTGAACATCATGAAAAAAAATGTATCTTTAAATTACTATATACAGTCATCGGTTTTTCTTTCATTAGAGATAAATAAAAAAGTGAGGTAGAAGAGAAAAAATGTTGCATTTATTATTGACGCTTAAGTTGCGATGAGCAGAATAAATATTTTTTTTTTAAGTTGAAACGCAATTTAATATTTATGAAATAATGCAATTTTTATAAAATTATTTTGTAACTGTATATACATATGTGCATGTCCTCTTTTATAAAATTAATATAATAATATATTAACCTTATTTTTATTATAAAAAAAGTATGTGTTTTCATAAATTTATTATTTAAAGTCCATTTTTTAAGAAAATAATAAATATTAACAAATTTTATTACGTTTATATAATATTATTTAAAAATATTTTTCATATTTTATATTTTAAATAATCTTTTATTATATCATTACCGCTCAAAAGAGAGAACTTGGAAAGAATTCTATTTCATATATATTTAGCTCTGAAATTTTATTTTCTATAAGCTCATATTGTATTCAAAAAATTATCCTTACATTTTCATACATCTACTTTAATGCCGTCTCGTCTTCCGCAAAGTCCTCAATTGCTATACTCGAGGAAAAATACCAACGTTCCGGATCGATACGTCACGAAAGTGAATCTGCGAGTCGTCGGACAAGAGAATCATTTGCAATCCGCGATCAAGGTAAAAGTGCATGACGGGGTCCACCCAGAGAACGCCTTCACGAAGAGTAAGAGCGTATTTTTTTCCGCTCTCCCGGCGTGAGAGAGTGAAGCACGAACGTGCCACTCGTAAAACCAGTCGGAAAATAGTGAAACGTACATTTTCTATATTTGCAGGATATATATACATATTGTATAGGCGGTGTATCGGTTGGATTGTATAGCGCATCCATAGAAGAATCAAGGAATTGCGTGCAGCTCTCTCGTTTCGTCTTTCGTGCTCGCGTGCGTAAGTGCGTGCATGTTCAGGGTCCACACGCGAACCTGACGCAGAAACTAGGTCAGGTGCGCACGAATAAGAAGTAACGCGCGATCGGCATCTTATTAAAATCGCTTTCTTGCATGAGCGTTTGCATATCTTCGTGATCGTAAAATCAAAAGATTCGATTAATGAAAGCAATCAATCGCTTCACGAATTTATTCATTTATAGATCGCGAACTCGATCTTTTAGTAATCGACGTTACTTTATCAATGTAAAATTTAAATTGATATCAATAATGTACTGTATATTTCCGTCTATTATATAAATTATACACACAGAAATGATATCTTTCATACGTACCTTTTATTTTAATTTTTATTTATCGCATAATTTTAAGTCATAATTTCTTAAAAATATGTACATATAATACTATATAAGTTATTACAATTAGTTATATTATTTTAAATTAAAAATAATGTTTTGAGTATCTTATAAATATTTGCTTTCGAAAATTAGGTAAGCGTTTTCACATTTAATAATTTAAGCAATTACTTTTACACACACAGATGCAAACTAATACATATATACCATAACAAAATATACTTTTATTAAAAATATATGATTACTATAATACACTTCATATTATACTGCGTAGCATTTCGCTCTTATGGTTAATATAATTATTCATACCGTCAATAGGATTTTAAATAAAAAGGGACTCCGAAGATTGCCGGTTTCTACATTAATCACGGTAAACCTGTTCGATAAGTGTCCGACTAGTCAACGTTCTTGTTGGTCAGCAAGCACTTTCTCAAATAAAATAAAGATTTAGAAAGGTATGTACTCATCCCGATCTGTCCCGGCCTTGGAGTAAAAGTGATCCCGTTTTTGCTCGTCGGGCGAACTTGCTTCATTATTATATCTCTCACACTTGTCGTTCATGCGGTGAATAAACTTTCATAGTAAAAGCAAAAGAAGTAGCACTAACACGTCACGTTGTTGCTAAATACATCAATTATCTTGATGAGGCAACAATACCAGGATCTATTTAAACGTCCAAACTCTTCAAATGTTTTTCAATAGACGCTTTTATCTTATACCTCGTGCATTTCAAATCAATTACTCGTAAGTAAATTAGCAAATGTGGCTGCGAAGATAAATTTGACGCTCTATATATTTAACTGTAATATTAATTGCAGTAATTAAAATTATTAAAATAATTATATTGTTTATTGATATCACCACATTTTTACTTTTTCAATTTCTTTGACCACAATAGTCAACGTGCGTTTTTAATCTTTTTTAAAAGGCAGAAAAAATTAGAGCAGAACATCTTATGCACGCAATCTGCGAAATGCGAGCACAATTTAATGATATTCTTTGTAATTCCTAATATTCAGATTTACGCTTTTAGAGATTTGGTTGTTCTCTAAATTAATTATTATCGATCACAATGATCATCGCTGTCATAAGATAATTTGAAGATTTAAAATGGGTTTTTGTGTATTATTGTAGTAAAATTAACTTTTTTTATTACAAAAAAAAGGTTGTTCTCTAAATTAATTATTATCGATCACAATGATCATCGCTGTCATAAGATAACTTAAAGATTTAAAATGGGGTTTTGTGTATTATTGTAGTAAAATTAACTTTTTTTATTACAAAAAAAGATATAAAACTAGACAACAAACATCACAATTATCAGTGCTACAAGAGATACACAATAGATAGAATTATAATATTTGCTAGTCTTATGTAAATATATAACAATTTGAATTAAATACAATTACAGCATCAATTTGTCTAAATGTGTACAAAATTAAAATACATCCAGACAACTCTTTGAAGAGAGTCTGGGCTACTATTTCTGCCAATATACATGGTCCTTCAATCTTTGAATAGTAATCGAAAATATTTATACTACTTCTCATGGCAAGAGATTTAATCGGCGTTAAAGTCACTTAACAATTGCGATCATTTTTGGCGCTTAGTTCATTCGTCGCAAATATGTATTTCATAATTATAACTTTAAGTTGTTTATCGAAACGATAACATTATCGTATATATATATATATATATATATATATATATATGTGAGATGCGAAAAGCCTTATAAAATTAAACAATTTATTATTTTCCGTGAGCAGTCGAATACGAGATCGTGTCGTACTTTTCGCGTCCCAAGTCCGCGATATTATGCGACTTTACGGTGGCGAGTCCTAAATATCTCGGACTCACACTGGAATAAGATCCATGGGATTCCGATGGTGTCCCGTATGAACCGGATGGACTTAGATACGTAGGTGTGTAGCTGGTGGCTCCGACATGAGCCATGAGCGGGCTGGAATAGCTCTGACTGGGACTCGCGTAGTTCGAGCTACTTTGGGCGGAATAGCTGGCACCAGCACCGGAATAACCGGAACTGGAGGAACTCGGGGCTGCGTAAATGAGGGTAGGACTGGAATAGCTAGGACTGCTGCCGCTGGACGAATGAGATGGCAGGTAATTTACGTATGAGGAACCGGACGATCCGGAATTCGAGTAGGAACCTGAAGAAGGCGACAGTTCGTAACTGGAACTGTCCGACGACGAACTCGAAAGTCCAGCGTGAGAATTCGAGGAGTCGTAAGATCCCGCAGAAACCAGTGCGGAATAACTGGGTGATGAAGAGCCGGAGGATAATGCGGAAATTCCGTGAGATCCGGACGTTATTGGAATGGAATACGTAGGGGATGCGTGAGAGCCGGAAGAACCGCTGAGGGCGGAGATGCCGTGAGAGGATCCGGACGTCGGGAGGTTGTAGTTGGAGGAACCATCGTGCGAGCTGCTAGCAATGATTAAGCCGCCCGTTACCGTGTGGAAAGGACTCGAGGAAAGAGATTGAATAGGAGGATTGTAGCTCGATGAGGAACCATGCGACGTTCCAAGTACGATTGGAATATTAACGCCGGATCCTCCGCCGTTGTAAGCCGAGAGCCCGTGTGCTGCGGAAGCGTAAATTGGCGCGGAAGAATAAGAGGAACCGGTACCGGAAGTGTCGCTGCCGCTCTGGGAGCCGAAGGTGACGGGACCATTCTTCGACGACGACGGGATGAGATTGCTTCCTAAACCGATACCGGCTACGCTGGGTACAGAGTACGTGCTCTGACCCGAGTATCCATGCGGAGAGATACCCTGAAGACTCAACGAGTTGTGGCTTGGTCCAGAAGAGAGATATCCAGATCCGGTTGAACCTAGAGAGTATCCGATTCCGTGGCCGACGGAACCGCTCAGTCCAGAGTGTCCGAAGGAGAAACCACCGGATGGTCCTCCTAGACCCGAACTCACACCCGAGGGAATGGGTGCCGAGTAGGAAGGAGATTTCTGAGATGGATAAGACGTTGAAAGACCGCGTTTGTTTGGTGGTATTAGAAGCTGATGCCGCCGAGTTTCACCGCCACAGATGAGAACCAGCAGCCCCAGAAACACCTACGCAAGTAAAATTAGTGTTATTCTTATTTTTTTCACTTTCTAGGATTGGCCCACTTTCGTCGGTTTAATCTATTTGTGTGAAAGTGGAATATGATATTATTTATAGTTGGTAACCTGATTTATAATTAGATTACTCTAGTTATATTAATTAAGCGAAAGAATACATAGATTAAGCAGCGCGCGACTTAATTCGGTCAGTCAAGTATATCAAAATATTAATTGGTTAGTCGATCATCTAATTCTAATTGTACCGCTTTCCAATATTTACTCATTAATATGCTTCAAAGAGTTAATAATAATAATAATTAAATAATAGCTAATATTTATATTAATATAAATATCTTATAATATTTATTACTTCTTCAAAATATTAAATCTGGATATCTCAAAACTTTTGCTCTTATTATTAATTTTAATATCAAATTTTCTAGTTATTTTAGATTCAATTCTTCTTTATCAAAAATATCAAAGTATTAACTACGTTCAAATTATATAGGATTATAAAAGAACTGATTTACACAAAATAAACTTAAAAGAGGACGATTTATATAATAAAATATTAATCTAAAGCTAATCTGAAAGAGACTTTAACTTGAAGTTCAATCAAGTATATATATTTAGTTTTATAATTATTTAATTATAAAGGTGATCACATTTATTTTCGAAAAAATAAAGTTCAAAATTAAAAGATTTAATGTTAAAATGTAGATTGCAATTGTAGGGCACACATTTCATATATTACATATTTAATTATTACAGTCTATTAAATAAAATAATCTATTAATTACACAATATTGAGTATTTTATTTTAATCGCACTAATTAATATTTAATTTTAATTCTAAGCTGTTTTACTCTATAAAATAAAAATTTTTTAAAATTACAATTATTATAAATTAATGTAATTATTATTAATTTGCTATTATCTTCTGTAATATTTCATAATAAAAAATAATAAAATGATCAAATATATAATATACGTATAAACATGATAACTACGATGTTTATATTTTAAAATAGAATTCTTCTTAATAAAAATTTATCAAATTATTGTTATATATTCATTATATAAATTTTATTATATTATTTATTAATGCTCTAAAGGCTTTTTAATATTTTAAATTACTTCGTAATTTAACAACTATCTACATTTCTGCAAAGGAAAGAAAATAAAAAATAAGTTCAATTATTATTGTCATTATTAATCTTAATCACAGCTTGCATAAGAATTAATTTTTTGCGTATATAATAATAGTTTATTATAATCTCAGTTAAATATTAGTTAATTATAATCTTAATCACAGCTTGTATAAGAATTAATTTTTTGCGTATATAATATTCACAAAACACATAAAGGCAAATTGTCGATGTAGATAAGAAGAAAAATTCGTAGCAACTTACAATTGACCGCATGCTTGCCGGAATGGGGTTACTTTCGTTACTATTTCTCGCAATCGGGTGACAGTCGAGAGTGGTTGAGTGATATCGCGGTTCTTGATGCCATTGCTACCAAGAAGAGCCTTTATATGTGGATCCCCTCTTGCACGGCGAAAGAAAGGTCTAGGTGAAGGTAAGAGTCTCCCCGTGCTGATATATCGAGCGCAACGTCGCGTTGCTTCGTCGAGGCGCTGATAGTGGTCAACCAGTGTAACGCGTGTTTTACAAATCGAAATCTATTTACGGTAATAGCGGACCAATTCATCGATTCTCGATTCTATTACATCTTTTCTTTCGTTAAGCATAAAAGAAAACTGCAATCTCTCGGGGAAGTTAACAATCCGCTTGAGAGAGAAAAGAAGACAGACAACCTGAACAATATGAACCGTGCGAACATGAAAATCGGAAAGAGATTTATCGCTTCCCTCTCACGTAATAGCGAAATTTCGTCCTCGCCTTGTTGCCTTTGTTCGCAAACCGTTTCGAGAAAGTGTACAAGGAAGGTCAATTACCTTCCGCACAGGAATTGCTCAGGATATTCTTAATTAAGATTCCTTTACTTTTTCGTATGTACATGCGGAAAGATAGCGATTATGAATTCTTATATTGAACGATCGCGCAATATTCGAAGATCAAAAAAATTTCAGTAGATTAGCTTGTGGTAGAATATGCTAATAAGTAGATTTTAATTGCTATGTTCTCGGGAAACCAGCAATTTAATTCCAATGCGATCGTGCTTATAACGTCAATATGCAATATTAAACCATATTGTTTTATTTTATTGCTCAATATAACTGATCACTTACAAATAAAAAAGCTATCTTGTCACGCATCAGGTAAAATGCAATTATTTTTCCGATTTGTAAATTTTTCCGATTCCTAATTTGTTTTGCATTCTTTATTTATAATTTAGAAGCATGAAGCTCTAAAAGAGGAAGTATTGTGCATCAAGTGTCACAATTAAACCGCAATCGCAATTTAAACATCAACCGAAACGTGTGGCTGCATGCATAAATTCTAGAAATTATCTTGCTACTAATTATACAAGAGGAAGGAAAGTAAAATCATGAATTTTTTAAAAATTAATTATTTCTATACATTTCGTGTATCCGGATATACTTCCGAAATTTTCACTGTGTCGTAAGAAATGTTTATTTCATGCAATGAAAGATGCGTGGCTTTTTGACTCACAAATGTTCTAGCGATACACAAATGTTTCTTGCCTCAACGTGGTGAAAACTTATTAATAAAATAACAAAACAACTGTAGCGTAAAAAAATCAAACAGTTACGCTTATACTATTTATTTTTCAACAAACGTTTTTTTATTAAACTTCAAAAGATTTAATTACTTGTTTTATACCGCCCATACAAATATCAAACTAAATCAGATGAATTTATTAATTAATTAATTGTAAAAATTTATCAAGTTTCAATCATACCTTTTTAATAAAATATTAATGTAAAATATTTCATAAAATTTTTATGTATTTTAAATTATTTTATACAATTTTTGTAATAATCTAAAATATTGCGTTTTTCATTCGATATTCTAGATTTGATAAATTACAATTTTTATTTTCAGCTAATTTAAAATTTCTATTTTTAATCAAGAATGTAGAAGTATGTAGAAGATAAACATCTTGTAATGCTAAATATGTATATATTATGCACTTATGTTTAACCGTCTCTTACGTGAAGTGTAGCACTTCTTGATTTAACTAAATTAAAATCAAATGTGTACTATGCTTTATATACTATAAGCAAAAATAATATCTGAATGTTCTGATATCGTGAATAAAAAATAATTTCCCACACGTTGAAAGTCAATCGACATTCGAAAGTGAAATGAATGAAGAACCTGATAATATCGTGTTTCTCGTTTTTGTGCCTACGTATAATAAACATATCTTCATAAAAATAAAGCTCTATAAGAAATAATTGTTCTTCGAGAATAAATGTAACTATAGCAATAAGTGTAGTCATAAGAAGATAATCGCGTTCTCCGAGAATTCATAGCGCTTCATAATAATTTATTTGACTTCTCCCAACATACCAAACTAAAGTAATTGAAAATATTTAATTGACATCATTTCACTTTCACTCGTGAAATAAAGAAAGGAACTGTGCCCGCTTATTGTTCAATTTAAAAAGCGACGAATTAGCGTCTTAAGAAAGATGATTGCCGCGATTTATTTTCAAGACAGAGAGATAAACGAAAATAACGGATGAAAAGAATACACACACAAAGAAATATCATTTCATAATTATAAGTTTGACAAGAAAAATATTTACAATTTATGTACAATTTTTATTTTAATGATATTATAATATTTGTAAAAAAATATGTTGTACATATGTGAAAAATATAACAATTATAACACAAATAATATTCTACACTTATATAAACTGATTACCATTTACATTTGTTTACATCTTATCAATATTCATTAACATTACTGATATATCTTATTGATGTAGATATAGCTTTACTTGAGAGTTATGTTATTTAACTATGTATATTTATGCAGTACAACAGGATATTTTTAAACATAAGATATTATCGCAGCTTTTGTGTGTTGCGAATAATACATCTATCACCTTGTTAATATCTTGATCAAAACTAAGTATACTATGAGCAAGATACAAAGCATTGAAACGAAGCATACTAATACATCTTATGATATCATTTGTCGCTTTTTATAGCAAGAAAAATATGTCCAACATGTAATGTTATAATATTATTACAGAAAACAAACATGTCAATGAGAGAGAACTATTCTCTGTCATTTATCAAAAGGACCAGTTAGAATCGCAATACTATTTGGAAGTGTGTCAATATCAATTAATTATCACACTTCACGTACCTGGTTTTGAATAAAAAATATTGAATTAAAATTACGCTTCTTTTTCATCATTTAATTGCTATATCCATCATTATATAATATAATTAATATAATTAGATAATTAATTTATAATTAGATAATTTGTACCAATAATTCCCGATTTTTCGCTTTCCGATATTTCTGCCTTTTTCAAATTTGTTGAGTTTTTTATTTTTTTTTTAAATCTTTAATTTGTTCTTTCCTTTTTCCTGCACGTATAATAAATCTTCTCATATTATTTTTATATCTTTCGATCTATTATAAATGACAACTATGATTTAATTATTCATATTATTAAAAAATATTGATTATGATAATATTATAACAATAATAAAATGTAAAAAATGTTATTTGCGAATAAAAGCTATTCTGGCGACGTCAAAAAGTTTGGATCTAAAATTTCTCAGATAAAAATATATAGAGAGCGCATCTGAGAAACCTTAATTAGACAAGTTTGGAATAAAAACCGATAAAAGTGACCGGTAAAATAAAATGAAAACCGGACAGTAGAATATAGGTCACTTGCGGAAAGTGAGTTGATAAGTTTAAAAGCTAATTGCGACGAGGAGGTTCGTTAGGAAGAGACTCAAGTCACGCTTTTAGAACTTCATTACCCTATAGGCTCGATGTATGCTCTGAGCCTTGAATTATTTTGCAGTGGCGTTATATAAGTCTTTGTTTTATAACGGCATGAGTTTATCATCTTTCTTAGAAACTTGTTTTCCCTACTGACAAATATTTAGTTATAATTAAAATATAACGTGCGTGTACTTTATTGCTTAAGCAATTTATTTAGAAAAACACATTATTTTAGATTTCACATTTTTGATTGCGCTTAATGTACATCTTAATACATTTTTGTCATTAAAACAAAAATAAACAGTATACTTGTAATAAGATATTTTATAAATCATTATTTGCAATTAACTCGATCGTGTTTTAAATTCTTCTTAAAATTTATGTAAATTTAATTCATTGTTTCTGATAAAAATATTTTATCAAAAAAAAAAAAATAGGTTAATAAAGAAAAATATCGTATATAACTTATCTTATTATTTTGTTTTTAAAAATCTTAAAGAGAGAGAACGATCAAAAGCAATGTATATTATTGAATTTAACAAAGGAGAAAAGCAATAATTTATATTTACGAAAAGTCTCAATAATATTAACAATTTTTTAAATATATACATATATCATTCAATTATGAATCTCCCACTTAGATCTTCTAGATTTCGACGTATAAATCGATAATATTAGCGATTCATTTTCTTTTCTCTCATCTTGTTTAGTGAGAACGAGCTCAATGATTACGAAATCATCTGGGAGAATCATACACCTGTAAACAACGATATATTATGCATGCTTAAGATTGCTTGGATAATCCGGCTGTGTTAACCGTGGTTAGAATTATCGAACGACTTTCGAGGTCAGCATCAAGTAACGTGGCGATGGTCCGTGCGCGATCACGAACGATGGTCACGAGTGAGAGTCTCTTTGTGTAGATCAGCGTTCTGGGCCGGAAGTGGCAGTAATCCATTTTCTTGCGACTTTCCATTCCATTGCGACTATATAGAATAAACATCGTGGTCGCATGCGGTTAACGTTATACATGCATTATGAATTTGAATCTTGAGCTAACCCTACGTAATTTCTTGAAACACACATAGTATATACAGATATGCTCAGATAAATATGGAGAAAACAAATTATATTTAAAATAGAAAGTAAAAATATTTATATTAATCACTACTTTTAATCCTGCAGCATAAATAATTTATGTAAAATAATAATTGCATATTTGTATGTTGATTAAATTTTTAATTATTTTTTACGAATCAGGAAAATTAACATTTTTTTATATTTTTCGCTCAATTAATTAAAATAATTATTTATTTATTACATTGTGGCAGTATTTAATTAACATAATTAAGTGACTATTTTCAAAAATTTGTAACTGTATTTAGTACCCATTAAAGCTGATAAGATAAAATCTTTGCAAATGTGTATTTTATATTAATTTTAAACAATTATAAATATTCAATTAAAAGTAAAAGAATGAAAAAAGCATTTATTCTTTCTTTCTTCCAAGTAAAAAATATATTTATTTGACAAAATAAATAAAACATATATTTACATATGTTCGATAAATCTATTTCAAAGATAGAAAAAACACATAAGTTTTTTACGATCATCATACATACTTTGTTCATCAATTCAACATTCACAGATGATTTATTCTCTCTTACTAAGTATAATATAATATATATATTAATCTATAAAAATTGAATAAAAAAATAGAAAGAGTACTTTTTTTACTCAGAAAATCAACAAGAATTTATCTCTATTATATAAATGTGTGTGATTGACAATTTGAAAACGACCTGTCTTTTTATTTTCGCAATAAAATTTCAATGTCAATGAAATAACTGCATTTAATTATCACAGTTGCTTTCTTGAAAACGTTTTGACGTGTAATAATAGATGATGTAGGATAATTGATATATATATATATATATATATATATATATATTAAACAATTGTAGTAACTTTTCAATAGCAGAACATACTAATTGTAAACGCTGCAAAATAATTTCTTTGTTTTCTAAAGTTTATAGTGCTCGCAGATAATGTAATTTTCGAATTTGTCTTTTACACAATATGATGTGAACTGCATTTCTGCAATATATGATTCTGTTACTGCAATGTATGATTATTTATGGATTGTGGAAAAATTAAGATATAAAAATAATTGCCACTATAACATGGAATTTTTCACAAACTAAGAGATAATAATTTTTATATTATAGATATAACGAGCGACTGGATCGAGAACAAAATTTCAAATAAGTATTCTATTAAAATCAATTAGATTCTCTAAATAAATATAAATCACTAATTTATATATGACATTGTAATTAGAAAAAGTATTATAAATAAATCAACTGCGCGACAAAAATAATTAGTTTGATTAAAACTTAAATTAAAATATTTTTTTAACAAGAATAATTTACTCTATATTACTTTCATTTACATTATCGTTCATATGTTATAAGATAATTAAAAAAAGGAGGATAATATGTAATTGTGTATTTAAAATATTTTCGTGATAAAAATCGCAATAACGAAATCTTTCTATTAATAAAAGCAAACAAATTTTCGATTGGCAAAGCGTAATTCTTTTTATCAATTTGAAACTCTAAAAGAAGAAAACGAAATCATTTCTGTGAAAAAGTCAATAAGCAATGAGGTGCAGCGTTATTATTGTAGCATATGAAAATCGCGCAACTGCAATATAATATTTCTTACAGCACTTTCTTCTTCTTAATCTCTCCCTCTCTCTTTTCCGCACGAAAACACAATCAGTCTCGGTACAATAGAACAACTTACGATCCACTTCGTAAAGAATAAGAGCGTCTCATTATTTGTGTCGGTTTTGTCTGCGGATACGAAGGCGCGTAATTCCACGGATAATTCGGCAAGGCGGGCTTTTGCAGTTGATATGCGACATTGGGATAATAATACACGGGATAGACTGCTTTGACTGGTTTATAAAGAACAGGATTGATTAATGCGGTTTGCGTCCCGTACGTATGCTGCACACTAGACGTTACAGCAGGGCTGACTTGCGCAGGATATACTGGAACGGGATTTGCAGGCAACAAAGGACTGACGACTGGATGTACGGACGTGAGAGGATGCAACGGAGTGGCAATAGGTCGTATTGATTGAACCGGCAAAGTTACCGGCGTAAAAACGGCTCCTGGCTGATTAGCAGAAGCTGAAGGTGTCATCGTTGCTGGAATTGATGGCGCCAATCCTGGTTTCTGGGACGGTTCCGTAGGAATCGGTATCCCGAAGTGAGTGGGCGACGTGTCGGAGGATTGCGCAGGTTTGACAGGTGTAAAGATACTGGTGCTATAACTAGGAGCTAAGTTGGTACCCGCGATAAAGGTTGGTACGAATCCACCGTAAACTGGGATACCTGCGAGAGATCCAGCCACGGCTGATCCAGGTTGCGATGATGCTGTTTGAGTAGTATCATCGTTTTTGGATGATTGTGGAGATGGAGTGATCGGCACTTCACCCACCGTTGTCGTCGGAACAAGTGGCGTGGTGGTCGGACCACCGTAGTTAAAAGAAAATCCTTTCAAAGGATTGACCGTGGTTCCTGGTAAAAAGGGCGACTGGCTGAAAGCGGTATTTTCAGAGGCAAAAGCTGCAGTTTGCGGCATTGGAATCTGCGACTTTGTTTGTTGACTTAGAAGCTTTAGAAGCTCCTGATTCTGAATAAAGCTCGCTTGATTTTGAGCGTACCTTCCCACCGCTTCCGGCCTCAAGGTAGTCTGCGTTTGAGCGAGAGCTTGCTGTAACTGCACGATCAACCGATCCTTTTCGAAAGACTGAATCTGCTCCAGAGTCTCTTGATTGAGCGTTCCCGATGCATACGACGGCAACGAGCCTCGGAATTCCTGGGAGTCCTGTGAAGTACTCTCGAAGTCTCGAAATTGACTGTTCTGATTCGGAATCTGATTGCTGGTACCTTGAAATTGATTGTTGTTAGGCGCGAAATCCTGATTGTTCGCGGGTGCGCCGTAAAGTTGCTGAATCGCTTGCGCGTTTTCATACAGGAAGAGCGCAGCGTCGGAGATCTGATTCACTGGGTGCACCAAGTTCTGATTCTGCGAATTCGCGCCGTGATTCAGAGGACTCTGCGATGACTGCGGAACAAAATTGTCCGTCGAAGAGTAGGCTGGAAGTTTTTGATTTTGCGGTGGTAAATAATTGGCCGTGTGCATTCCAAACGGCTCATTATTTTGACTGGCGATCGGATTCATTTCCACGAAATCAACGTTTCTGATCGGGCTTGGTATTTCCTGCTCTATCAATCCGTCATTAAAATTGCTCGACTGTTGTTGACTAACGTGATACTGTAATTTGTTTCGATGCTGTTGAGCATGATATCCTTGTGTGATTGGACCGGAAGTCGAGTGATTCGGCGGTCCATATTTCGTGAACGGTCTGTTTAATTGACCGGGAAATTTAGATGCAATTTGATCTCTAGACTGATGCTCTGGGAAGCGCAATCGAGTACTTGAAGAAATACGATTCGATTTATAAATGTATCCAGTATTTCTTTTCCGTTGAACATCGGATTGCTCGGAATTAGGCTCAACTTCACTCTCGCCAAGGTCCACTATTTCTAGCTTCGTAATTTCTGGCTTTTGAACTTCATCTTCTTGCTTGGCTTGAGTCAGCAAAAGCACCAGTACAAGAATATAAATAACCTACAAATTACATTTTTTTTTAAATAAAAATAGCTAAATGTCGTGTCGAATAAAAATAAGAATATAGAGCATTTTAATTAAATTATAAAATATATGAGAAATAAGATTATATTGATTTATCATTTTTCAAAAAATTGTATACCCTTATTTTATAAATACATTTTTTTTATTTATTAATGTTCTAATGCAACTAAATATTTAATTAATTTATTTTAATTATAATTATTTATTTATTTAAAAATTATTTATTTTAAAAGAAAATTTTTATTTTCTTACATATTATTTATTTACAAGTTAATTTGTCTGTAGATACTTATAAAATATTGTACTGACAAAAATTTACAAAAGAAATTCATAGTTACATATAATTATAAACGTAATAAAAGTTTTATAAGAATTAAAATAAGCTTTCAAGTTTTAATATGTAATAAGTTATAAAATAATAGGCCAACTTAACGAGCTAGTTAGTTTGGTGTTAACAATTTATTCTTACACGAGCCGAATTTTAATTCTCAATATATATATTTAATATGTAATATAATTTTGTGTAATATACTTAAATAAATCTACGGATGAACATATAGTAATATAATCCAAGATTGTTACTTTAATACTTACCAGAACGAATCGCATTTTCAAACCCATATAATCCTTATCACACTTAACACTGCACTAAGAAAATCCAATTACTTTTTTCTTAAGACTATTATTTTACATAGGATCTTGACATTGAATTAGACCGCACAAAGCTAATTTGTTCAAGGATGAACAGGTCTGTACTGACTAAACTGCGACCATACCTGCACATGTATAAATACAATCGGGTCGCGACCATCCACGAATTACAATAGACTTTCTTACTGGCTTTCATCGATCGACTCTTAAGCAACACTGTTACGGATTTGTGATGTTATACATATCGATATAAAGTACATCGTATATTCCATCATCGAAATTTCGTGGTCGCTTGTTAAATTTATTATTCTTAGAACATATATATTTATTGAGAGCAACAAGATGTGAATAAAATCATGAAGCAGAATTCGATTTGCTATATAAAACGAGTGTAAACATTTTGTTTTAAGTAAAATGCTATTCAATAATTAAAATTATAATATAATAATAGAAACAATTATAAAATTACGAACATATTATAGAGAAATAGAGAATTGCGAAAAGAATTCATAATATGTATGTATTTTGCATTATAACAATCTTTATTGTAGCATACATACTATTTACATACTTTTTTTAAAAATATATTGTGCATTTTTTATTATAAATAAATATATCTTTTAGAAAGCATATTAAATATAATTAAAAAACATACTCGTTTGACGCAAAAATTGATGAAATCGCGCATAACTTATCAGCAGCATTTGAGCTAAAAGGCATTTTCTGTTATCTTGGAAATCTTTATTGAATCTCTGCGAATCTCTTGTGAACAAAGAAATAATAAAGCGCAAAAAAGTCTGTAAAAGTCAAATTGACCTATTAATTAAAAGCAAAAAGATGAAATTATAATATTTGCTTTTAATAAACACTACGAAAGCGACTGCAAGAGTAATATTTCATGAAATAAGGAAATGTTTGCAAAATTCTTTCTTCGCTACCTCTGCGAAAGATAATATATCGTATATGAGAATAAAAAGCTGAAACTTCCCTAACAGCAGAAATGTTCGAAAGATATTCAGAGAATATTCATAGAATGTTGCAATATTTTAGGGATATTCTCTACATATCTTTCGAACATTTCTGTTGTTAGGGTTACATTAATTATTTTATTACCTCTTGATCGACTTTAAATTACGTTATTCTTAATAAAGAAATGTGAGATGAGGTAAAGGAAATGAATGTCATCGTGAACTTCCGACGAGATCACGAAAAGTGTTGCATTATCACGTGAAAACACAGCGAACTCATCTATATAAGATTCTCATCACGTTTGTCCGGTTCCTCTTCAAGTCTTCCAGTGAAAGTCGCAAAGGTAAGCGAAGTCTCGGGTCTCGCAGAATACGGAATAAGTGCTCATTTATAGGGATATATTCGTATTGTGTAATGTACGATTACGTGTAAATCAGAATTCGCATGTGAACATCCGAATGTCCAAAACACCGATGTCTTTTTAAGACATGTATTTCAAAAGCTTGTATTGGTATCCCGTGAAACTGAAATAAAAAATTGAATAACATCGAGTGTCATTCGTTCATCGCTCACGTGTCCTTCTTCGATGATGGAATTCGTAAATAGACACATGTAGCAGTGAGAGTCACGTCTTAATTATGCATAAAAACGACATAAACGCACGAAATAATGTCGTAACAATGCTATAAAATATTAATCTAATATTTCACACGTTTCCGACAGTCTTTCGACATCAATCGAAACTTCGTATTTTTAATTAAACATCTCTAAACGCAAGGCCTTTAAATTTTTATAAGTTGTAATGGACACATTTCAAATGCAAATGTTTAAAAATGAGTATTTAAATACATAGTAATTTTTTTAAATAAAACATTAATTAAAAATTTTTTTTTTGAAAGGATAATAGCTATAAATATTTATTTTTTTCAAACACTATTTCCAATAATTATTTTAAATATTTTTTGTGTTATATTTTAAAATATTATATAATAAGCAAAATAATTAAAAAGTTATAAAACAAATATTTTGTTTAAAAAAATAGATACATTTATGCTAATTTGCAAAAAAAGACAACCAACATAATTTAATATAAAACATGACAAAAATTCCGTCATATATTGCTTTGAAATATATATATCCGAATTTATCCGAATAATTTCTGTTTACATACACATACACACACACATATGCAATTGTGTGTATTACATTTTTTAAAGAAAAATATACACAATAAAATTTATATTTTATATTTTACGATTTATTCTATAAAATGTTAAAATAATAATACTTTTGATAAAAAAAAATTCAAATTACACAAGTGTTCTTGAATATATGTTATAATTACAGTAAACAGTGAAAAGTATATTGATTAATATTTGATAAAAGAGATTGTGCTTTGTTTTCTATATAATATACACAAATTAACCTAAGGAGGCCGTATTACTTCCGATTGTGCTTTCCTACTCTCTTTGTGCCAGATATTCTAATGGAATTCATAGGTATGCTACATTAGTGAAACTGATGTCAATGTCCACAGCTGGAGGTGAAGCATGACGACACTAATGCAACCCCATTTACGTGCATACGCGTTCCACGAGCGTCAACTCATTTTGTCGCAAGTAGCAACTTAATAATGTCAATCGTTTTCGCTCAATGTCTTTTTGCATGAATGTCTGAAAATCCGCACTGCAGTCCGAAACAATACATTATGCATCCGCATTAAACATGAAGAGCAAATGTATGCGCGATGAATTTGCCGAATCTGACTGTGAAAATGATGTACATCAATATATGCGTGCGATCTGCGATCACACAAATTTCAATCAAATTAATAAACTTTTACATAGTCATTGAAATTTGTAATGTTTTCTGGTAAATTAATTATTCACCGCGCTTACATTGCAGACCGTTTATTTTGTCATGTGTGTCTTATGTGCATGTAAAATAAGCAAATTTATTTCTTTGATGTAATATCTATAAATTTCTTTTAATAAACTCTTTTGATAATTCAGAATAGTGTAGTTTAAAAAAAAATATATTATAAATTATTATACTTTTGCAAATTATAATAAATTATAATAACTTGCAATTTAATAGCTTATGATTATAAGATATAATATTATTTTTTAAAAGTTATTAATTAAAAAATTATTAGGTTTTAAAGAATTCATTCATTATAAATCGCTTTGTCGTTCAACAATAAAATTTAATCTTCATTATTACGACTATTGAAATAAAATAAATGCTATTGTTAATCAATGATTACTAATTTGAAAGACAATAATTTGATATTAAAATAATTTTGTCAATATTCTGTTAATGTGACAATGGTTCAGTATACATAATTTCACAATAATAATCGAATAATATTCAAAGTTTACAGGAGGGAAAATTGGAGAAGGAAAAATTCGTAGCGAAAGAAGAAGTCATTTTTTTATATACTAAGCGTTATTTTATTATTACAATGAATATAATGATGAAAATTATCGGTAGCCAAAGAACTCAACCTCACGTTTCTGGTTACCAAAAATTTGAGGGACGATTAGAAATTGAATGAATGCATACAATTTGAGCAAAATTTTCCGTGATTTCCATGATTTGTCCTGCATCTTGGCCTCACCGTAGATTCCAGCCACCGTCCTAGACTACTATGTAGGGAGAACTGTAGTAAGGGTAGCGATAATAGGAAGGATAGGCGTACGAAGAGTAAGCGTACGGCAAGCTGTACGGGTAGCTGTATGCATATGGTGATGCATATGAAAGTGGTGCGTATGCTGAGCCGTACACGAGGCCTCTTTTATCTCTGGCTGCATCGGTGGTCTCTTTCTCTGTGGCAACCTTCTTGACCTCAGGTGCCTGCTCCACCGCCATGACAATGGCGAACAGAGCCACAAGGAGAACAGCCTAAAAAATAAATCGATTAATCCATAGCTAATGTTTTTATCGAAATCGAGATGAAACATTTCATTTTTATAAATCTTTATATCCGTATATCTCAATCTAGGATTTTTTAGTATTTACTATAATTTTAGAAAATATATAACATTTTATATAATGTCAACTGATTCAGAACTATTTTACAATTGTAAGTAGTATGACATAAGAATGTGGCATAATTTTGTAAGATGCATATATGCATAAAATAGAGATAAGATTTTATGGTCATTACCACATTCTCCGCTACATATAATTTTGAGTAAAATAAATGTGTAAATATATAAAAATAATATGTAAATATACTCATACTAAATAGGTAATAATATAAGATTAAAAAGGATTGGCAAAATTTTAAATACAAACAATTTACATAACATTACGGTATGTAGAAATTAATAAGTTGCAAATATAAAAATGGATGTTATTATTGATGCTTATTTTGAGTTTTAAAATATAAAGGAAAGTGAATTTTTGATAATTAGTCACTATCAGTAACATGAATATTACAATATCATATAAACATAAATACCAAGATTTAAACTGAAATCATGTAATTGGTCAAATCGGTAGATTCACACAGATAATCGCACTAATGATTAGATGATTAGGCTAATCATGGTATAGAATGATCAGCTAATCAATTAGTATCTATCGGAATATTTCATACAACGCATGAGTGCACAGACTCGATAAATCACGTCACCATGTACAGGACCATAAATTTTCCAACATTTTCAATACCTTTATTTTATCCAGCAACATCAGAGAATGCATACAAATAAGATACCAAAGAAGATCTATCGAAAATACTTACAACAAACCACTTCATGGTTGATTGGATTGCTTTGGGGAGAGATCAGCTGCTGATGAACAGTTACTGAATGATGCTCCTGCTTTTTGGCGGATTGCTTATATACCCGAGAATTCAAGCGTTCTATCTATACGCGTCACTAGCCTGATTGATCAATGCACGAGGACAAGCAAGTTGCGTGTGTAACACGTTGCGTGTATCTGCGAGCCGTTGCATGAGGGTTGTTATATGCATATATTGTATACGCCTCTTTTTTATGCGTAATCTGTGGGCGTGTGTTGTATGCCATAAGTTGTCGTATAGACATCATCGTAGAGGTTCGCCAAGACATCCCGTATTCCGCGATGTACTCGTGCATCTTCGATGGATGGAACTCGGGTGAGGCAAGGGACCTTGGCAATCTGCCAAACACGGAGGAGAGTGTTTTATAACGCTAGCATAATTATTACTGCACGTGTTACGTACTCGTCTTTACAATACGAACTTGGTGAACTTCGCGCAAATTAATTACTACGTAGCAGCAAAGTGCAAAATTAAAAAATTGTAGTCTTAATTATGTGAAATATATACTGATTTGTGTTCAGAAACTAAGTATTCTGCGATGTATTTTTTCAAATGTATTATGTGTGCACATATTTTACATAAATATGCAAAAATTATTGTAAAGTTTACAAAACTCTGATCACTTATTTATTATAAAAAATTATTTAGTAAAATAAGTAAATATTTAAAAAATTTTGAATACATATTTTTAAAGTTATATCAATGAATTGACTCAAAAATTAAATTAAAAATTAATTTAAATTTTAGTAAAATTTCTCGAAAATCAATATTATGTAAATGTAACTGATATCAATATTAAAAATCAAATATTTAAAATATTTAACGTTATTAGAAATATCTATGTATATGTATAATATATGTATGTATGTATCTTTAAATATAAAAAAATTAATTGATGTACTCTATTTATTTTTAATTAATAACAATATCAGTTTTATTTTTAATAATAATAATAGCTCTGTGTATCTGTATATGTAACTATATTAATTTGTTTATCAATTATCGTATCAATACGAGAATAGCAAAAGTAAAATTTTTATATAAGTAGATACCTAATATCCAATATTAAGTGTTATATTTTTATATAAGTAGATAATATTCAATATAGGGAAACCTAATTAGGGTATTACAAATATGATTCTGCGATTATACTAGTTCTGTGACTGAATTGTCTGAAATATAACGGAATAAAACATATATATATATATTGACAGAAGGAATTAAAATAGAATACACAACCAATCTTGATCAAATGAAATTAATTTATGATGTCTGGTAGCTAGTTCACTTTGTGTCGTCTTTTTAGTGATGAAAATATTTGTGGAATGCTATTATAAAGAGACAGTTCTCTATAATTATCGTGGTTCTTGAATTATCTTCAACAAAATAAAATGTACTAAAAACATTCGGAATTTTGCTAAAATGTTTATCGTTTCACCGTGATTATTTCAGGAATAATTTATAAAACTTTTCTATATTTATATCGAAAGAATGCGATTTTATTGGACGCGACAAATTATTAACTCCTGAACTTCCAACACACAGAGTGGTCTACGTATTGTCAACTTTGCTATATTTTACTATACGGAATCGTAAATTGCAAATTCTGTTATGTCGTTGTTCGAATTTGCGTTTATAAAAGCTAATTAAATATTTAGTTCACATCGACAAATTTAATTAATCATAACGTACAAATTTGTCTCAGTTTGAAATCGTCATTACCGAACACGTGCGTTTCGCTTTGACTTCCGTTTACATAAACATTTATGCTAATTAATTAGTAATTCAAAATATAAACTCTCTAACAACATAATTTTGAGTAAACTTGCATTGTAAAAAAATGAATCACTTTATATACTTTTATATTTAAAGATTTTTATATACTTTATATACATTTATTTTTACGTCAGAGAAAAATTTTTACATTTGCATTAATTTTATTTAATTATATTATATTATATTATATTTTTAAATGCGAGAAAATTTCTCGTATAGGCTTTTATTATTCAATGAAGAATTTCATATTTATATTTATGTTTCGAACTTATCATGACATAATATCGTAATCAATTTTGGAGCTTGTTCAACCTAAAACAGATTAAATGTTTTCATCTGACATCTGACATCTGACAGAAAAGATCAAGGATATTTGTCGGTTCGTGAAATCATATGAAAAAGTGCCATTCTCGATAATTCTTAAATTTAGACTTGTGATGTTGTCGCAAAAAATTGCGTTTGTAAACTAGAGTGGCCAATTCCATGACCTCAATCTTAAAACCAAAGTATCTTTTTTCGACATCGATTGCACTGAATTTTGTTAAAATTGTAATTTATACGCTAACAAGTCGACATGTTTGCATAAAACAGCGATTAATAGTAGATCCACGCTTATCACCTTCCTCGTTACGTTTTACATTTCCATATAGAAAAACATCAACTTGTTAATGTATTTTAAATCATAAAAAATTTATATATTTCTTCTCTAAATTTTTGTCAATACACTTTTATTTTCATATTTTTGCATAATTCTTTCTACACGCTTTTATAATCGCTGATTTATTAAACAAAATATTTACATGACGTAAAAGAATAACTAAAATGCAATTGTATATTCATAATATTCACATTATTATTTCGAAAAAGAGGATATGTAGCTAGTTTTTAAATATTTTTAAATTATAATTTATATATATAATTATATTTAAAAATTTAAATTTAACTTTATGTTGTCTTTATCTCAAAAATAATAATCAATATAAATAAAATATAATGCTATGTTGTTTTAATCGGTTTAAATTTTTATATTAATTTAATTAAATCTTTTATTGTTAATTAATAAAGTGAATTTGTGAGTTTTCCCCAAAATAAAATAATTATATGTATGAAAATAAAATGACAATCTCCCGCAATATTGCAGATAGTTTATTCCATAAAATTACTTAAAACATGCTATCATAATTTACTTAATTAATAAGTGCGATATATACAATGTTCTTAGAAATATTTAAATAGTTATATTTATAATTCAACTGATTTCAGTATATAACGCATAATATTTTTTACATCGTAATAACTATTTTTTATATTATTTATTCGTATTAATCTTAATAATGTCTGTTCGATATAAAATTGTAAATGATATGCTCAAATGACCAAATCGCGATACGATAAAATAAGCCCATCCATATGCATTGTAATTTATCATTCATAAGGTGCGTTCTTCATTTAATTATAGCATTTCGTAAGAAAATAACTTGAATCAAAATAATTTTATAATCTATTTTTCACAATTGTATTAATAAAAATTTTATTAATGTGATAACTTTTTAATATAAAAGATTTAGTGTAAAAATTTAGATTTATGATTAAATAAAACATTAAATAATAAATGTAAGATTAAGAAAACTTCCATTTATAAAATAGAATTTTCAATATATTTTTTAAATAATTGAAAAAAGCAGAAGTTGTATGCCCTATATTATTTTATAAAAGAGGAATGTAATGCAATTCTCTTGTAAAAATAAAAAAAGAAAATAAAAAAAATATTAATGTTTCAAGGTCTGTTAAGACGAATTCCTCTTTTCGGCATTCGACTATAATTAATTCGAAAAAAATTAAATCCTTTATGAATTACAAATCGCTGTTTATATGCTGAAAATAGAAAGGCATAGAAAGGAAGTCGGAAGTGTTACATCCATTCCTCGATTTTAAATTAAGAATTCAGTTTCATAAAATAGATTTCCTTTAACTTCGACAACTTTTACACATCAAAATATTACTTTTATTCATTAAGTATTATTTTTATCTTAAAAATAACATAATTATATTAGCTAAAATTAAATACAAAAAAAATAAGACACAAATGCGTCAAGCCACTACTATATGTATATGCTTTACAGAAACAACACCTACTGCGCAATTTATTCGAGATGTGTGTGTAAAATATTACAATTCCGATTCATCATTGCCCGCATTTTCACGCATGCTTTTTGAATCAATTTTATTTATTAATGTCATAATACTTATAAGTAAACGGTAGTATAATATGTTATATTGTATTAATTAATTTATGTGTCAGATGCAATTAATTGCATTTAACAAGTTATTATATTGCCAATACAGAACCGAAATTAAACGAAATTAAACGAGAATCCAATGTATGTATAAATATAAATATAATATAAAATTACATTAATTTAATATATTATATTATAAGCATGTGAATTTTAATATATAACATTTAATTATATATTATCCTAGAAAATTAAAATTAGAAAATAACTTACACGCAAATTTTACATGTTAAAAAACGAGTTTATCTTCAAAAATATTATTGATCCAAAATTACTTAAATTATTTAAATACTTGCAATATTTCTCCAAAAAATCATTTTTATTAAAAAGACTAATTTCATGAGAACAATGAATTCTTAAGATTTTTATAACTTTAACTTAAAAAATATAATGTATAACATGTGTATTACATATTTCTTATCTATGTATTATAAAAATCACATCTTTTGATATTCAATAATATTAAATTTAAAATTAATCAATAATATTCATTCATATATGTTTATGTGTATGTATGTGAAATAATATAACTGATGTTAATAAAAAATTTTTTGACGCTTGTTAAATGTATATATTTATATATATATATATATATATATATATATATATATATATATATATGTTAGCTTTCATGCAACTTTTATAATTACATTTATTTTACCCACACATCCACAAATAAAATTAAAATTTATTTACTAATAACTACTGTCAAAATTAATTAAATTGAGTATCTACCACTAGAGAGAGCGCATATTATATTATATTTTAAGAAAATACACGCAAAATTGTTAAACGCACAATTTTTTAGTGATAATTTAAAACGTAATAATAAATGCACGGTTTTGCCATACTTAGTAAAAAAATTTTATCATAAATCAATTTATCGGTTTTATCATAGGTATTATATTTCATATAAACATGACTATTATATATATATAATTTTTTTTAACGCAATTTGGATACAATTGGTCATTTTAAAATATGCATCCAATGCGCGCACATTAATTCAAAAGAATTGAAACATTTAAATTTTAAGATTTTAAATACATTATTTAAAAATGTAATTTTAAAAATTTTTGAACTTTTACAATCAATTTTATTCATCAGTTTCATCAACAAACAAACAGAAATGAAGACTAAACAGATAGACAATATCAGGAAAGATGGAAAAAGGTACCAGAAATTATTTTAACTAACTTAATATAAATGTATATATATTTATTTTTATTTATAGAACTGAGACAAAAATATTTCAATTTGATTAATCATAAGTTCATTTGGAATAAAAACTAAAGTAAGCTTGATACTCATCATTGACGTTAGCTTAATGTACAAAATATTTGCAATCTTATGTTTTTCCTTTAATGCTTTAGACATTACACAATATTCTTTCAATCACTATCATCTTTTTTCTTTCCTTAACAGCTGGAACCAGAGATTCATTAGCATGTCCTATTTTGCGGTTCAGTATTTTAATCAATAAAAGACTTTGATACATCCACATCCATGCTATATTGTACTCGAGCAAATCTGTCAACATAGTATTTTTTATCTATAACAATATAAAATCACTAAATATAATGACTTAATAACAAGTTAAATCAGATAGAGTTAATAAGAATCACAAAGATCATACGAAAGATGGTGATAGTTGAATCATCAGTAATTGTTTTTACATATTACATAAATAATACGTTAATTATGCAATATTAACATTAACATTAAACTCACCATGTATATTAAAATGTGTGTATATAGATATATAATTTCTAGTTATAATTATATTCCAACATAATCCTATCAACAAAATAAAGATTTATTACTAGAATGCTATAAATTCTGTGTAACAATATATTAATTTATAATAAAATTATGTATCAGATAGAGCTAATAATAATCACGACTCATACGAAAGATGGTTTAATCATCATGAAATACGTTTATATAATAAAAAAATTGTTGATTTGACACAAACTTAAACTCACCATATTATTTTACTCGTATGAATATTGTACTGTTAACGGAATCACTGTTTTTCCTAAAATATATATGCATTATTTATTCTCTAGATGTAATTATTTAACAATTTTAAGGATATATTAATTGCTACTTTTTTTCAGAGGTAGTGACGAACTAAGATCTGTATCATTTGATTTGTCAACTTATAAATATGTATATACATCATTAAAATTTTTAAATTAAATAATTCTCCAAAAAATATTCTATAAACTTACAATATTTGGTATGGCTTCAATTTAGTGTTTGAAATATCTAAAACATACAATAAAATATTGCCTTTAAATTATTTAAAAGATTCAAAGATTCAAAGTATAATATGTAAGAAAAATGTCAGTTAGGGACGAAAGACTATAATTAAGTTGTCGTCAGAGATGTATCAGTTGAACTATGATAGTCATCATTATATAAAATAAATTGAGATACATATAGTAATTAAAAATATAAATATATACCTGTATATTAAATAATGTAATTTACAGTATTCGATGTGGCTTTAACTTGATGTTTGAGATATCTCTAAAACAAAATAATATTGTCTTTAAATTATGTGAAGCATTCATAAATTCAAAATATATACATTTCAAAAATCTCAGTTAGGGACGAAAGACTATAATATCAAATTGTCGTCAGAGTTGTATCAGTTGAACTATGATAGTCATCATTATGTACACTATATAAAATAAATTAATATATATAGTAGTTACAAATTTAAATATGTACCTGTATATTAAATATTGTAAATTTACAATATTCGACGTGGATTTAACTTGATGTTTGAGATGTCTCTAAAACATAAAATAATATTGTCTTTAAATTATTTGAAGCATCCATAAATTCAAAATATATACATTTCATAAATATCAGTTAGGGACGAAAGACTATAATATCCAATTGTCGTCAGAGTTGTATCAGTTGAACTATGATAGTCATCATTGTGAACCATATAAAATAAATTAATACAAATAATAAAAAATAACAAATTTTGAAGTACCTTTATATTAGATGTTGACTATGTCATATCAACTTTTCTATTGTAAACCATCATTCACATATTTGACCAATTCAGAATTTTTGTCAAATTATATTAATAAACAATTTAATAAAATTCTCAAGACTCATGTAGGCTTTTGATCATTCTGGATAAAATCATCTCCATCTCAATATATTTATATAGCTTGTCATAAATATATTGTAATAAACCATGGTACTATCTGCAATAAAAAAATTAAAAATTAAAATAAATCTGAATAAAAAATGATATAACAAAATTTTATTAATAAGATATCAGTACTGCAGGACTATCGATCATTATAAATCAGATAAAACGTTAATCATCACTTAAGTATCAATAAACAAGTATAATAAATCTATTATTAATTAATACTTTCGAAAATAATACACTTTTACATGTATTTTATAGCATAATTATTGAAAATTTTATTTAGCTGAAGCTGCTAAAATTGTTAATGAAGATAGATTTACCATTTCTGTCCTATATTCAAGATTTCTTGAATTTTGCCTGTACAAAAGTTCTCGGAACATTAATGTTTTCCTTTAGATTCACTGTACGTCTCTGTATATAGCCACAACTTAATGTTTGAAAACCAACAGATACAAATAAATCTGCTACTTGTTCTGCAGAAAAATAATAACTCCTGAAAACCAAAGGACATACAATCATTAATACATCTAGTTTGATGGAATAGAAGTTTATACATTATGAAAAAATCAGATTCAAAAAATTTAATATTATTTTATGATACAAAAAGAACAAAGTTTTACCTCGTTCCATCTAGCCGCATATAGAGATTCTCACTGATCTTATGTCCAGGTTTAAAACGTAACTGTGCCATATCATACAACCCGTAATCTCGAAAAAGTAATATTCCTCCAATATCAAGAACATTGTATATATTTTGAGCAACTCTAATAAATGCAAAGTGCAAGCAATTAATAATTGCACAAAATTAGAACTTTACAATAATATTATTATTAATGAATTTATCATACTTGTGAAATTTATCAGGATGAATAGCTGATAATACAAAGATGAGAGTTGTAACATCAACCGGACAATCAATTTCAGAAAAACAATTTTCTAATGTAAGATCTGTTTGAAAAGCCATCATTATAGCTGGATCAAACAATGTGTGACTCTATAATGAAACAAATATTAGCACACACTGAGTTAATGGAATAACATTTGCATTTCCAACAATGGCCTATTCAATGTACCTTAAATAATTCGATTGCTCTTGTGGATAAATCACATGCGAATATTTTTCGAAATTTCAATCTATCTTCTATTAAGGGATAAACAAAATTTCCGACTCCGCAGCCCACTTCGAGAAGGACATTTTGAGTCTCTTTGTCACCCAAATCCAGCAATTCATCAAACTCTCGCGTGGTCCAATGTCTATCTTTAAAGAATCTAGTTTCGTTACGCTTGTAAAATAAATCCCAATGCTTCTTCGCATCCCTCTCGAGTTGATTCGCACGAAATTCGGACACCAATCGGGAATTTTGCGCTTTCAACGTATCGATTTCTTCCGGTGTGAGACGCTTGGCCACGTGCTCCACGTTCGACGTGCCATTTTTAATTAATTCGCTCATTTATTTCCATATATATACTACCAAAATGCCTAATTAAAAGAAAGAAAAATTTATAGCCCATATATTCATGCTCTAATAAAAATTTTTCAAAATATTCCCTTTGAAAAAGAAAAAGATGCTTACTTGGAAACGAATACATGCTCTCGTCTTGAGATACCCACAGGAAATGGACGATCAGCGAGCGCGAACAGCGGCAGCTTCCTACGAGGATGCAACATCGCATGCAATGTTGCCACGACACACCTGACACGTGACACAACACGTGACTGCAATGTGACACGTGATCTACTTAGGCACGAAATTTGAATTTAAATAGAATATTCTTGGAAGAATATGATTTGAAAAATTGCATTTAATGACATGTATGTACAAAGTAATAACATTTTATTTCTTAATTTTTCTTGAAATTTGAATAATTTTTTAATTTTAATAGTAAGTATCAATCCGCGTAAAAAATAAATTTTAAAGCTGTCATTTTCTTGAAATTTCAGGATAATATTATAAATGACGATTTTATCATAATTGTTTTATGTGCGACAAAGATAATGCTTTATAGAAAAAAAACATATTTTTATTCGAAAAAAAAGAAAATTGTTTTTCTGTTTTTTTTTTTTGAAAAATTGGATACTAGCTATCTTTAATAGTTAGAAAAAAGTAAAAATTGTATATTTTATATATGTTATATATATATTTAATTGTGATCTCATCCATTTTATTTTGAAATTAAAATGCATAAAAATTTTTATAATTTTAAATATGTGCATATTTAATCTTTAAATAAAACAGTTGTAATATATGCAGAATTTCCTATATACGTCATAAGCATATTATTAATGCAAATTTTGTAATAATAGTTTAGAAAGGTTTAGTACGTTTATTCGATTTAATTCGTTCACGTACTGTTTATCCAAAAATTAACTAGGCTTCTCTTTACGCGTATCGATATTCCGTATGCAAACACGCGTTTGGTTGATTAACATGCAGAACCCGTAGAGGACAAATATTTTATGTCGCAGTGTAGCATTGGTAGACAATACTATTAAAGTAGGATAGGCGTGACTAAAATTCAGTCAACAAGATTGCACATTGCTCATTATGATGTTGTGAAATGAAAAAAACAGTTTTGATAAGTATCATATATCGTTATAAATATTGATGCGAAACCCAACTGTACAAACTCGCATAAGTAATATCTCGCTTTATCTCTAATCTTTATTTTATTATCACGCATGTTTCACGTATTATTCAATACATTTTATGATTTATGAAGAACCCATAATTTGTAACCCGAGCATGGTAGAAAGAAAATGAATCGATCGAGTAGTAAATGTAGGTCATTGCAGACCACAATTTTGTCGAGAGCTTCACGAGAGGTAACAACCATAGATTACCTGAATGGAATGAGAAACACGTTTCGCAATTCACAGTCATTAATGCCTTGTAGAATAACATCATTTTGCAGTTTTCAACGCGACCATCCTTCATGCCCGCTTTATAACCGCATACTTTGCTCTGAACGAAAAAAAGTGTCACAATTAAAATCGCGCTTCCATACACTGAATCGTGAATGCAAAGCAATCAAATCAAGTTGATTTTAATTTAGCTTAATATGTAGAAAATTATGAATAGGACTTTTTTTCGTTACTTTACTCGCATCATCTTGATTTTAAATTCATATTAAATTTTCAAGGTTTATCTTTAATGCATATGCGTCTCTATATTAATTATATTGTTTTAAAATATAATATATAAATTAATAATTTAGAGAAAATTTTTGCTATAATCATTAAAAATTTATACAAATAATTAAATCAGATATATTAATTTAAATTTTATAGCAATTAAAATGTTACAATGATAAATAGTAATCAAAATTGTATATAATGTGTATCATTAAAGTTGAAAAAAAAATTAAAAAATAATATAAAATATAGAAGATTGTTTAAAAATTAATATTATATTTTCCTAAATAATTAGCAATATTAGAGTATGAAATGTGTGATAAGCGGGAGATCAAATTGCATGAATAATTCGTATCTAGAAGCCACCGAACCAGAGCAATGCCGTAAATATCGGAATTGCGATTCCATTCGCTAACATACACATGATTTTATTTCGATGTTATTACTCGAAAATTTATCTCTCTAATTAGCGGATCGTCATAGTTAAAGCGCACCTCTCGCATCGGCTTTCATCTGGAATACTGCGAGCGGTTTATGATTATGCACGGTGCCGCGGTGTGCATAATCGTAAAAACAATCCTCATTCCGGGGAGAGCTCTCACGAGATTGAGCAGCCCTCACGAGAGCGATCAAGAGATTATGCGAATTTCTCCCGCCACTGATACCCGTTATTACGTTTTAGCAGCGATTTACGCAGTTTCAAATCCCACTAATATTTCCATTAACGGCGAATTCTTTTTTGAAGCTTTTTTTCCGCGGAGAGAATTACGAAGATTAGCCGTGGTCGTTGTTATCATCATAAATGGTGAATACAACTGAAAGCTCTGATGGAAGAACTTCCCTCAGGGATTGAGAGAAGTACAATGTTTATAGAAACCAAGGATAAATATAATTATTACGATAAACATAATTAGTTAGGAAGTCTTTGACGATGTAGAAATAACTGTACTGTACAACAAATTTAATTCGTTGTTACTTTCATAATTTAAATTAATATTATATTATCTACGTGCGTCTCTCTAAGAGAAATTATGTAGAATATATACAAATATATATTATTAACATATTAATATATATATGCAATAATATTCAAGACGATAATATTTGCGAATTACGTATTACATTGTGTCATTGCATGTCAACACACTTAATAACTACTCATTCTTTACGAGAAGAATCTCTGCAATTGTTACGGAGCAATTGCGTGGATGTTTCCCACGATTTATGAAATTGTGTTACATATATAGTCTACGAAATGATAATTATTTCTCATAGTCAGGCATGCTATATATATGAATTACATTGCATGTTACATTGTTATTCTATGGTGACAAAGATTATGTATCTTTGACGTAATAAATTCTGTCGATTTATAGATATTGATCAATATAAAATAATTTGTGAAATTATTATATTTTTTGCGCTTATAAAAATCTGATAATTTGTTTTTGCTAAATAATAATTCGTATTTACTAAAAAATTTGATAAGAAAATATGATAAAAAATATGATCTTTAAAAAAATATGATACAAATCAAATTTTACGCATAAATTCGAAAAACTGACTATACATATATGTATATACATTAAAATTAAGACACATAGTATTGCAAATGTAATCAGTTCTTTTCAATATAAGCATAAATATTTTTTTTTTCATTGCTTAATCGTGAAATTCATATATACAATATATCAAGATTCAAATTTCATAACATACGTGCATTGCGACATGAAAAGAAACAGAGATATAAAGAAAGAGAAAGCAAAATCAAATAAAAAGTCAAAATTTACAATTATTAATATAGATATATAAATATTAACAGTTAATAAATAAATATGTAAACAGCAGATTTAAATATAAAATTAACATATTGAGTTGAGCAAGTAATATAACCAACATAAATTCTTTCCGTTATACTTACAATGCATAAATAATAAGTAATACGTGATGATTAACGATAAACGGACTCGTTTAAAAATACGCCGATCAAAGGAAATATTTTAGACGTGTGACTTTCAAGCACTGCCGCTTACTTTACATAACTTTCCAACGCGCAGTTAGAAAATCAGGAATGCCAGATGGCAAGTGGATAATTTTTGGTTATTTTGTGGGTGTATATTGTCCAATTTTTTATTAAATAATATTTACATAAAATATTTTAACAAATTATTTTTTAATATATCTTTTTTAAAGGTATTTTTAAATTAAAAAAATTACAAATATCTATATTATATTACATAAATAAATTTAATTATATAATCTGCACTTTTAAAAGAAATTAAATGCTTTCTTTGTAAATCATTCTGCATTAAATAATGCAAATTTATTCAAAGCAATAAATTGTACATGATTCATTAAATAAGACGGAAAAATTCTATCACCTTATATAAGAGCTACACAACTCTCCTAATGTACAGCAATCTTTATATTACATACTTACAATTTAATAAAAAACATATATATGTTGAATTAATAATTTTACTTGAAACTATTATAGTGTGCTGCTTTAATTAATTTTCTAAATAATAATTTTGAAATGATAGCTCTCTCCCATAGCAAAAATTATTTTACATGCGGTTATTTATATCTAAAAAATATTAGCGCTTTAACTTTATATAATCAAAATCTGAATTCATTAAAAAGTTTGTGGCTACAAAATAATATTTTCCTCCCTAACAGTTTAAGTCAAATAAAAACGAAAGAGTTTATATAAAATTAAATTGTTTCTAATTTAATAATATCAAATTTCTTATCCAATGTACATTACAAATTATCGATTGAATCTTATTTCATTCTTATTACTTTCTTAATCCAAACAATTATTATTTTATATAATAACGGATCATCTTATTAATTTGTTTAAAGAGAAAGATAGAAAAAGAGAAAATAAAAATACTAACTAAAATTTTTCAATTAAGTTAGATTATAAATAGAAGCTCTATATTAAAAATATATTCAAATAATTATATCTAATTATTCATTTCCAACACAATAAGATAAAATGAAAAACCCACATCTCTTTTTTACAACAGACACGCGAGCCTGATTAGAACTTGGGATAAAATAAAAATTGCTCCGGTTATTATTAATGTATTTAAAAAAAATAGGCTGCACATTCTAAGGAATCCCACGACCGCTCTATTTCGTTCTATTACCCTCTTCTTGACAATCGATGTATCTCAATTATTACGATGCGATGCATGTGAGAGGCGCGCAGCACGTGACCGTAGGCGCGGCGAGAAGATGCCTCCTTCGCCTTTTCCATTCCGTCGAGGTAGGCACGGCCCCGAGTATCGCGTTATATACCGTTCCTTCTCGTGGGCATTCCAAGCGGGAATTCTCGAAAGCCAGTCGTCTTGTAGAAACCGCGGCGCGGCTTGTCCGCTCGCCGGTACTTTCGACCGGTCGTAAAGTCGACGTTTCGCAGTTCTACGCGCCGTTTCAGTAATACGAAATTTCGCCCCAAAAGCGAAACGCGAAGCGTCGTCGTCGCCGAGGTGCATTGGTAACCCATCTGGAAACCCCGACGGACCATCCATAAAATTCTGGTGAGTTATGCGCACAATTCTACCTATCCGTCTACCTGTGCGAAATCGACGGTCCCTTCTGCCAGGCATCCATCCTTAACGTTGAATGGAACCGTTCAACCGTTCAATATTTCAATCGTCGCTTGAAATATTCGAGACATCGGTTCTCTTTAACGAATATTTATGGTCCCGACTTGTTTTTACCGAGCAAAATGTGTTTAGTGTAAACGTTTATGCATGTTGCGTTATTGAAAATATATGATATTAATATAAATATATTGATCAAATTATGTTGAAACCTTTCGTGTTTACGTATTGCTCATATAACATTTCTGAAAAGATATAGGATATTATTGATTCTATTTGTAATTTCATGCATATATATCTCAATGTTTATATATGTATTTTATTTCTTCAAATATTTTCTGTAACTAGATGACACATAAAAAATTATAAATAAATTGTCGCGTTTTATAAATGATCTAAAACAAACTTAATGCATTATTATTCATCATGAATTATGCATATATCCTTTAATATATGCTTATGATAACATAAATAGATATCAATAATATTACTGCATGATATAATCTAAGGGAAATATCAACATATTACTGACATAATTTCACATTTTATATATTATTTTGTAATATTTCTATAAATTCAGTAATCGAATGTTAATAAATTGCAAAGATCAATTTATTCACTATTATAAGGCATTCGGATTATTTGAACTTATTCGTGTTAAGTTTAGAATCCACATTACTTGTTTGAATGATGTCAGTCTCTCGTCATCGTAAAATATAGCTATTGAACGAATTACAGATATTCTAATTTTGTCGCTTATATACCAATTACGTAAAAAGATTTTTCTTCTATTGACATTTGAGAACCAATTTAGATGATTGACATATTTGATCGATCATGCAAAAAAAATATTAAAATTCAATCAAAAGCGAAGATTTATTTTAACCAAAGTTTATCCTAAAATTATCACGCTGATCGTTCTGTCATTCATAATTTGTCTTCCAAATTGATTTTTATTTCGACAGTTTTGAAATTAATAATACTGCTTCGTCGCTATATTGAGAAATCCATTGCTAAATATAATATTTATTGTTAAATATTTAAAGAAGTTCAATAACCATTCAGAGGAATTTAAAATCTTGTACAAAACTTTGTCAAACGTACAAGATTATTTTCAAGTCGTCGTATTAATCGATATTTTTATTTTGGAATTAATCTTCGAAATTAATTTCGAATATAGCCTCGAGTGTTTCGACGGAACTTCATCTCGCTACATTTAGAAATCGATTGTTAGATATGCGGTATCGTTTGCGAAATGTATCTTGCGCGGTTTCCGAACACCGAGAAAACTCACGAACGAAAATGTCAGGGCTGCATCCATTTGCATGAGCGATTCCTTTGTCTCGATTCCTCTCGACCAGGGCGAGGCTCGACGTTTCCGCTTTGGAGCCTTCGATTATCGCTACTAGCGGACCGTGTCATCGCGAACGAGACCCGTTTCCGGGATCCTCGATCGATTATCCGCGTCGTGAACAATGGCTTCTGCGTCACGTCGCTTGTATAAGGAATGTAAGGTCGGTCGATGCAAAAAGAAACCACCGTGGCTTATCGCCATCAGGTATATACAGTGAATTCGAAAATCGACACTGGACGATCTCTCCCGCGGCGCAATAATCACAGCTTAATTAAGCTGAAAGGACCACGATGCAACGCGAGCCCCGGGCAATTTTATTTTATTTTATTTTATTTTATTTTGTTTTGTAAACGCGTTTGACTCGCTCTACTTAACCGGTGATTTAATTTTCACTTTGCGTCGCAATTACAAGCTTTATCGCCATAGTCGCAATTAAACTGCTCTCCCTGATCATCTTCACTGTTCGCGAACATGCGGCGCGCTGTCATCATCGTCATCCTCGTTGGCGTCTTCGTTGTTGTCGCGGCCTATAATAATCTCTCCTGGTTACTCGACAAGCGACGAAAATGATGATAGCCGATAACCACGAGAAATTTCTAAATCCGAGACGAGAGATCGGTTTTTCTGCTCGAGAGATCGTGGCAGTGAATGACGATATTTACAAGTACTCGATGTATCAATCAAGGGAACGAACGCTTTTTTTATTTACGCACAAGTTAATTCGCACATTGAAATCATTAGATTTGAGAGACCTCGCACACTCGATCAAATTTTATATCGCATATTATCGATTATTGCTATGTAACTATTATATTCATCTTTACATTTAGTTTATAAATTATTCAAGCTCGAGTGAGAATGTAAGCTTACGAAAATCAATAAGAACATAATATCTCTCGGAGAGATCGTTTCAATCAAACGAGTTAATTATACGGTTCTTTATGTGATACTTGGTATCGATTTTAGGATAATATCTTTTTACGATAAGAAGTGATACATAAGTGAAATGTAGCGCGTTTTAATTTTTCTTCTTGACAGATGCCACTTTCGCTACGCCCTAATTACGACAATGTGGGCAGTTTGATATTTGCTGCAGGTGCTGCTCGTCGATGCATGGATCGCGATTATGCACGATTGGCTCCGCGTTATTCATCTAATAGTGAAAAAAGAAAGGAATAAAATCGTAAACGCACCGCAGTGAAACGTTAATGTTGATATAAAGCTTCACTTTGCCCAGAAATTATCGGAGTGAAATTGATAGTTACACCTTGCACCTACAACAAACTTCGAAATCAGGTCGACAGAAATAATTGCCAGTGTCAAACAAATTCCGTTCGGCAGAGCAATGTAACTTAAGAAAGTCAGCTATTAGAGGGAACGCACTTAGTCCTCTTGAGCCCATAAATTAACCACAGCGGTATTGTGATTTCAATTAAGTGATTTATTGCACCACATTAGTCTGCATAACGTTCTACATTCAGCATCATTTCCGTAATTGAACCTTTACGCCGAGCGAACTAATTCCGAAGGTGCAGCGTCGCTTTTCATTCAAATTTTCACCGGGAAACGTTTCCGCAAGGAGACGAATGAAATGGATAGCAAAGAGATTCGAAATTTGATTGTTTCTTCACAAAAAGAGTAGCCTTTCACCTTCTTAAATAATTAAAGAGACTCGATTCTCTTCTTTCTTCTCGCAAAGTTTAATCAGCTTTATCCGTTCCAAACAAATATACTTTTTAACGATCCGGCTTAGCTCCGTCTAACTTGAACGAAAAGCAGCTTTCTCTATCGAAGGGTCCCGGCGGCCCCATAAGTTTGACAGTGTATTACCCGAATGGCTGGTACTTCCTCATCGATACTCGCGAAAGTATAAGTACTCGGAGTCCGGTGAATCGTAATATCAATGGCTGGTTATAATAGTGAACGAGTCTCACGAGTATCTTGCATTTCTGGACGAGTATGACGTTCTCAGCCTTTCAGTTCGCGGCGGGAAAAGTGCTTAGCTTAAACTTTCTAAGCGTTTCACGTCGTGCCGTATCGCGCTTCATATTTGGCTCCGAGGTATATACGCACACACATGGAGAGAAAGATAGAGAGTGTAAGTGAGTGAAGAAGAGATGACAAGAGGGAACCTATATAAAATCTGGGTCCGTCATCGGGCAACGCCGATAAAACCGCTCGAGGCTCATTTATGCGCCTCGTAGCCGATTACATTGCTAACGCATGTAATTAGAACTCCATGCACGCTCGCGGAGTCCATGCAGTTCTCTCCCTATCTGAATCGCTTAATTACTCCCTCGTTGAAAAATCTTCCCTTTTTTTCTCCAGTCGGCAGAAGCTGAAGTCGCTCCCGCGCAGTTTTCCCTTTCTATTTATTCAAGACTTTTTGTATAATCTCTGAGTTCTTGGAAAAATGTTATCCTTATTCGAGATTTGGTTACGCCCTATTTTGCTATAAACAATTAATGTTAGAATCTACGATTAAAGTGAAAAATCTGTAGGTTTGTAGATAAAATATTTCAAGAATTTGTTGCATATATGTATACATATGTATACATATTATATTTTGATACATTAGATGAATTGTCTATTAGAAAATGATGTAATATATATTGCAGATAATAAGAGAGAGATAGTGCTATTGGAATATTAAAATGGAAGAATTATATTAATATATTATGTATTATATAATTTTCCTCCTCTGAGATTATTATTTACAAATCCATTTAAAAAAATACGAATTCCACTGCACCATTGCCATTACGACTATCGGATGTATATGTCAGCTATACGGACTTCCAATTACATACCAGCTAGCATACTATAATTTCTTAGAATCTACAAATGAGATATATGAAATTGATGGTGATATTATGCGAATTGCCATTTGTAGTACAGGAAGTCATGAATATGATAGAATATTATATATGAATGCAGTAAAACGAACGCGGCTATTTACTTTCACAAATAAATCGCTCAGGTAGCTTCATGTAGATAATTTTTATACGTAATTACATTTCCGTACACGAGATATCTGTTAACATTATTATTAATTAATAAATATACTGTAATGAACAGTACAGGGATATCATTCGCATAGCATCAATCATTGTAAAAGATATCAAACATTAAATTTTTTAATGAATTCATTAATTATTCACAATTATAAAAATATTTTAGATAATAATTCGGATAAAATGTATAATTTTTATACTCTATTTTTAATCTTTCATGAATCAAGAAAGAGAAGACGCAGCAAACTGCTATATACATATATAATATAATTGCATTGATTATGTTACGTGCACCGGTTTGTTTTTAATTGGCCACAAATACATAAACCGTTCCTCTGCTTGCTTGCGAAATCATATAATTTTCATTCGTGGGGATCGCATTGGTAACGCAACAAACGCAAGTGAAAAGTTTCGGTAAAATCGAGGACGCTGATGTTTTTCAAACATACAACAGAATTAAAACACATTTATTAATATATTTATATGCATGCGTGTCGATGTAATCTAATAAAAACAAACCTCTCGACGCAGTTGGCACGCCATAATAAATTGCTGTTGAGAATCAG